CTCCCTTTTAGCAAAGAAGAGATGAAGATAATTAAAGGCTAAAACAAACAGAAAAAGGTATAATGGGGAGGGAGAGAGAGAGAGAGAGAAAGAGAAATAAATAAATAAATAAAAGAGATGCCAATGTCAGTAATTGAATTGAAAACCAGTTAGACATCAGCTTTGCCTAGAATTTCCCATTGTTCAACAGGACCTTCACATCTTACAATCTTGAAAGTACCAGGAGATCCCCAAGAAATCAAAGGAATCTGCAACAAGTCCCATTGAGCTTGTATATCTGAAGGAAGTGTACGTGTGGTTTCGATCATAGGTACATCGAAAGCATCCTCTACTCTCTGTTTGATAAGTCTCTGATGGACTCTACTAACTGGAGAAACATTGGAATACAACAAGGACATATGAGGTTTGAACTGTTCATCTAACCACTGTTGAACATCAATCTCATCACCATTCTCCACAAACATTTCTCGCATAATCTTAGCAATACTCATCAAATACTTGTTATCATCACATTCCATATACACTTTCTTGAAAAACTGTTTACCAATAGTCAGATTCTTAAACTTAACAAGTTCGAAGCCAGAGGTTGAACCTGAAGCTGAACCTGAAGATCTAAGGCCATTGGATCTTGGGGACCCAGCATTGACTCTTGGTTTCACGGAATCCATAGCTGCAACACAATAGGTAAGTATCTTATTGACATCATCCTGGGAGGTGATGTTCAAACCAGAAGTGATAGTGATATGAGGTTCGAATAACGGCGAGTTTGGAATTAACGTTTGTAACGAATGGATCAACAAATCAATAGAATCATATACTTGAGATCCAGTGACTGGACAAAACCATAATGCAATACCCATTGAAATAGCAATTGCCAACACCAGTGGAAGTAAGATCTAAGGTTGAGTTGCTGTACTTGCTCTAGTTCTTGCTCTAGTTCTTGCTCTAGTTCCAGTTCTTAAACCAATTCGACATCGAGAGGTTTAAATCGAAACTTTTCAACCTTTCTTATCTCGATTTTCTAAAGAAGCATCTTGAATGGAATTAAATTGTTCAAACGTTCCCGGAAGTCGTTGGAAGGATGAGGATTGGGATTTGATGTTGATGGCTGGGTTCTTGTTGGTTTGGTTTGGCTTGGTTTGATTGAAGTTGAGTTCAGGTTGTTAAAGAAGGTCTGGTCTTTCTTTTCTGGAGGTTGATTGTCGATTCGATTCGATTCGATGGGGATGGGGATGGGGATGAGGGACGGTCCCTGTGAGAATTTGGGTTGTTCCGGTTGCTGGCGATGTCTGTATCTTGTCTTGACTTGTTGCTGTTGCTGTTGCTGTTGCTGTTGCTGTTGCTGTCGACCGGTGTGGGAGATGTGGTTGTTCTGTTTTTATTGGTGGACCGGTGGGGATGGGCAGATGGGATGGAATTAGATGTGGGGGGAGGAGGGGGGGGAGATAGCGAGATAGAGGCTTTTTTGGAGGGGAGGNGNNGGTATGCAGAGGTGGACGGGTATGGTGGTATATTATATATAGTATGGTTTGTAATGTGAGGGGATCATGGATTGATTCATCTGGTAGATACATAGTTAATGGTGTTCTTGTTATCTGGGAGTATATAAAGAGGACGAGTGGCTGGATATTTGTTTTCGTTCTCGTTCTCGTCGTTCCTATTACTGTTCTGGTTCTGGTTCTAGTTGTTGTTGTTGTTGTTGGTGTTCTTGCCCTTGATAAAACACTGTCTGTCTCTGTTCTGTAAAGAGAAGAATAATTATTTTTTGTCATGTTAAGATCTTGTATTGCTAGAAGAAGTGTAGTCACTCCGGTCTCCAAACGGTTTTTGTCTATCAACGAGTTTAGATCAGCTCAGCTATTGAACGAGTATGGAGTCAACACTCCTGCTGGTGCTGTAGCCTGGACTCCTCAACAGGCTTCCCAAGTCTCAGCTTCCTTGTTTGACAAGTTGGGCCGTGATGCCCAATTGGTGGTCAAGGCTCAAGCTCTCACAGGTGGTAGAGGTAAAGGCCATTTCGACAATGGCTTCCCTACCGGTATCCAAATGGTCGACTCTCAACAACAAGCTACTGAAACTGCCTCTCAAATGTTGGGTCATAGACTGATCACTAAACAGAGTGGTGAGAAGGGGAAACTGGTCAACGCCGTTTATATCGTAGAACGTAAGAAGGTCTTGCGTGAAGCTTATCTTTCCATCCTGATGGACAGAGCTGAACGTAAACCATTGATCATCGTCTGCGAAGAAGGTGGTATGAATATCGAAGAAGTTGCTGAAAGATCCCCTGAAAAGATTAAGAAATTCCACATCGACCCTTCTAAAGGTGTCACTGACGAAATCGCAACTGGCGTCGCAAAAGGTTTGGGTTTCTCCCAAGAGGTATTGGAAGACGCCAAGGACCAAGTCAAGAGATTGTACAAGATCTACGACAACACCGATGCAACCCAGATCGAAATCAACCCGCTAAGTGAAGTGGAAACTGCAGAATCAAAACACGGTGTCATGTGTATGGATGCTAAATTCGGTTTCGATGATAATGCATCTTACAGACAAGAGAGAATTTATTCTTGGAGAAACGACGTCGAAGAATCCCCAGAAGAAAAATTCTCTACCGAAGCCAAACGTGATTATGACTTGAACTTCGTCAAATTGAATGGTAACATCGGCTGTTTGGTCAATGGTGCTGGTTTAGCCATGGCCACAATGGATGTCATTCAATTATACGGAGGTAAGCCTGCCAACTTCTTAGACTGTGGTGGTGGTGCCACTCCACAGACCATTAAGAAGGCATTCGAATTAATCGTAGACTCTTCAAAGACTAGTGCCACCCCATTAGACGCTATCTTTGTCAATATCTTTGGTGGTATCGTTAGATGCGACTTCGTCGCTCAAGGTATTGTCGATGCCATTAAAGATTTGAACTTGAAAGACCTACCTATTGTTGTCAGATTGCAAGGTACCAATCTAGACGAGGGTAGAGAAATTGTCAAGTCTTCAGGTGTCAACATCTTGGCATTCGATGAATTGGATCCTGCTGCCGAAAAAGTCGTTGAAGTCGCAAACTCCAGAGCTTGATCGAATTAGTGTCTTTCTTCTTCTTATTAATATTATCATCACTACGCTCAATTACTGTAATGCCAAATTTACAGCTGTGGTAGCCAGTGGGCTCCTCTAAATGCTTATATTTTCAGCCCTCCCCTCCCCCTTCAAAATGTTTTATATACCTTTATATAATTACTATCTATCTAGTTTAACTATGTCAATATTCCAACTGAACCAGAAAGTCGATATAATTTCAATTATATATTGTTCATCAGGTTCTAATTAAAACCAATATCCTATATTTACGAATCTGATCCTCTTGAATTGTGTTAGCCAGATATCCAAAGCACCTTTAGCTTCCAAAGAAGGGCTTTCCTTACTGTCAATTGACTGATCTTTCTTATATAACGTAACGATCATTAGACATGGCACGTGACCAAATATCATTATACACGTAATACACTCTTCTATGTGTGTATAGATGTATCACATGTGACGAATCAATTTTTAAAAGGAGAAGTTTTAACATGAGAACTGGCAAGGGCAACCTTTTAAATGAATATAAGAACAGATTGAATGATTATGAGATTGCAATAAGTGCAGTTGTAGAGTTTTGATCTTAGCCTTGAAGTTGATTAAGACAAGTGTGAATTGAATATTGCTTGCGTCGTTGCTTGCTGGTAGTTTACTTTTAGCTGATATTGATTATCTTTTTTTGGTCCCACAACAAGAAGTTGTTATAAAATTAGGAACAGTTTTCAAGATAAATTTTATTTTTTTGTCCATTGCCAATAACTGTTTGTTTGATTTTAGGAGATATATATCTAGTGCAGAATATTCAAGATCTAACTGGGTATTTGTGGTGACTATATATTGGTTTTTGACGTTAAAGCTATTTTAAAATTTTTTTTATTTAATTCGATATTCGTATCTCGTAATTAGAAGCACACTTAGACAGACCTTTTACTTTTACTTTAGATTTTTTGAAGTTTTAGATTGTTTTTTATTTTTAGGAACTTTGAATAATGACCACTTACGATAAATTGGTTAAAGGGGCCACTAAGATCAAGATGGCTCCTCCTAAGGAGAAGTACGTGGAACCTATATTGATGGGTACTAGTGATCCTCATGATTTCCAAGAGATTGCAAGAGCATTATACAATAGAGTCACAGACTCTGCATGAACGATTGTGTATAAATCCTTGATTGTTATTCATCTGTTGATGAATGAAGGTGATAAGGATGTTGCCGTTAAATTCTTCTCTAATAATCTAGATTATTTCAGAATGAATGGCATTCAAGGCTCCAAATTTTCCTCAGGGGATGTAAAAGCTTTAGATCGTTATAATAATTATTTAAGAGTGAGATGTGAAGAATATGCAAATATCAGAGTGGATTACGTTAAAGATGGTTACAGTAGTTTGAAAATGATTTTACATGATAACACGAATAATATTCATATGGCATTAGATCACGTTGAATCGTTAGAGGTTCAAATTACTGCATTAATTAAAAATAAATATTCTCAATTGGACTTGAGTAATGACTTGCTTGTATATGCATTTAAGTTATTAACTCAGGATCTATTAACATTGTACAATGCATTGAACGAAGGTATTATCACCTTGTTAGAATCGTTTTTCGAATTGAATCACAGGGATGCTGAAAAAACATTGAGCTTATACAAGTCCTTTGTCGATTTGACAGAAACCGTTGTTAAATATTTGAAGATTGGGAAATCAATTGGTCTAAAGATTCCTGTAATTAAGCATATCACTACGAAATTAATAAGATCTCTAGAAGAACATTTACAAGACGATTTAACTAATAATAACAATAACAAGAGCAATAATACTAATAGTAATAATAATAATAACAGAAGTGTTAGCAAGGCAAGCACGTCACAGCAGACTTCTGATGATAGAGAATTGGCACAACAAAGGCTGGAACAAATAAAAGAACAGAAAAAGCAGTTGGAAATGCAATTGAAGAACCAACAGTTACTCGTGTCACCTACAATTCCACAAAATCCAACAAGTTCATATAATCCATTTGGAAGCACACCAGCTGTCACCCAAACCGAAAGCTTTAGTTTTGAACAGCCAGCTGTTCAACCGCAACTAACAGCAGTGCCAGTTGTTATCCCTGTTCAAGTTGCCCAAGTGCAACATACAGGTAATCCATTCTTACAACAAGCACAACAAGCACAACAAGCACAACAAGCACAACAAGCACAACAAGCACAAGCACAGGCACAGGCACAGGCACAAGCTCAGGCGCAAGCTCAGGCGCAAGCACAGGCGCAAGCACAGGCACAGGCACAGGCACAAGCTCAGGCGCAAGCACAAGCACAAGCTCAAGCTCAAGCTCAAGCACAAGCACAAGCACAAGCACAAGCACAAGCACAAGCACAAGCACAAGCACAAGCACAAGCACAAGCACAAGCTCAAGCTCAAGCTCAAGCACAAGCTCAAGCTCAAGCTCAAGCACAGGCACAAGCGGCTTCTATGACGCCTGCCTTAACTGGCCAACATACATCATTGCAAATGCAGCATCCACAGAATACTGGTTTTATCCAGCAATCTGCCACTGTTCCAAACTTAACCAATCAACAAACAGGTTTCTTTTCTTCCAATACACAAGTGACTCCAAGCTTCACAGGTGCAGGTTTTGGTGGATACACACAACAGGCTCCTGCTACAATGTCTCCAGTTGTTCCAATGGAGACAGGATCTAACAATCCATTTTCAGTTGATAATGTCAATAAAGAGATGGTAATGATGAGAAGTACTAGCAATCCATTCCAATCTGTTGGTAATCCAGAGATGACTATGGGTATGACACACACAGGCACAGTTGGTAATTTCAATCCATTTCAAGCGCAGATGACTGGTCAAATGCAGTTCCAACAAATGCCGTTACAACAGCAACCTCAACAACAACCACAGCAGTTCCAAACTACTCCTCAACTGCAAATGCAGGTCCCACAACAACAGCAACAGCAACAAGTGTACAACCAACAAGCCTTGAACTTAATAGACATATGAGAGCTACGATAAGTGCAAGTAAATACAAGAAATATGTTTCTCCACGAACCAAATCTTAATGTATAATTCAACTAATGATGTTGATAATTGTGTATTTCTATAATATATACGTAGATGTCATATATACTGTAATTCCTATTTAGTGACTATGAAATAATCATTTGACCTTAATTCTTTTATCAATTCAAGTGTCTGTAAAGTGGGACGTGAATGTGTCAAAAAATAAAAATAAAATAACATAAAATAACACAACTCAAATTAAACTAACTAACATAAAGTATGATAACTTGTTACTGTCACCAATTATCACGTATCGATATAAACCCAGATCTGATCAGGCACACTATAATAAAAGTTAGTGATGAGTTGTGATTAATATGACCAGATCAGGACGGTACTTAGGAGAGATGAGGAAGATGGTGGTGAAAAGGATCCGTCATCCTGTTTGCTTGATAAAATGTACAAACAAGCTGTTTGATCACGAGACACTTCCTAAAATAGTGGAAGCTCAACGTAACAGCGATTCAAGACGGTACAGAGAGAAAAATGGGATTCCACTAATTCCCGGTGTTAACAACCGAAGAGGACAACGGGAGGTCCAAAAAACCGAGAGAAAAAGAGTTACCCTACTGTGAAGAGTAGTTAGTTACTGTTATTTTAATTTTTTTTCGGAAAAACAGTATCTTTAGGATATACGATTGTCAAACCGGAGAAACTGACCAAGGCAGTGGATTAGTACCGACCCGAGGTAGTTGTACGCGGAAGTGTCTGGTGAAGTTCGAAACAGATAGCACAAAAGCGAGAAGGAAGAAGAAAAAGACGCGCACTCACGCAGACGGAATAAAGTGACGATCCGACGTCATTGTGAGAACGCTGCGCACAACAGGGCTAACTACTGGAGTTTTGCTGTAATTCGTCGCAGCCGGCATTTCTTGTTACTCGAAGTCAAACCATTTTTCCATTTCATTTCGAAGAGGAAGAAGGAGCAGAGGACCGGAGGAATTAAAAAAGATAAAAAATAAAATGATGTGAAATGGGAAAGTGGTTTCGGTAGTTGTGCGCGTGTGTCTCGTGTTTGTGTTTGTGTTTGTGTTTGTGTTTGTGTTTGTTATTTGGGTACACAAAACCATCGAAGAGAGGATGGATGAGGACACAAAAAAAAAGAAATAGATATCACAAAATTCACAAAAAAAAACCTACATTATCAATAAAAAGAAATTAAATAGAATAGCACAAAAACAAACGCACTCAAAAGACCAAAAATGAAATAAAAAGAAATGTGAAAAACGAATATTCATGTTTACAAAAAATAAAAATAAAAAAGCAATTAAAAAGAAAAGCACCAACAGAGCCTGAGCAACTCACAGACAGCGGGACAACCAGTAAAGAAGCAAACTAGTGAGTGGTCTATTACAGAATGGACTATATCAAGAAGGTTAGCAATGGATTGGATATGATACTATATGATATGGTGAGAGTTTAGCTTGAAGTCAGCAACGACAAGATATCAAGGTGGATTGGATTGGATTGGACTGGTTAGATAGGTAGATAGATAGATAGACAGATAGATAGAAGCTTGGAAAGGTAGATTAAAGGACGAACAAGCAAACAAACAAAGAAACACTTCTCTCTGGTTGATTTTACCCAGAATCAATAATAATAACAATATAATAACCATACAGTAAAAAAAAAGCATTGGTTTCTATCAGCTGCGTGCGTCTAATTTTTAATTCAAAATATACTATGTATTCTTCTTGTTTTATTCGTTATTCCATTTAGCATCGTTTGAGTGAGTGAGTGAGTTTTATGGCAACAAGTAGTCTCTAATGAATGCATTCATTCATTCATTCATTCATTCAATGAACGATTACAATGATATTGGGCTTCCCAATTTTTTCACTTGTTTCTTCTGCAAGAAATGTCGATGGGATCAGAAATGAAGTAAACTCAAGAAATTAAAAAAAAAAAAATTTATTCATTTAGAGTTGTTTTATTTCCCTCTTAACTAATTATTTTTCACTAGGTTACTTGAAGTTTTTTTGAAAAATTATCTATATACCTTTTAGTAGTCTTCGTTTCCCATATATATACTGGATTTAATATTAAATCGAGGTTATATTTTGGGTATATTAACTTTTTAGCAATAGTAGTTGGCGATTTTTATATTATACTTGGCTTTAATTCTTAATTGAAACCTAGAATCGATATCAGTATACCAACCAAATATGCAATCTCCAAATATCTGCTATGGTGTGGCATTTAGATCATTAGCTACTGCTGATAATGATTTATTTCACCAAACCGTTAAATTTTATCATTCTCTAGGTTTCTCTACAATTAAAGATTTCGACAAATTTAGACATGGCCAAAACTCTTTGTTAGCCTCTGGTACTTCAGATGGTTCAATGAAGGAAGTTTGGTTGGAAGCCTTCAAATTAAGCGAAGTCGATGAATCAGGTTTCAGAATCCCTCAACAAGAAGCATCAAACAGACACCAAAGTCAAGGTGCTTTGTTGAAGTTGCGTTTGATTATGGACAGAGAATCTCATCACGCTGATATCATTAAAACTCCAGTTACTTCATCAATTACCTACTTCTCTACCGAATTAGACCAAATCTTGTCCACTTTCTCAAATGCCGTCAAGATTTCTGACTCTTTGGTCTCTTTGGTCGACCCATTGGGCAACGAAATTTACTTCTCTTCTTTTGCTAATGCCAACGATACCCAACCAACTGATAAGAAATACTATTTGAACCCATCTCCAGAAGAATTAGCTAAAGACAAAATTGCTTTAGAAGCTGCTACCATCTTGAAACAATCTGTCTCTACTAATGGTATCAAGAAGAAGCTTGCTGTTATGACCTCTGGTGGTGATTCCCCAGGTATGAATGCTGCTGTTCGTGCTGTCGTCAGAGCAGGTATCCACTACGGTTGTGACGTTTACGCTGTTTACGAAGGTTACGAAGGTTTGCTAAGAGGTGGTCAATATTTGAAGAAGATGGAATGGGAAGACGTCAGAGGTTGGTTAAGTGAAGGTGGTACTTTAATCGGTACTGCTCGTTCCCTAGATTTCAGACAACGTTGGGGTCGTAAACAAGCCGCTGGAAACTTGATTTCTGAAGGTATCGATGCTCTTATCGTCTGTGGTGGTGACGGTTCTTTAACTGGTGCCGATTTATTCAGACATGAATGGCCATCTTTAGTCGAAGAGTTAGTTAAAGATGGTAAATTCACCCAAGAACAAGTCGAACCATACAAGAACTTGACCATTGTTGGTTTAGTCGGTTCCATCGATAACGATATGTCTGGTACTGATTCTACCATTGGTGCTTACTCTTCTTTAGAAAGAATCTCTGAAATGGTTGACTACATCGATGCTACAGCTAAATCTCACTCCAGAGCTTTCGTTGTTGAAGTCATGGGTAGACACTGTGGTTGGTTAGCTTTAATGGCTGGTATCGCTACTGGTGCTGATTATATCTTCATTCCAGAAAGAGCTTCTCCAAAGGGTAAGTGGGAAGATGACTTAAAGGAAGTTTGTAAGAGACACAAGAGTAAAGGTAGAAGAAACATCACAGTCATTGTCGCTGAAGGTGCTTTAGATAACGAATTGAACCCAATTACTGCTGAAGATGTTAAGAACGTCTTAGTCGAATTAGGTTTGGATACCAGAGTTACTATCTTGGGTCACGTCCAAAGAGGTGGTACTGCTGTCGCTCATGATAGATGGTTAGCTACTTTACAAGGTGTTGATGCTGTTAAGGCTGTTTTGGAAAACACACCAGAAACTCCATCTCCATTGATCGGTATTAACGAAAACAAGATTGTCAGAATGCCTTTAGTCGAATCTGTCAAGTTGACTGGTTCCGTTGCTACTGCTATTGCTGCCAAGGACTTCGACAAAGCCATTTCTTTAAGAGACCCAGAATTCATTGAATTATACGAAAATTTCTTATCCACTACTGTCAGGGATGATGGTTCTGAATTGTTACCAGAAGATAAGAGATTGAACATCGGTATCGTCCATGTCGGCGCTCCATCTGCTGCTTTGAACGCTGCTACCCGTGCTGCCACCCTATACTGTTTGTCTCATGGTCACAAACCAGTTGCTATCTTGAATGGTTTCAGTGGTTTAATTCAAACTGGTGAAGTTAAGGAATTATCCTGGTTAGATGTTGAAAACTGGCACAATTTGGGTGGTTCCGAAATTGGTACCAACAGATCTGTTGCTGCTGAAGACATGGGTACCATTGCATACTATTTCCAAAAGAACAAGTTGGATGGTTTAATCATCTTAGGTGGTTTCGAAGGTTTCAGATCTTTGAAACAATTACGTGATGCTAGAGAAAAATACCCAATCTTCAACATTCCATTAGTATTGATCCCATCAACCGTTTCTAACAACGTTCCAGGTACTGAATACTCTTTAGGTGTTGATACCTGTTTGAATGCTTTAGTCCAGTACACTGATGAAATTAAACAATCTGCCTCTGCTAGTAGAAGAAGAGTTTTCGTTGTTGAAGTTCAAGGTGGTCACTCTGGTTACATTGCTACTTTCACCGGATTGGTTACTGGTGCCGTCTCCGTTTACACACCAGAAGACAAGATCAACTTGGCATCCATCCAAGAAGATATTGCCTTATTGAAGGAAAACTTCTCCCACGATAAAGGTGAAAACCGTAACGGTAAGATTTTGATCAGAAATGAAGAAGCCTCATCTGTATACAGCACTGATATGATTTCAGATATCATCAGTGAAGCCTCCTCCAAGAAGTTCGGTGTCAGAACCGCTATTCCAGGTCACTTCCAACAAGGTGGTTCTCCATCTTCTAAAGATCGTGTTATCGCTTCTCGTTTTGCTGTCAGATGTATCAAATTTATTGAACAATGGAATGAAAGAAACCAAAAGACTGGTGAAAACATTGATTCTAAGGTTTTGAGATTTACATTCAACGACCAAGCCGAAAAAATACCAACTGTAGAACACGAAGATGACTCAGCTGCTGTCATCTGTGTCAACGGTTCCGCTATCTCTTTCAAGCCAGTTGCTGAATTATGGGAAAACGAAACCAATGTTGCATTGAGAAAGGGTCATGAAGTTCACTGGACTGAATTCAAGGAAATTAACGATGTTCTATCCGGTAGAATCAGATTAAGAGCTGAAATCGCCGAATCTGCTAACGAATCCCAATAAATAGCATAATGTCACCAAGCCCAAGATTCATTGAAAAGTGAACATAACGATACGACTTTTTTATAAACATTACAAGGTAATTTACAAAGCTGCTGCATACAAAGATAACATAATCATATCTCATAGATTTATCTAAGGCACTCTTTGTATCTGCCACCAGTACTAATATTTTTTTTTACACTTACCACCACAACCATTATTCTCCTACCTTATTCAACTATTACCTTATATTTATCTAAAATATAAAACCTATATAAACTAAATAACCTTATTAATTGAATGACAAAAGATTTGTTTTGATAATGGTACCCAATCCAAAAAAATCCTATCCACATCTTCTATTCATTAGATGATAAAACGGTGATGATTTTTACTGACCTTTGAGGTTTTTAAAAATGTCAATACTTAAAGGTTTCGGAGTTAATAACCATAATTCCAAAGGAAAAAAAAACTTTTGAAGTTTAGCCAGACGAATTTGACTCTTTTTAATATTGATTTTCAGTTTGTGGGGAAAGAGGAAGGACGGAGGGATATCATATTTAAGTGAATGACTGATCAAGACTATCACTTTTCAGAGTTTGTTTTGTTGAACAATAATAAATTTATCGTTTATTTAAGAAGAGCTTTTGAAAAGGGTTTGTAATCAAGGATATTTCTTACGGTTTAGTTTGGATTAACAGTAAGAAGATATTAAGTTAAGATTTGGATAAGACGTATAATATTGACAGTTTGAGAGATGTCTTCTGTTTGTCAGAGTAATCCATTACAGCAGTTTGCTAGAAAAGGTGAGCAAGCCACTGGAAGATGGAGATTAAATGAAGGCAGAGTTCAAAATCGTGGTGGAGAGTCTATCCAGAATAGTGTTGAGAATGAGTTTTTAAGGAATGATGAGAGTTTGAGTATACGTGGGGGGAATCAGCCTCATAACATGTTTGGGAGAGCTCCTGCACAGATGGGCCATTCTAGTGGTGTTGTTGAGAAGGAATCGTGGTTAAATGAGTTTTCGAAAATAGCGATCAAGGATCCTCTGGAGTTTAGTGACCGTTATAAGCAGCTATATTCCAACTATGAAACCAGACAGACTGTTACTTCTATGCATAACCAGGGTTATTACCAACCCATGTCTAATATGAATTTACATGTACAGCAAAATTGGTCGATGATGGAAGGTCAAATAAACCAGAGCATGAATAGTCAAGAAACTGCACACATCGATCAAGCACATAACGATTTGGATATGTATTTAGAGAAAGAATTTAATGATATTGAACTAGAACTACAAGAGTTGGATGAGCATTCGCATTCTGAATTTGCATCTGGAGTTCAAGAACAACAAAAGTTCAAAGAAATAGCTACAGATATCGTAGATACATGCATTACAAACAATAAGAATTCGACAATGACTTCAAAGCTGGCTAAGTCAAAATTCATGGGGTTGATGATGCAGATCAGCGATGGAGAAGTGACTTTAAAAATAGACGAGCATCCTGATGCAAATACAAATGCAAAAGAATTATACTCTACCAAAACTGGAAAGACAGTAGGCAATGATTTTCACGACATTCAAGACACTATTAGTGATATTTAATCACGATAAAATGATCAACTTGTAGCACTTATTGGTTCAAAAAAATAAAAATGTATAGGTAATAAAAAAAGGAAATCCTACATCAATTTATAATATTCATTAATATTTTTTTATGTACTTATCTATCATTATATATCTGATTTGTATCAATTAAAATCTATCATTTCAACGACCTTCCTTCTGTTGTTAACCTGTCTAATTCGATTTTCATTGTCATCCTCTTCTACATTATCTCCTATAGAAACGTCTCTTAATTTAGAAGAGCTGTTCTCGACTTCAACGTCTCCAGTTACTTTTCTTCTTGTTTTAAATTGTTTTATGTTATATTCAATAGTAGGTGAATCATTAGCATCGTCCGATGCATTAGAGAACTCTAAGCTATCTGTTTTTGTATTAATTTGTGGTTTCGATCCTTTGAGCTCATCATCAGGCTTCCCTAACAATCCAGTCTTGACTTCACTAACAAAATTCCATATAGATCTAGATGAATAACTGTTATCATTAGCTTCTGATGAATTGTGTGAGTTCTGTTGTCTAGAGGACTCCCTTACAAAAGAATTCGAATTCTGATCGTAATATTGACCAGGTTCTTCTGTTATAGGAGCAAATGTTGACGCCGTAGGCTCTGGGCTTGATTCCCAATTTAAACTTTTCTCAACTTCCTGCTGGATTATCTGATCTAGTCTAGTGAACATACTCAAGGACTTACTCCAAATTGATTCGTTGGCCTCATCTTCTTGCCCTTCTTCTTGCTTAGGACTTAAATTTGAAAGCGCTCTACTATGGATCTTGGAATTACCGGATGATATCGAATTCGATGACTTCGGTATATTCAGTTTAGTCTCACTTTCTGCTCTGGATATTGTTGGAATCAGTTCATTAGTGGTGCTATCGATAACATAATCCTGTCCATCAGCAATTTGAATGCTATGATTGTTATTATTACTCCCAAATGTTGTTGGGTTCAAATAACTACTGACCTGCTCTTTTAGAGATTTTAACTCTAAAGCTCCTTGATTATATGCATTTTCTTCTGAGGCTAGCTGCCTTCTTAAATCCTCAATTCGTTGTTTCGTTTCTAACAGCTCGAGTTCTTTACTGGCCAAGCTCTGTAGCAGTGAACTGATGCCCAAAGAACCATCCTGACTGACATCGTTCATAATTGACTGCGAACTACTTCTTCGTGAATGCATCGAAGTGTTGCTAATAACACGTTGGTGCCCAGAGAGTTTCCTAGTTTCAGATGCAACTGGACCAGCACTAGAGAAATTATTACCATGGTGATCTGGAGAGATTGGAGCCGTAATAGGTTGGATCAAGGAGCGCCGTTTACTCTTGTTATTAGATTTGGACTTGACATTAGAACCATTCGCCGAAGGAATGTCTTTCAGAGGATGCTCTCCTTCATTGAGTCGCACTGGTGTCAATAATTGCGGTGACAAATTTGTCTTCCCAGCTGTACTTCCTACACTTGAACCTGTACCAGATCTTCTAGAGAACGACCTCAAAGGAGACACCGAGCTATGCGAGTTACTGTTCTTAGTATCAGAAGTAGGTGTGTTGGGAACAGTGGTAGCCCTTGTACCAGTATCCATTTCAAGGTTCTTATCTCCGTTTTCAATAAACACATCGAACTTGGTCTTTAAATCAAGCATCCCCACAGACTCGTCCACATTGTCAGAATCCATTCTACCAGACTTATAAAACCTCTTCAATCCTGGATCGACTAAGAAATTTAAACTTTCCCTTAAGGTTCCCTTTGCCAATCAACAAAAACCCGTCTCTAGACCGTCCTACACCAGTTTAAACCCTTATAAAAACACAACTATACCAACAACCAAATGAGAGCTATGTAATCCGAATCTGGATCAATCATATAACCACTCTCTTGCTGACTTAGAACCTGATTTATACTCATCAATAGTCCTGTTCACTAACTTTAACCTTATTATAATTTTATATGGCTCTTAATCTTAATTTCGATATCAAATTTCTATCACTATAAACGAGCTGGATCAAAATATTTCATCAGAGTTTAAGAACAGAAACAAATAATAAACCAAAATTGTTTCATAAGAGCATTAAGACATTTGGTATAAAACAAGAGTAGATCTTGTGTATAAGGTGTCTTAAATTTGTTCTGGATTGTTGGGTTTTAATTTGAGAAGGTATATAAACCAGTTGGGTTTGTTTTTGAGTGAACTTTGGGGACCTCGCGGTTGATTGATTAAGATATTCGCAAGCGATAATTGATAGTGGTCTATTCCAGAAGGACAGTATTTAATTTATTGTCTGCGGTTACATATAAATATTTTGGATATCAGAAATGGCTCCGTTTAAGTTTGGGAAGAAATTGAACCTCGACAAGATTGGACCGAAATCATTGCAAAATAATAACAATAATAATAATAACAATAATAATAATGCAGGGACTCAGGGAAATAATATATCGCCATCGGATGGTGTTCAAGCTACGAATACGTTCAAATCTCAGTATGGGGGTCAACAGCAACATTTGCAGCAAAAACAACTTTCGAATCAGAATTTTCAACAGCAACAACAATATAAACAGCCTATGAATAATGCTAATGGTCACTACCAAGCTCAACAGAATTATAATAATTACTCGTTATCATCACAGCAGCAAGGTAGACTTCAACCTACCCCTGCTCCAAGTCAACAACGTAATGTGTCTGGAGCTGCCACTACATTAATGCCAAGACAAAAAGAATATACTCCATGGAACAGAATTAAACTACAGAATTCTCCTTTCCCAAGGTACAGACACGTCTCATCTGCTTATGCAACAGCAAGTAACAATATTTACATATTAGGCGGTTTACACGATCAAAGTGTTTATGGCGACACCTGGATTATCTCTTGTAACCCAGATGCAACACAATTCTCATCTAAATCTGTCGATATTGGTGAAAATACTCCTCCACCTAGAGTTGGACATGCAGCCACATTATGTGGTAATGCATTCATTGTATTTGGTGGTGACACTCATAAAGTAAACAAAGAAGGTCTGATGGATGATGACATATATTTGTTCAATATCAATTCTTACAAATGGACCATTCCTAACCCTATAGGACCTCGTCCATTAGGTCGTTACGGTCATAAAATCTGTATATTAGCTACTTCAACGGTAAAGACCAAGCTTTACCTGTTTGGTGGTCAATTTGACGATACCTACTTCAACGATCTTGCAGTTTTCGATCTATCATCGTTTAGAAGGCAAGATTCCCATTGGGAATTCATTAAATCAAAAGGTTTTATGCCTCCACCTTTAACAAATCATACAATGGTAACATATGGATCAGATCTATGGATCTATGGTGGTGATACACAGCAAGGCTTGATTAATGATATATTTAAGTTTTCACCTAATACTAATACATGGACAAAAGTTGAAACCACAGGTACTAAACCTCCACCAATGCAAGAGCACGCTGCGGTTGTTTATAAAAATATTATGTGTGTTGTCGGTGGTAAAGATGAAAATGACATGTATTTAAATTCAGTTTACTTATTCAATTTTGATAGTTCTAAGTGGTACACATTTCCAGATTTTAAGTCTGGTATTATTCAGGGCCGTTCAGGACATTCCGTCACTTTATTGAACAATGACAAGCTTTTAATAATGGGTGGTGATAAATATGATTTTGCTAGACCTGGCGATTATGATCTTCATACTTCTGAAATTGACGAGGGTGTTGGTACTATTTTATACACTCTCGATTTATCTCGTCTTTCAAATCTATGTCCTGGAATTTTTGATAAACCGGTTAAAACTGACCAAAGTCCGAAGAGAAATCAAGAGAATGTACCTTCACCTTTACCAATTGAAGAAAACACTGAGAACGAAGCTGATAATTACTTGGCAGAGCCACAACCTCAAACTAATATTCTAACACCAAACCAACCTTCGGTAGCAACTCCAAACTTGGCTAATACTCCACCATATAATTCTAAATCAAATGCAGTAGATGAATTTGAAAAAACTTTGGATAGCATTAATTTTTCTGAAATCCCTGTTGAAAAGAAAGTGGAACCAAAAATACCTGCAATCGAAGCTAGCAGTTCTAGTGATGGTGCTACGACTACTGGTGTACCTGAAGATTCGTCAATAGAAAAGGCAGTAAGTAGCCCTCAAGAAAAGAAAATTGATTCCATCAAAAACGGTGAAGTTTCAGGTACATTACAGGTTGATAGTACCGATGTTATTGGTCTAGCTACAGTTGTCAGTTCACCAAAAAAAGGATCTGTTCAATATGACAGTGCAGGGAAGTCCAGCATATTAGAGGCACTTGATCAAGATACCATTAGAACCGAGGATAAAATTGATAATATAGAATTGGGATCCTCTACAAAGTTGAATACGACTACACCTGTAGAGAAAGCAGTATTTGCAGAAACTAGTTTCGATGATAGTTATGATATTACAGAGAGTTATACTCAACATCCTAAATCTGATGAAAAGGCGATTTTCGAACAATTACGTTTGCAACTCGCAGAATTAAGACATGAAACAGAAGTTAAAGCTAAGGAAGCTAGTGATCATATCAAGGAGCTAGAAGATGAAAATAAGAGACTACAAAGCAGTTTGTCCAGTAACTCTAAGGCGAATATGGAAATAATTAGCCTACAATCTAAATATGACATATTAGAAGCTGATTATAATTCTTTGGAAGACAAAATGTCAGAAAGTGACCGTTTGCTAAAGTCCAACTTTCTTGATGTTTCAAATCTAAATATTATTATAAAGGCTCAGTCTGAAAAATTGAAGGATGCAGAAGAAGGTTTGACACTTCTAGAAAGTCATAAAGAGCTGAAATCGAAGTATAGCGCATTGGAATCAGAGAATGCAGAATTGAAATCAAAACTGGAAAAGCTAGATGGTCAAGAATTCAGAAATAATATTTTAACATATTCTCAAAATATAGATTTATTTATGAATGAGTGGAAAAAGGGAAAGCTTAATACCGAAAATGAAGCCATAAGTAAAGATTCTGATACTAATAAGTCTCCAGTTAGTCCAACTTCGTCAAAAAGTCAACATCATAAGGCAGTTATCAGCAAGCTTTCTTCAAGACTTGATGAACTTTTACATAAAAGCGAAGACCTTGCTGATACTAAGGATAAATTGACAACAGATTATAAACAGTTAGAATCGAAGCACAAATCATTAAGTCAAGAATACTTAGCCAGTCAATCTAAGCTTCAGTTGGCAGAGAATAATTATAGAGATAGTTTAACCTCAGTAACGAATACAAGCAAAGCATTAGAGGTTACTCAAACAGAATTGTCAAAATATAAAATCGAATATACCAAAATTAAAGATGAACTAGAAAAGGTAAAATTTGCAAATGTGAGTTCCCCAAATGGTAACAATTTAGAAGAAGGTGACATAAATGCTAATGGCAATAATAATTTAAGAGATGCTCAAGTAGATATGAAGATTAAAGATCTAAAGGCAGAACTAATAATCATTAAACAAGAAAGAGATGAATTAAAAAATGAAGTTGTTTCAATAAAAAAGAAAATGCTGACAATGGATAAGAATAATCAATTGTAGTGTACATATATAATTTATTTAAAATTCATTAATTGAACTATCATCATGTAATATCAATGGTGGACTACTATCCTTGTAGCTCTTGTTATTGTTATTGTTATTGTTATTGTTATTATTATTGCTATTGTAGATAAACAAAGATGAATCACTATTTATAATTCCATAAGTTGGTTGGATGTTAGCATTATTGAAATATTCACTCTTGGACTCTTGGATTTGAACCTTCGCAAGTGGACTCTCTGAAGAAAGAAGTAAAGTAGTGCAATTGGCATTATTGTCGTTGTAAGTTTCCTCAATAGAATCAGTAGATATTAAAACATTTTGAGGATTATCTTTAAAGAAAAACTCCATTGTATCAACACAGGTATCACTATGTAGGATCTGTAACTCACTTTCAGGTATCATAGGAAAGGATACATCTATATTTTTATTAGACTTTTGTAATACAGGCCATTGGTATTGAGGGAAAGTACACCATTTTTTGCTAGTTTGAAAAGTAGTGCTAGAACTGCTATTTTTAAATGGTTCAATATCCATACAGTCACTATTCCTTTTGAGACCACTATCGCTGTCCTTTAAACCACATGAAGACATTATTTGTTTAAATTCTTCTTCACTAATTGAAGAAATTGGACCATTATTTAATCCAAACTTTTCTCTCCTAGTGTTTGAGATTCTATATTTCTTGCAGAATTCAGAAATAGTAACTATCTCTTTGGCTAATCCCTCTTTATCCTCCATTGACTCTTCTTGGCTATCAGATACTTATCTACAATATCTATAATATATTACACTTCCAGGTCTCTTTTATATTATGCATCGATAGAGCCTCATATTTAAAGGGAAGCTTTAAAATTAACCGCCATTTAAAAATAACTACCACTTTTATAAATAATAATGTATCAAGAGAAAGAAGTATAATGGGATGTTTCAAGTAGTTACAACAGCAATCGTACATAGAATTGAGCTCGTGATATTGGTTTGGTTATATAAGGACAGTTTTGTTGTTTCTGTTGCCCTTGTTTTGGTGATTTTAGTAGGATATGAGACGACCAAGAGTGACATGTTTAAATTTAAATCCCAATTTATATTTAAGATAGCAAACAGACATATGGGATAATATAGAGAATGAAACGTGTTAGAAGTGGTAATTGTCCTTGAATGTTTGCAGTGGTAGCTTATTTTGGTCTTTTGAAGAACTCTAGATATATTGGATATCGTTGGGATACTCCCATTTGTGTTATGCTTTAAATCATGGTAAGATTATGTTTTATGAAGATTGTTAGACTTTATTAGTCTAATATATAACTTAAGATGAGGCATGGGCTGGATAAGAGTGTCATATTTGGTGTATCATGGCCTTGTACAGTGGTCTCATTTTGAATTTGAGATCCAAAACGTCAACAACCAACAGAAACGATACTGTATCACGTGATATACTGTTCTTTTGTTTCTTTGAAAAGAACGTTCTCTCTGAGCTGTTCTTTTGCTTTAGCTCAGAGCTACCTAATGCCATCTACTTCCATTAACGATTATTGATTTCATGTTTGTTATCTATTATGTGAAGGCAGTTCCTAAGGGTGTGTGGGAATAGCTTTCTTTACATTGAGTGTTTTTCATGTACCGAGACGTATCGGTTGCTGTAGGGGAATATGCAAGAGGTGGGTTGTGGATAACAACGTATGCTGGCTGATATAAGTCAGCGGAAATGAAGATTATTTGTTCTGTTGAAGCAACATCATGTGGGAGTGTAATTTTAATTCACTTATTCACTGTACGATCAAGCAAATAAGTTTAATAAGTTTAAGTTTGTTTGCTTACATGTAACATACTTCTATTGATTGTTGTTTAATATATATTTTTTAGAAGAAGGTTTGCATTGATACTTTAAAAGAAACGACCACGTTATTGTTTAATTTTTATAACAGCTCTTACTTGTTTCGAACCTGGAGCAAACGAATTGAATATAAAAACCGATCTGTTAATTAAGAGTTCGATTAAAAAGAAGATTGAATTATAGACACAGTAACGAAGCTTAATAGAATAGTAGGTAACTTAATTGGATATTCAACTACAATATGTCCCAAGGAGCCACATATGTTAAAAGAGTCTCCTTTGATGATTTAGCCCCATCCTTTATAGACGATCAAATTCAATTATTAAAGAAGGAGAAGAAATTCATTGGATTTAACAATCAATTCATTCATGTCCCACCACAGTACAATCCACTATTTAACGGCTCAACTACGAGTTCGAGTGATATTTCACCCACAAACTCAAGAGAGGGCAGTGCTCAGCCTAATACCTGTGACTTAAATACCACTTCTGCTTCAAGTAATGATACAAAAATTCATAATATGTACAATTCATTGTTTGTATCTCTTCCAGGTACTTCATTGAAAAAGTCGAGTAGTCATGATGTTCTAAGAGAAAGGAGCATTTCACCGTTTTATAATTCTGAATTTAAATCTAACAGGGCAAGATTACCACCCCCACCAAAAATTCCTTCTATTAAGGATAAACCTCGTTACGTTGATGAACAAGTTGAGATACAGGACGTTGATATCTCGAATATGGATTTTAATGAAGAAAAGGAAATGGAGCACATTACTAATAGAAATACAGTTGATAATTCAGGTTCTAGAAAAGTTTCTCAGGCTGCATTCTCAAATTTAAACGAAGTAGAAGATAGAATTAGCAATTCGTCTAAGTTAAAGTTACCAATTACAAATAGTCAACCTGATGGACCTCCCAAAAGAAAATCATTCGCTGGTATGTCATTAAAGGAATTAGAAGAGTTAGAATCATCATATTCAGCATTGGGTAGGTCGACGAAACATGATATTAATAACTTTGACTTTGGTAAACAAGATACCTTATTTATTGGAAAAATTAAGTCCAAAAATTCACCAGCTTCCCTTAATGCTAGTACGAATTTTAAAGATCCCTTTGCTGCATTATATCCTTCTAGGCCTTCTGTTAATCATAGAGCTATTAGTATGACCGAGATGCATCGTGATTACAAAGAATATATATCAAATTCAATTCACTCACCTATTCATCATATCAAAGACAATTGTTCGATAGAACATACAAGAGGTCCAAGGGTAATTCTTTGCTATATATCTGGTAAAAGATATACTTGGTCTTCTGTAGATTGGTTTATTCAAAATGAAGTGGCAGATGGTGACCATTTAGTTATAGTGAGTACTATTCCTGACTATGAGGAAAAAATCAAGCTTTCTTCAATCTCTTCGTCATCTTCAACATCATCAGTGAGAAATTTAGGTTCAAAACCTAGTTATACTTATTCGAATCCAATGAAAGATTTTCCAACGAGAAGAAATTCATATGCTTCAAAAGAAGGCTCATTAGAAATTTCAGAATCTTCTACATTATATTCTTCAAAAGATGCTTTAAATAATATCCCAAACAGTATGAGATTGGAAGCAATACATGATAGAGCTGTTCAGAAGGCAAACAAAATTTTAAAGTATTATTCCTCAAAATTACAAGATAAAATTATTAAAGTTACTGTTGAAATAATCAAGGACTCTTCAAAAAAAGATGCATTAGCCAGGTCAATTGCATTATATAAGCCCGACTGGCAGATTATCAGTACGGTAAGTGCTAATTTGCAAATAAAGTTTAGAAATGGAAAAGTAAAATTACCATTTTTCTTGATGAAACATGCAATTACCCCAACTTGTGTTATACCTTATGAATTTATGGATCCTGGCTTGGTAGATCACATTGATGAACCTGAAAAGTTTACTAGGAAATCCATTGCTCCCCCAGACAAAATGAAGTGGGTCAGTGAAACTATCAAGAAAACCTTAAATAATCCATATTTGAGGCCCGAATTATCTACAGATGGCACAGATGCTAAATCTTTTGATAGTGTTGAGGATGAAGACGACATTGTTGCAGATTCTATTAATGAATACTATCCAATAACGCCAGATATACAAAGGAAAATGGATCTGTTCGAAAGGATTGGTTATGTTAGGCCAACACCATGTCGTCAAGAAAACTTATCTCCTGTAGACAGTGTTGATGGTCGTAAGATGGAACCAGTTACATCGAGAAGTTCTGGTCGTAGTTCAAGAATTCAATTTCAGGATGATTGTATGTATAAGGTACGTTCACTTATCCCAGATTCTGATGTTGAGCCACACACTGATGATATGATAAGGAAAACAAAATCATCTGTTGGACCAACCCTGCATACACAGAGCTCTAAAACAAGCTCAAGTAGTAGTAAGCATAACAAGTCAAAAGAAAGAAAGGCAAATTTCAAACAAAGCTCTAGTCAACCAAATATGACCCATCACTCGAAACATAATGTATCATCCATTAAAGATAATAGAGAACGGAATGATACTAAAGAACAAGGTAAAGGGGGTTCAAAGAAAGGTTTTGGGTCTCTCTTCAAAAAGGTTTTCCATTAAGGGTCCTTACATTACAGTCTAAATTTTATGCATTTTCATCACTTAGCGATGTCACCCGACAGGTACCCTTTTATTTGAGAAGTTGAGGTTAGAGTTGAGCATTTATCTAAAATGAAATAAAACAGAAAAACGATTCATATAAAGCTCTATGGGGTCTCAAATCGAGTTATAATGTTTGCCTTCCATACTTCCAGGATTAAAATTCAGTTTTATTCGAGACTAAGATACAAATGTGTGTTATATGGGTTTGTAGCGAAACATAAAAAAAGAAAATACCCAAATTACTGATCATACCTTTATATTGACATTACAATCATCAAATGAAGTTAAATTCAGAAGTATTTAAAGAGGCGCAACTGGCTGCCAGAGCACCAAGATTTAGATATTTAATTCTAGGATTGGTGTGTGGTGCGGTAGTACCCACCATCTATATGAGACGGTACATAGCAACAAGACCAAGCAAAGAGAGCCTCCAAGATATCAACGCTATCAAGGAGCAGGCAAGAGCTATCGAAGAAGGATCCAAGTTGCTCGATTTTGACGTTACATCGACTAGAGAAATGCTTAACGTCCCGCTTGCCTCATGGCACCTCAATGGAAACACAAAATATATCACTGACGAAAAATTCAGAAGCATGGTCGATGACAATTCAATGATCCTCTTCTCATCAATGGTTTAATCAACCACATCAAAAGACAGACAATGGCATCCAAGTTATATCCAAGAAAACTTGAAAGTTTATTTTATTTTACTATGATCCCTTGTTATTTAAAGAACATTATGAGAATTAAATGAAAAAATAAAAATAATAAAAAATAATAAAAAACAATATTTTGTATTCATGACCCTCAAATTAACGACAATTCTGCATCTAATCATTCAATGCATCCAACATTCTATACTTATATAGCCTTGTTACCACTAAATATGTTTAACATTACACTTCTTTATAGTTTAATTAACACATTTCTTATTCGCTTTGGTCTCTTAGACATCAAATTTTTTTTTTGTTAGTAGCATCACTATGAGAAAAATATCCAAATAATTTGATATTTAAACTTAAACCAGCAACCTCTTTATGAGAAGAAGTTTTGGTTCTTTTGGTTAGGTACATGGTCAAAGCCGGTAGTGGCAGGTTTAAAATTGATTATTTGTTTGATTTCCAAGAAACATGGGTGTTGACTATTATCGTCAAGTCGATTTGATTAACGAATTAGTAGTTACCAAGGGAGAAAGCATTATTACTCCTCGTAATATTGCTCAAGAAGAATATGATTTGGATTCTCCTTCTAAAGGTAGAAGTAAAGTTGTTAAATTGATTGGTTCTAATAGGATTATTGATGGTGTTTCGGTACGTTGTCCACCTTATTTATTAAATTTTTTCAATTTGACTGGTTACAGGTTGAATAACAGGTATAATAATGTTTATAATAAAGTAGAAGATGTTTCCAGCAGGTATTATCGTATGGAAAAGAAAGTTACCAGTAGAATTGCAGGGTTGCATTCTGATCGTGATGAACAACTTTTGAAGGGTTTTGCTTTTACTTTAGTTTCAGGTATGACAGGTTCAATTTTATTTAGAAGAAGAAACATATTAGCAAGGTTTACTATGCCAATAGTGTTTGCCCTAGCATGTTTTAGTTATGCATTGCCAACTACTTATGATAACACTATGGATTTGATACATGATGTCGAAGAATCTTTATTCCCAAATTTTGTAGCCAAACAAGATGTCATTGTAGCAAAGGGAAGAATTGGTATCGATCACACTATTATGACTTATGAAATTATCAAGGATAAATTGAGTTCAGTCAATAACTTTATCAAGGGACACATTAACTTCAACTAGTCACTTACGAAAATGTAGGTCAGCGTAGTGTCTATATTCCTTAAAGTTTTTACAACCATTCTTTTTTTTATATGTTTATTTTCTGTTAATAATTTTGATATTCTTCTCATCATTTATATTTATGTACTAATATATTCTAAATATATATATATATCACCTTTCTCACTTCCTCAGCTTTTCTGATAGGTACTTAGCACTAAAGACTTCTGAAAAGTTGATAATTCATAATTTTAAAAATTCATTGTCATAGAATTATAATTATACATGCTTAAGAACTGGTCTTATATATATCTATATATATTTACTTAATAAAAAACATTAGTCGTAACAATCATACCTTAATGGTGGACATCTTTGGACCGAATGGTTCGTAATGGATCATGTCTGCAGTGTGTTCCAAACCATTCAAGTGGTCGATCATAGCATTCATGAAATCCAAAGAACCACAGATATAAACATCAGAACCAGATGGAACCTTAGCCTTCAAGAAATCAGCATCGATACGAGCTTGGTCGTTAGTGTGAACAATGATCTTTTCGACGTTGTTACATTCTGACAACAAAGCATCGACATGCTTCTTGAAAGCTTGAGTAGTTTCGTCCTTGGAAGATTGAATCCAGTAAATTGGTCTAGCTGGGTTAGCCTTTACTTGAGTTTCCAACATACTCAACAATGGAGTGACACCGACACCGGAACCCAATAAGACTAATGGAACTTCGTTTTGTTCGATCAATTTTTCATCTAGGGCAAAGTCACCAGCTGGGGCACTTAACAAAATGTTGTCACCAATTTTAACATCCTTGTGTAAGAATTCAGAGACCAAACCGATATCTTTACCTGGGGTTTCTTCCAACTTAACAGCAAACTTTAAACCACCATCGGTAGATGAAGAACAGATAGAGTAATGACGCAAAGCATCGTATTGGTTTTCGTGTCTGGTTGGGTGAGTGTTAACAGTGATATATTGACCAGCAGTAATCTTCAAAGCGTTCAAATCAATACCAGAACCGTTTACTGGCTTAACAGTGAATTCGACGATTTCTTTAGCAACTTGTTGACGGTCAATAACTTCAAATGGTTTCCAACTTGGCCAAGCAGCTTCATCGTACATTTCCTTTTCAACAGTAATGAAGACATTAGCGATTTCTTCATAAGCTTCACCCCAAGCCTTGATGATTTCTGGAGTAGCGGCATCACCTAAAACTTCCTTGATGGCAATCAACAAGTTCTTACCGACAATTGGGTAGTGTTCTGGCATAATTTGTAGAGCACGGTGCTTGTGACCAATTTGCTTAACATGGCCGATCAATGGAGACAAGTCATCAATGTGTTTAGCGGCAGCCAAGACGGTAGTAGCCAAAGCGGTTGGTTGAGCACCCTTTTTTTGGTTAACCTTGTTGAAAATGTTCAACAATTCAGTGTTGCTAGACAACATGTTCTTGTAGAAGGTCTTGGTAATAAGAGTACCTTGAGTTTCCAAAACTGGAACGGTAGCCTTGATAATTGCTCTAGTTTCTTCGGATAACATTTTATTATTATTCTTAGTGTGTACAACTGTTAGATGTATGCGTTTCTTTTTTACTGATATATATTAGCCGATTGGGAAATACTATCAATGATGAGATGATGGTTCTTTCTTTTGTATTATAACTAATACACAATTTAAAAATATGATAATGGAGAGAACACAAAAATTAGATTCAATGATGATAATAGCATTGGCTATTTATATTGTTCCAAACTCATTAATCTCTTGATCAGATCGGACATCTCAAAACTTAGCTTACTATTAACTACGATCAAAAGAAACGCTTCTGGTGGGAACATACTTTCCCTCCCCCATGCCCCCCACAGAATAGAAGATACAGTTCCTAGAGCTACTGGGAAACACATTAGCACTTCAGAAATAGCACATTGCAAAACCTCACCTCATCCGACAACCTTTCCCAACCTCTTTGCTTCAAGCCATCTCTCTTACAGGTAATTAACATTATTAATTTCAATTACTCAGTTTATTTTATATCGGTTTCGAACCACGCTTCTGCGATGGTTTCTTCGGAAAAAAGAAAAGTTTGCCATATTATAAAAAGAAAAAACGAGCTTAGTAAAACAGTAATAAACCTCAAGAATGTTGAGATTTCGAGACTGAATTCGAGAAGATTTGACGTGTTTGTAGAAGAGATGGACATCTTTGGAGGATTTCCTCGAGCAATGATGCAGACTAGTTCTCTGTGAACCGTTTGAGGTACTGTGATTTGGATGAAGTCAGTGATGGGACCTGTGGCAGAGACGAAAATAGCTTTTTAGCATTAGTAAGTTTAAAAGCAACAACGAGATATTAGCTATAATGTCATTGGAACGAAGTTATTGGTTGAGCTTTTGGGAGGGATGTAAATGGCATTACGTGAAGCTAATTATGGGTTTGTGTTCAATGACAATGGTTTATGGTTTTGTTTAGCTTTTTGGGATTTTTTTTTTGTACACGATGTGCAGTTCGTAGGTACAGTCTTTCCTTTTGAATTATATTATTCTGCTTTTTTTTTGACTTTTGCTACTCAAAAGCTTTTGTAATCGATGCCTGTTGGATCGTTTAGGTCAACTGTTAGCGAAAATAGACATTTGACACACCAATCCCATTCCACTGCTAACCCCGTTTTATTTCTTGTAATGTTATTGCTCTTTAATTGAGTTTTAAATCGTTTCACTTGGGTTGCCTTATTAGATATCAAAACATATGCCGGAACCACAGGGTTCTCATCTTCACCTTCATCTCCTTCTTGGCTTGGTGAAGCTCGGTTTAGCTTAAGCTCTTGAATGGTAAACTTGTTAGATACGACGTTCACCGTTTCGATGCCATGTACTTTTAGGATAGATGTAATGGCATTAATACCTCCGGGGATATCACTGACTATGTTAATATGTCTGATTTTTGCCCTTTCGAATAGTTTGGTTCCTAATGCTGATTTCTTTTGGATTGTTGTGATATCGATATCAGGTATCGTAAACTGGCTTAGATCGAATTCTATGCTAGCTGGTTTTCTATGGTGGATTCTGTCTAATATGGCCATTACAAAATCAGGCAGTAAGGCATTTTGCAAAGGTGTGAAACTTAGACTCTTGAGAAACTTGACTGTTCTGAGCTTCTTCGGGGCGATAATCGTATTTAATTGATACATCTCATCGACTTCGTTATAAATATAAATACCTATCAATCTTAAGATAACTAAATCAATTTCATTTATTTTATCCAAACAGCCAGTGCAAACAGCTCTAATATTGTAGATATTCTCTTCAGTCGACTGGCTCCCATCCATACATCTTAAAACTCGATCCAAGGTATCTTTGTCTAAAACATCAGTTAAAATGGTTATGGCATTGGTGAGATTATCAGCGCTTGTTCCCGGTATACCTGTTATTGAACCTTCAATGTTAGCTTGTGATTTGGCACGTTTAGAACTTCTTGTTCTTTCTTCAACTTCGTGCTTGATTGATTGTGACCTAGTATGTCTTGACCTCTTACCCTGAGTTAATCTGCTTTCATTGGAAACATCACTATGTCCTGAATCTCTGTCTACCGATTCTACTACTGAAACTGATTCAAGAAATGACAAGTTAGCAGATGCGTCTGTAACTAAAGATAATGGGGAATCGCTTGCCAAATACTTTTGAGATTCAACTGGAATCTCAGAAGTATTTGATGGTTCTTCATTTATTAGTATTTGATCTGAACTCACAATAAATTCATCATTTGACTTTTTTTCAACTTCTAACGATTTAGTGAAAGTTTCTTCTAATAATGGAGCACTTGATGCATCGAATGTGCTTTTAACATTTTCAGGTTTAGACTCTTCTATTGAAATGATTTCTACTTGTTTTACAACTACTTCTTTTTCAATTGAAGGCTTTTCTTCTCCATTAATGTGCATTTCATTATTTGTAACTTCTTTAGTTCTTCTCTGAATTAACTCTTCATTTGATTGTGGTATCACTTCTGCACCAGTGATGTAAATAGCATCTTTTGCTGAAACTTCTCCCATTTTTCCCTGTTTTACAATATCTTTCGAATGTTTAATTTGTTCATCACTTTTTAAATCATCTCTGCTTTTTGTAGGGCTTTGAACTGTTTGAATGTCAATTTCAGTATCAAGTGAGACATATTTCACTTCATCCTTTTCTGGTTCCTCTGTTTTGTTTATTGTATTATTAAGTTCATCATTATATATTTCAATTATTTCTTCATGGATCACATCATTTGAATTTTCTTCTGTCTGACTACCCAGTTCAGTTGCAACATACTTCGGACTCTGAGAAGAGATATCTTCAACTTTAGATGATTCTTTTGACAACTCAGTTACTGCATCAGATTCTACATTTGGAGCAGGACTAGCTAAAGTACGGTTTTGTCCTAATGCACCTATGAATGATTCAGGAACAATATAGTTTCTAAATAATTTTGGATCTAGCTTTTTATTAGCTTTATAACATTCTTCTAGCCAATTTGGTCCCACAATTATCAACTTATCTCCCCATTTCTCTGCTGTTTTATATTTCATTCCTTCTGGAATACCATAAACTAAACAATTGTTAATATGTGATAGTGTCGCAGTAGTCACTCCTCCTAACGCATTGGTTAACGTCTTGATATATGTCCTTTGAGGTCCAAACAGATTTGTATATGTTAGAATAAGTTCATCTTTATTGAATACTGATTTCTTATAAGGATGGTACATTATATTTTCAGGTTTCTGGAATTTCTTTAAATTCAAAAGATAAAAGAGCCATGATACATTCCCTAGAGAACAATTTTTTGATGAGGCTGTCTTATATTCTTCTGTTCCTTCTTGATATCCCATGAAATGGCAATTACTAGAGAGTAAATTAATTTCAGATTCATCTAATATTAAACCTCCTCTAGAAGTGATGATTTCTGTTATGATATTTATTATTTTTTTATCAGAAGATACATCTTTTCCAATTAGGAAAGAATGTCCCGACATAAACTTGTCCACTGTCGATGTATGATCAGCACTGTGCCTATTCAATATCTTCCATATTGATTCTAATCTCTCCTTAGCTGTACCTATACTATCCATGGGAGAAATAAAATGGTCTCTTTCTAAAACATGTCTGTTCTGCTTGAAACATGCAATTAACCACGTTGGAAATACGAATTGAACTCTTATATCGTGTTTATACCCTAAAACTGTCAAAAGTGCAGGATCATTGGGCATTGTAGTAATTATATGAGTAGTTGTATTGGTAATACCTTCCGAATAGTTCCCACCTAAATATGTTATAAGTTCTCTATAAAATAGTCTCTCAGAGTTATCGAAATCATGTTTGGAGATATATATCAAACTGTTTCTCAAAAAATGGTCTTTATTTGGTGAAAATATTGAAACTCTAGATAACCTACCTGCTGATAAGCTCGAATGTATCCAATCTGGTGTCACTACAGGTACTAAGAAGTCTGCAGTAATAGTTTCATAAAATGCAAAATCAATCGTATTTGAAATAACAAAATGGAATATTACATCGCCATAACGATCTATAAACTGTTTTGAATCTAACTTGGTACCAGAATCACTCTCTTCTCCATGATTTTTGTATATTTCACATCTATTCGATGAGTTTTCATTGAGCAGCCTTATAAGTTCACTAACTGATTCATCTGATGCCTCATCCTCCTGGATGACCAAGAAATTGAGGTTTGTGAACAATTCGCCTCCCATTTCGACCAATTGTAGTTATCGTGGTTACCAACTGGTTTATTCTCTTGGTATTCTTCCCGAAACCCAGCTATTAATCAGGTTCTGTATATATTAAATTATAAATAAGATTAAATACGCGAAATATTTCAATGTGTCAACCTCATCGCAACTGAGCCCAGACTTAATTCAATTGATAAATCGATCCCCAACGGCAATTAATCAGTTCATTATACCTGATAGTTGCCGGTTATCTGTTTTCTTTCCCCAGGTTCAATATGTTAAGAATTCGTTATTTAACATTATCTTTCTAGATAGACATTATATAAATGGATGAAAGCTATGTATTGGATGAGTAAAGTTAAGACCAGGAAATACCATTAGATATTTGCCAAAAAATATGTCTTGACGTTCTCGTTTGCAGCTACATCTACAGGTTTGAGACCTGAAGGGTCTTCAATTTGATAGTCAGCATTATATTTATTAACCAACAACACAGCAATATCAGCATGGCCTTCAGCCAATGCATGGTGTAGAGGAGTCCAACCTTGGAAATCCTTTGCATTCACAGGACTATTCTTATCACAGAGCAATTCAACTAAAGCCATTGACCCAACTGAAACAGCTCTATGTAGAGGTAACTGTAATTTTTTATCCTTCACCCTAACAGAGGCACCATTATCCAAAAGAAACTTCACAACGTCGTTATGCTTCTTGGAAACAGCTAAGTGTAAAGCGGTGACTCCTTGAGCTGTAGGTAAACCCAAATCTGGAGCAACATCTCTCTCATACAACATTTTTACAATATTCAAGTTCCCAACAGAACAAGCAATATGGAAGGGAGTCCAACCAGAATTATCACTTAACTGATCTATATCAATTCCCTTCATGTTGTCAAGCAACAAACGCACAATGGGTTCATATTGGAACGATACAGCCCAATGTAAACCAGTTCTTCCATCTAAATCCACCTTAGTCACATCCTGTGGTGATTGCTCTAAAAATTCCTGTACTTTCTTCAAATCATTGTCCATGCAGGCAGATTGCAATTGGAATACCTTATCACTATCCATCTTGTACTAATCCTAAAACTCAATTCAATTATACCAATCTCTTTATCAATAACAGAATAGATCTCTCTGTTAACCCTTGCTCCTCGCTCAACAACTTTTCTTGTAGAAACGACCAGAACTCCAATCAAAATACAATAAACACCGTATGCAAGCGTTACCAGTCTTAAATACAATCCTAATCCACTGTTTCAGACCAATCTGGGTTATTGTAACGCAATAAATAAATCAAAAAGGGTGAATCTCTCACTCTCACGTGATGTCGTGAATTTTTTAATAAAGGTGAAGTTCCCAAATTGATCCTTTAAATTAAGCCAATTGAAAAATATCCAAATGGTAATAGTCTTAAGTTTTATATATAAAAGAGATTAATAAAAATTTTTATAAAGGTTTATAATTGGGTAGAGAGGGGTTTAATTGTAACTCAGGTGTTGTTTATTTTATTGACTATAATTTTTTTTGTATAGTTGGTGTTTTTTTATTATCAGGAGAAAAGTGGGAAAGAAGACTATAGCTTATTAAGAATCTATAATGAGTAGAAATCCAGGTGACTTTCAAAAATTTGCAAAGGCTTTTCAACAGCAGTTATCTAGAGTCCAACAAGCTAACCGTGGTGGTTCTGGTGGACGTGGTGGTGCTCCTAATGGTGCATTTGCAGGGTTAGGTGGGTTGCTTTTATTAGGTGGTGGTGCTTTATTTTTCAATTCTGCTTTATTTAATGTCGATGGTGGTCATAGAGCTATTGTTTATTCACGTATTGGTGGTGTTTCTTCAAAAATATATAATGAAGGTACTCATTTTGTGTTGCCTTGGTTGGAAACTCCTGTTGTCTATGATGTGAGAGCTAAACCTCGTAATGTGGCCTCTCTGACAGGTACCAAGGACTTACAAATGGTGAACATTACTTGCAGAGTGTTGTCTAGACCTGATGTTTCTCAGTTACCTACTATTTACCGTACTTTGGGTCAAGACTATGACGAAAGGGTCTTGCCTTCAATTGTCAATGAGGTTTTGAAAGCCGTAGTAGCACAATTCAATGCTTCTCAATTAATTACGCAAAGAGAAAAAGTTTCGAGATTAATTCGTGAAAACTTGGTCAATCGTGCTGGTAGGTTCAACTTGATACTAGACGATGTCTCAATTACCTATATGACATTTTCTCCAGAGTTCACTAATGCTGTTGAAGCTAAACAAATTGCTCAACAAGATGCTCAAAGAGCTGCATTTGTTGTAGATAAGGCTAAACAAGAGAAGCAAGGTATGGTCGTCAAGGCACAGGGTGAAGCTAAATCTGCTGAATTGATTGGTGAAGCCATTAAGAAATCTAAGGATTATGTGGAATTAAAGAGATTGGACACTGCCAGAGAAATTGCTGATATCTTGGCCAAATCTCCAAACAGGGTCGTCTTAGATAACGAATCTTTGTTATTGAACACATTGTCTGATACTAGAAACAGAAAATAAATATTCTAATGGAACCTTAATTATATCTTATTTTTTTTACTTATGCTTTTATTTTAGGTCAACCAGAAATCAAAAATCAAAAATCAAAAATCCCATGCAATTTGTATATAAGAACGTGTTAATAGTATAGAATAATATTTTTTTTATTCAATATATATAATTGAGGACAATGAATCCAACGGGTTCATTACTATTTTATATCGTATCAATATAATAATGATGATGATGTTAACTATATTAACTATTGACAAAGGATCTATATATGTGAACTTTCCATCATAAAAATGACGATAATGCAAAACGTACGTATCTAGGTATTCTCAAAGAGGATTAAAATTTGTGAGTCTCATGAACAAAAAAGGAATAGACGGTATTCAGGGCAGTGGTTATATGGTCCCATGCTATATTATATTTTCCTTTATATATTCATGTTAATTTATTTATTTTTTTTCTTGTAATATCTTCTTTGGAATAATTCATTAAAAATGCAATCATGAAATGGCGACGGTCATTATACTGATAGGTCACTATCTGAGTGCTCTATATCAATATCACCATCTCTGTCCACTTTCAGGACTTTGAAACTCATTTGTTCTTCTGGATCTTCGTCATCACTTTTCTTAGTGAAAGCTAGCTTAGTAGGATTTGATCTTATCTTACACAAAACAGATTGATAATCATTCAGCTTTTGCGAACATGGTGACAAGATACTATCAGTTGGTGATGCAAACTTGGTTCTCAATTTCAATTCCAATTGTTTCTTCTGTTGTCCATCTATTGGCTTCTTAAATATCGATTTATGAAGGGGAACTCTAGACTTCAATTTCCCATGTCGACGAAACACATTATTTTCAATCCCAGTAGAAAAAGAAGAACCTCCAGTTTTCTTCGACACTTCAGTATTACTATTTTTACTCAATACACTTTTACAATCCTTTATATTCGTAATATCATTCAATGCCTCATTGCAACTTGCTGTCTGTTTGCAGTCAATCTTGTCGTTTACACTGCTGCTCGTCGTCATGGTACTGTACTCAAGTCTCGCCGTCTCGACTTGAATCTTGACAATACCTTGGCAAAGAACTAATTTGTAACCTCATATATATATGTCTATATATATAGATTAGTTCCATCATAAAAGATTCGTTTCTATCCTTTGATCTGCCAATTCCTATCCCCCCTCTCCCAATTTCCTCCCCGTTTCAACATCAATCTCAGATGCTGCTCCTACAAACAAGGAATCCCTCAAAGTATAGACAAATAGCCCCTGTAACCCTTCCAGATCCTCACAATAGCCCACTTCTGACTACGATCTTTACGTATTTTGTGAATATTTCAGGTTTAACTTTCGATGGGCTTTACCGTTTTACCCTATTTACATGTTTCCTAATTTGGAAATATTATTGATCCGTTATACTGTCCGGGTGTTAACTATGTGATTTGGTATAGCGTACCATGGATGGTCCGGACACCATGTCAAGTTTGAGGTTCAACAAGTAAAACGATGATGAAACTAATTGAATCATCGATACGTATGAGATGGTGAGGTAAGTTCTATTGTATTATCCTTGTCTGTTGATGTTTCGTCTTACCAGATGATTCTTTGTGGGAATTGTTCTGAGTTCCAAGAGAATGGATGTTTGATGAAAACTAGTATTGTAAAAACATTGATTGCAGCAAACCATAAAAACTCAAACGACAGTCTTCTTGTTGAGCCTATAGTGACAGCAGGAGTTCCTTCTGGAGCAGGTACTAGTTCTGAAATAATTGGTTCTGCGGTACAAGTAACGAATATTCTCCAGAAATAATATGGAAGGATATAGTAACGAGGTTCAAATAATGGAGATGGGATTAATGTAATCATTGTGCATAAGATCAGAGCAGTCCATGATATGTGTGTCAATTGAATTGGTAGTTCAATTGGCTCCTTTACTGGAAGTGGCATAATTGGATGGAATGTCATTTCACTTGGTCTTAGTACTTCCAAATATGTAAAGATTGAAAAATGGTATACTGGTGCCATTAAAACGTATTTAAACAACCTTCTAGGGTTGCCTATGATTCTCTTAAATAGGTAAAATGTAAAATGCCTATTGTCTGCTAGTAGAAAAGGATGCACTTTAGTGAAAAATCTTATGGTCAGCATTATTCCAATAATCTCAATAAAACATTGGAATTGTTTTACCTGCCAACGAGTTCTATAATTTCTCAAGAAATTTCTTGAAAGCCATAATGGAAGACTGAAAAATGTAATGAATAAGAAACAATAAAATATTTGTACCAAATGAATGCCTGCGGAATGATTTGATTTATCACCAAGGGTAATAGATCTGTTCCAAATCAAATATATGAAAAACAGCACATAATTGATGAAATATGGTAGTACAATAGTTTCAAACTCATCAAAGGCATGGATTAGCAGTTTCAAATAGTTGTTTATAGTATGAGAATTGAACTTTTTGTTAATGGCTGCCCTACGTTCAATAGCAATTACCATAATAAAACCTGTCCAAATGATATTAGTCTGTCTAAACAGGCAACTAATCCCAGCAAATATACCACTCAACCATATACTAGTTCTTTCACCGAATGGCAAAGTCAATACGAAGTTCAACGATTGCAAGATGAAAATAGTAGACCAGACATCGGTGTAGTATAGATAATAATATGTAGTCATCAATGGGAAACACATTAGAGTAATTGGCCAAAACCCAATTGCATTGAACAAAAATAAAGGTCTTAGAACGACAATTGGCAACACAACAATACCACCGATTAAATTAACTAACCTCAGAATAGTTAAAGTACTCCAAGAGGTGAAAACTCTAAAAATATGGTAATTCAACCAACCTAAGATATACAATCCTGGTGGGGTTGTAATCTTAGGGTCCCAAGTAAACCAATCGTTCTTAATATACTTGATAGTTTGGTTTACATGGAAAAACTCATCAATGAATAAATATGGTACGACTCTAGTTGTTAAGTACCTAAATGTTAATAGAAATGCAATAACTAAAATAGGATAACTCACTAAATTCATAAAAAACCCAGTAACAACCTCTTGTTGTAAGTTCCTCTGAATCCCAGGTGCAATCATTTGAATTGACTCTTCAATTTCAAGAACTTCATCATTTTCGGTTTTACCACTACCATTACCACTATTATTCGACATTATCTCGACTAATTTCTATCCGTTTTTCTTGATTCAAAACTTCAACTAAACTAGAGAATAACAACAATAAATTCAATCCAACAATAGATCCAAACCTCGTCGATAACACTCTTGCTTCTTCCATTAAAATATCTTTCTATGTTGTATTAATTTCAAATATCAATAATTTTTCACTTTTTAATATAGCAAACATCAAATTGAAAAAAACACCATATTGATAAGAAGCAACTGTTATAACAAAGCAATAATATTGATAAAGACAGATAGGATTAAGGTGCTTGGAAGGGATCAATAGTTTAGCTACTTGGGAGTTAGTTTATGTTGACATTGATATTTGATTAGCGATGATTGTGATGCAGTTGCAGCAACAACTGCTGATTTGGGTTATATTTTGGTTAAACTATGCCACTGCATTAACGAACTTTACTTGGTCCAGTGATTCACCATCGATGGTTTATGCTCTTCGAGCACAGAGGGACGTTATGTCTAGTGCTACGATTGATCAGCTGCCACTGGTTGGTGTTGATGTTGGTCGTGTATTCATCAATGGGATGGTGATTGAAAATAAAGATGAGGATGAGGAAGATGAGGATTTGCTGGTCATGTTGGAATCATTGTTAGAGGCAGGAGTACAAGCTCTAAGTGTAGATGTGGAATATAAAGATGAAATCTGGGTAGTTGGGAACTCTACTATTGCCTTCGATGATTTCCTCTTGACAGTACGGGATTTTTTAGATGGAACCAATACAGATCTTTCAGCAAATATATTAATGGTAATGTTAAGGATCCAGCCGAACTCATCAGATTATGGTTCTCCCAGCACGTTTAATAATTATACTCACGGCTACAATTACTCAGATATTAGTGATTATAACAAGGACGATATTGGCGATGCTTCCGACATAGAAGCTCTTATATATTCAAATATTGGCCGGTCATATATATACTCCCCAGAAGATTTGGTTGATGATAGAAACAAGAGTTATACATCAGATATTTATGGGTTAAACTCAGTAAATGGATGGCCTACTTTATCACATTTTCTCTATCAGAAGAGGAAGAGAGTCTTATTTACAGAATTGACTACTGAGATGCCTTACAATACATCTTCCCTTCTTTTCAACAAAACAATATTACACTTAGATGGGGGGAATATAGCTATTAGTTGCCCAACTTCAAATAGTGAACTTACAGAACTTTCGCTAGTTGCGTGGAGATTTATAGAAAACGAATTTACAGATGATTCTGTTCGATCTTACGTGGATTGTGGATATTCGCCTATTATTGCTAACAAATACAATCAAAATAATATAACACACTTATTAAACTTGACTCAATCTGCATTATTATGGTCTTGGGAAGTTGGACAACCTTCAACAAATGAAAAGAAAAACTCAGACACTTTGGAAGCATATAATTGTGTTTCCTTTGTTTATACAGCAAATAACTATTCGGCTTACTGGAAAGTAGAAAACTGCTATGACGAAAAGAAGGGTTTATGTGAAGCAAAAACGGATTTATTTTCATATATAGTATCAGAAAATGTCGATAGTTATTTCAATTTTGACAGTTTTGACGGTTCAAATTGCCCCGATGGATTTGATTTTTCAATCCCAAAGACACCTTTGGAACAACTTGCAGTTATAAATTATTTAAGACTTCGAAATTCATCAGATACTGAAATATGGATCGATTTGAACTCAATCTCGGTCAATAATTGTTGGGTTACTGGTGGTCCTTACGCTACATGCCCATATGAAACAGTAATGTCAAGAAGAAATTTTACTAAAATGATAACGCCAGCTTCAATAACTTCATTTGGATTGCTAGTACTAGTCACATGTTTGAATCTACTAAGTCTTCCAATTCATGATAACAGAAGTAATTGGAGGCGTATGATAAACAAACTGTCAAGAAATGAATTTGACGGTGTTCCTGCATAATTAAAAATACTCATTTTCAGCATTGCATTAGTATGTATATATAATATATATAATACCACATAAAATTAATAATTAAAAATATCATCATATAGAATATAAAAATCATACATACTTCATTCACTAGAAATCTGCTATCTACATACATCATAAGCTTAAGGGTGATCAAATTTGAGGTTTATTTGCTGGTCTTGCAAAACGTAAAACTCTCCTTGTTAACCTTCTACGTTTGAATTGATCATCAACCAAATATTGCCCACTAATAGTCAAGTTTAATCCTCTTTCCTCACTCCATTTTTTAGCGTTTGGATCAACTTCCCATGGAGCATTTTCGTCAAAATACCATGTTCTTGGCGGCTCAATATCCTTTAAATTATCCACACCTGGGGGTGGTTGTTGTAATTTCCTATACTGATCATGTGGATCAAAGACTTGATTTGAAAATTTATAGAATTTCCAATGGTGTGGAGTTATTCCTTGTTCCAAAATTTCGAAAATTTCAACATGTTTAACTTCTGGTTTTTCATCCAAAATTACGTCGTATCTTTCTTTCTTCTCTAAAGCCTTCCTACCCTCTTCTACTTTATCTGATTCCATCAATTTTAGAAGGTGTTCTCTAATATTTGGATGTATGCAAATTAATATCAGCCAAGTATTAAAACTAAAAAAAAAGCTCCAGTTGATATATGGCGCTAATGCCCATAAGCAACCTGTAGCTAAAAAACATGTGAAAAAAAGAATTGTAGACCTTCTTTCATCTTTGAATCCTGCTGCACCGTAGATAAACTTATCAGTTGCCTGTGAAACTTGGACTAAACTTGTAGTTATATTCTGTACATCCCTTAAATTCATCACTACAGCCATACTATGGCTAACACTATTTGTATCACTAAAGTTAGATGTAGCCCCAGAATCACCACTCTGAAGCTCATTTAAAGATTCTACCAAAGTATTGTTCGGATACCAAGCATTACTTGGACCACTGGAAGCAATATCTTCGAGTAATGACCTTCCATAAGATGTTCTGCTGGGATAGATAGCTCTGTGAAGGGGATGTCTATGGATATAACCGGGAATCATGACCATATACATCAATGTAACCAAAGGAAGTAACAGTAGTATTATTGGATTATAAAATAGCATGGTCATACTAATCAACAAGGTAACTGTACCTGATGGGTTTCTCCAGGTAATTAAACGAATCACTGTTTCTTGCATATCAAACATTGCGGTCATTTTTGAGCCTAATTTACCCATGTTTCTACCTAATGTAGACGCTGATATTGGTTGATGTTTCTTCAAATCTGGTGATAAAACCCTTTCAGAGAACTGTTCTCTTTCAGGTAACTTCTCAGGTACAATTTTGCTAATTAATTTATCAACAAATATATCCAAAAAGTGCTCCTTAGGTTGATGTTCACCCTTAAGAGACCCATCACCTTCAGGCAACGAAGTAGAAGGAGGGGTATCCAACTCATACTCTTGTTTAAAATTTTCATCTTTCCAAAAACTATCACTACTCTCAGATCCTTGATCAGATGAAGCATCAGTCGAAGCAGATTTATCGCGTTTGTACTTTTCAATAGAAGCATTTATTAATGAAGCAGTAATGGTGTGAATTAGATCTCTATTGGAATTAGAAGCAGTGTCCTCTATCTCATTCACTATTAGAGAATCGACAATTTTTTCATACCTCCTAGTGAAAAAATGTCGTATCAATCCCTTTTCACTTACCTCAGACATTATAAACCAAATTCTCTCTCTCCTTCTTTCTTATAACCTATAACTATTAAATATTGAGTATCTAATTGCAATCCTAAACTACCCTTAGACTAAAAAATCAACTCTATTCAAGTTCTTTCTATCATATTTAAAGAGTATTAACGATACTTTCTTGTTAGTAATGTTTTTTTATGTGTGCTTTTTATATCGATGCCCTTAATCGATATCGATGACTTTAAGTCTTTTTTTTTTTGATATTTGTCACGTGATTGGTATCATTTTATAATCGAACCGAAAGGACTACAAGACAGAGACAGACCAGATTCGGTTTGCCAGCTGGCAATGATGGATAATAAACTACAAAGGACACACTTCTTTCAGGAATTGTCATTGTTGGATAGTGATATTATGAGTTTGGATTGGTTGAATTGTTATTAAATTATTGTTAATCGAGTATAGTTTGATTCTGATATTATATAGAATTTTATTAAAATATAGGACTTTTGTGAAATATATATATTTATGTAACTAGTGAAAAATAGGATGATATGATCATAGATCTTTTAGTATACTTGATAAATAGTGGCACTCGTTGGCTTCAATGTTGTTAGATGATCCTTACTCAATACTTATGTTTATGTTTATGTGAATGGGGACTGAGAGAGTTAGTTAGTGGGGTCATCTTATTAGGTGTCCATTGTTAGTGCTAATTCCTTCTATATATTCAATGATATTTGAGCCGTATAGCCCTGTTTCTTGTGCTTCCTGTATTGTTGACTCTTTGTCGTTCCACAGTTCGTAAAATCTAATGGTTTCATCATTGGTGGCGACACAGATAGATGTGAAGTTAGGTGATGCCACTGCGCTTAGAACTCTAAATGGTACCGGTGACCTCACTTGTAGTATTGGCTCTAGCTTAGGGTACGAATACAACGTCACTAATACTGGGTTTTCAATTTCACCGAATCCGAATGTCGCTACAATCTGTTTATATCTGGTAGACCAGATAAGAGAAGTTATTTGACCTGAAGTAAAGATCTCTCCTAATAATGTCCCTGTTCTTGCATGCCAAAACTTGATTGTTCTATCTTTGCTTCCACCTCCGGTAGCTAATAAGGATTTAGACCATGGGCAAAATGCTACGGCTTTGACTGCAGCCTTGTGAGATAAAGTATGTAACAACTTTGGCGCTGTAATATCTTCTAGTGACCATACAGTGCACGAGTTATCATTTCCTCCCACTGCTAAAATATTACTTTTCTCGTTTAATGACATTCCTAGTTTTAAAGTTTTTAGAAATATGTTAAAAATTGTCAGTAAATTAAAATTCTGTTGAAATTTAAAATAACATAAAGCAAGTTAGAGTTAAAGGGTATCTAGAGAAAATAGTATTCAATACTTGAACATACCACAAACTTGTTGTGTTTGTGCTTGGAATTTAGTAACGTACTCCAGCTTCCAACAATACCTGTCATCATCACGTTTATCATTATCTTTGAAGTTGGGAGAATTTCTCCCAGAGTTTGAATAATAATTATCTGGTTCATTAAGTTCTAATTCTATTGAATTGGTCTGGTCCACCACTTTGATTAATGTCACATCGCCAGATTCTTCACCTATCAAAAATTGACAAGTAGGTGTATTTAAATACCATTCCACACAACTTATTCCCCTCAGCATTACAGATTGATATTCAAATAAAGGTTTTCCTGGGGATTCCAATGCTTTGAAATTTCGAAGACAACAATCTTGGTCAAACAACAATAGTCTTCCTTTCTTAGTCCCCACAACAAACAGGGAATTGTTTGGACAAAACGAAACACAAGTAACAAGATCATGTAAATTATGTAAGTATTCATGTTCGATAATAGGTATTGCACCTTGAGAATCTGACCAAATGTAAACTGAACAGCCAAGTCCCACTATGACGTTATTTGTAGTCTTTGACCAGGAAACTAAGTTTGAATAAAAATCATTTCTTAAGCATGGTGCATCTAGTACACGATAAGGTATATGTGACTTGATTCTCTTTGTAGGCCTCTTCGAGGAGATGTTTGAGACCAGTGATTTTGATTTTGACATTCTAAATTTCGTATTAGCCAAGTAGGACATTGCCTCTGTTGGCGGCAAAGTAGTAATCAAAGGGTCTATTTTCAATGGGTTGTAGCCCAGACTCTCTCTTGATGTGGATGATTCGTCGTTTAAATGTGTAAACACATAGACACGATCAGGAGAATGGAATCCCAAAGAATCAGCAATAAATTCCCTATGTATTTTCTCTTCAAAAGTCAACTTTGGTTTATTTTTATTTAGATGGTTATTTGAAAGGGGATTGTTACCATTATTTGGAATGTTAGTAGTAGTTGTATTATTGTTTGTGTTGTTATTATTATTATTATTGTTGTTGTTGTTGTTATTGTTATTAGTATTATTATTATGATTATTAGCAGTAGTAGTATTAGTAGTATTAGCATTGTTGTTGGCAGTAGCCGCAGTTGTGGTGGTAACAGCCCCTGACGAGCTCCCATTGTTGCTGCTACCAAACCCATCAGAAGAAGAATAGATGGTAGTGTTTGCAGTTGATATTCTCACAGCTTCATAATGACCAGTGCTTCTCAAATCGTGGAAAAATTCCGGAGACGACAACCTCTCAGGAGAAACAGACCTCTCGTAAACCTCTAAACTCCTCAAACTTGTCCTCAAAAACGTAGTCGATGTCTTATAAGCCTTCTGGGATGTAATACGAGGTATATACCTATCCCCATTTTTGCCGCCGAGCTTCCTCTTCATGATTTTTTTTTTGTTGTTGTCCTAGTAATTGAAATAACCCCAAATAAACAAACAAAACAAACCTAATAAAAAAATAATAGCACTCTATTCCTTGTCCAAGTTCAGAATATCAACCTCAACAGTCCCTGTATCAACCAATAATTAGCAATTAGTATTACCTTCCTTTTATTTTAAAACAAAATCCTGGTAAAGGTACTATATTATATTATTAAGCAAAAGATAAAGCAAAAAAAAACAGTTTCTAGTGTGTATATAAATACAGTCCTGGAAAAAACAAAATAAAACAACAGAAGGTGGGATTTCTTAAGGGCTAATCCTAACTAGCAAATATATGTGTGTGTGTGTATGGAAACCCTTCAAAACGAATGTCAACTAGTATGAATATGAATCTCTCTTTTAAAAACAATTGGATTAAAGTCTATAATGTTTAATAAATTTTGTTGTTTATCTTCAATAATTCAACTATTGAACAAGAACGAGTTGCTGATTGACTGCTGTTGAAAGTGGTAACCAAAGAGATAAATACTAAATATTATATAAAACTAGAGAAGAGAGAAAGAAATGGGTTTCGTGTATGTTCAAGTTTGATTCAATGTACTAGGATGGGATGGGATGGGATGAGAATGGGAATACAGAGTGATTATTTCATTTACAGTTAGTTATTAATAACCAACAATTGTCAGGAAAATGGTTATTGTTTGTGTGTTAGTTTGATTAATGTATTGCAAAAACCCTTGTTTAAATCAAAAAGAGACAATCACCTCACCAAAATCTTTTGCGGAAGAGGTTCCTCAAACTCGATGAGGTTGAGTAACACAGATTGTGATAAGATCACTCAGGCTTGCTGTTGAGGCTTGTTTTGTTTTTATAGAGGTTGAAAAGGTAGATGGTGGATGGGATGGGATGGGATGAGATGAGATGAGCTGTTTGTGCTGTGGCGGCGCTAGTAATAATTAAAGATTTTTCCCTTTTGGGACACAGTCACGTGAATATCACATGTGTGAATCATCCCCACCGCATATTTGAAACATTTTGGGCAGTTTCGTTCCATGGATCAGAGAGAGAGAGAGAGAGAGAGAGACCTACCTTCGATAATTAAATTCAATATTGATGGAGCCTTAAAGGGATCAGATTTGGTTTTAGAGTCCAGTTATTGAGTTATAAAGGGTTATAAGGATTGAATTTAACAGTACTCTTGTCTTCTCGTTACTGGTTAGTTTTTATTTGTTTGAATTTTGGGTCTTAAAACTCAGTTGTACGAACAAAAGTGTTATAAGGGAATCTATAATTGTTAAACTGTGATTTAAGGGTATCAGATTATACTCCAAGTAGAGAGATAGCAAAAAGAGAGATTACACGAGTCTATTTGTTTTATAGTAATTGGAAGTGTTTATTTGGTGATGAACATTAGACATGCTATTGTTGATAAACCACCTGTTAAGGCAGTCCGGTTTCTTAAGGTGAGTTTCAACCAGGATGAATCCTGTTTTAGTTGTGGGACTCAGGACGGATTTGTGGTTTTCAATTCAGATCCATTGACTTGTAAATTAATCAAAAAGTTTGACGATAAGGATAACAATGGTATTGGTCTCACAAGGATGCTTTACCGCACGAATTACACTGCGTTAGTTGGGGGTGGGAAAAAACCAAGATATCCACTAAATAAATTGATCATTTGGGATGATTTAAGGAAAACTGAGACTTCTGTACTGAAATTTATGTCTCCAGTGAAGGACGTCTTCTTATCAAGAGTTTATATTATAGTGGTGTTGGAAAATAGTATCGAGATTTTTTACTTCCAACCGACCCCTACCAGAATTTGCCCTTCTTTAGATATTTATCCTAATGGGATCGTGGATTTTGTCATGTCACAATCAAGGATACATAGAAGGAGATCCATAGAGATGGAGAACTCAGAATCGTCATCTTCGCTGCAAGGCATTTTAGCATTCCCATCGGCAAGAAGCGTGGGTCAAGTCCATATTACAAACCTATCTCAATTGAAACATAGTGACAGCAATCCTTCTGGAACACGACTTCTGCCAACATCAATCATAAAAGCACATAAATCAGCAATACGGATGTTGCGACTAAATCCTCAAGGTACTATGGTCGCAACTTGTTCGGTTCAAGGCACGCTAATTAGGATATTTAGTACTTTGAACGGTTCTTTACTCAGAGAGTTTAGAAGAGGCCTAGATCGAGCAGACATCTACGATATGGCTTTTAGTCATGGTGGTACAAAGCTTGCCGTAGTTTCAGACAAGCAAACGTTACACATTTTCCAAGTTTTATCATCTACACATCCTCAGAACAACGAAAGCACGATTACCAATAATAAACCTAATATGAATGATTCCTTCGATCATGGCAAGAACAAAGTTCACGCATTAAGAGATGTAATCCCCAACGTTTGGAAGCCAAAATATATAGACTCAATATGGTCTATGTGCAGCATTCATTTGACTAATCCATTGTTAAGAAGTAGCAGCAATAACGATAATGATCCAGATTTTTTACATGATAGATGTAAAATTGGATGGTGCCGGGATGCTACAGGATACACAAATGGAAACGTAGCTATTAATGATGATGATGAGGATAGTCTAATCTTAGTTTGGCAGAATAGAGGTATTTGGGAAAAATACGTTATTTTAGAAAAAGAAGAATCCAGCTATTCCACTTCAGAAACACTAAGAACTGAAAAACAAGATATTAAAAAATGGGATCTAATAAGAGAATCCTGGAGACAGATCTAGTAATTAAAGTCTCGATACCAAATCAATAATAATTTTCACTAAATTTTTACGTAACTTATATACAATTTTAATTTATTAAGCGGGAATATTTACATATGGGTAAAAATTTAAAATATGGGTGATTTTATCATTAAGTCAATCTTTCTATCAATACCTTTGAACCTATATCATTTTCTGTAATATATGCACCGTGGAAATTTCTTTTGAACCTTTCACATTCGGCTTCATTATTAAACGCCATATAATATAACGTTTTATATTTGAGGTCAGGATCAAAATATAGCTTGAAACAATGCTTTATATCATAGAACCAAAAACGGTCCATTACTTCATCTGAACTCTGTTTATCTGGTAAATTCCATACCAATGCTGATTTTGCTTCTACAGGTTTTATAAGTGACTGTAAATCTAAAAGATTCATGCCATCCATCTTTGAACCAAAATGAAGGGTCTCACATTTAATTGCAGCACCATATAACCCACCTGAATTATAAGCTGCTAATAGATTATTTACATATCTTCTATAGGAGTTGCTAACCGCATCCATGTCTTTATTTACAACTTCGAAGCGAACCTTTGCTTTATTTATTCTTGATGCTTTAGTATTTTCATAATAATATCGCAGTGATTTCTGATCTTTAAACAATAGAAGATAATTGTCTTTAAAATGAAAATACCTATGATCCCTCATTTTTGCTAAGTCAAAATTTTTTCCAATCGAATTAATTAATTTAACCCTATCTGGAGGGATAAATGTACTTTCAGGTAATATCTCCAAGAAATTGTTCTTTGTGAGTGCTGAATTATATGATCTGTATTTCAATATTTGTGAGTCTCCAGAGTAAGTAGCTTTAGAATCAATCTTAATTACATTTTCAGCAACTGGACGAGTCCCAATGATATTACCCTTTTTCATATGTGCAAAGACCTTTTTAATAACAGCCTTCTCGCTCATTTTTTGCCCCAGACAAATAAGATATGGAAGTCACCCTAAAAATTGAACGTCTAATATAATGATAAATATCCTCTTCATTCAAACCTAACAATTTCAGCTAAAAACAAAATCTAATCCACAAACTTTATGCATCTGCTTCCTCTAATACTTATTACACTAAATACCATTAATATATTGGGATTGGGCAATGGTCCTTACAGTTTATCTTTATTTCGTCATATTATGAAATTTGATATTAAATTGATGTAGAAAAATATATTACATATGAATCACGTGATATAATACTTACTATTCATAACGGAATGAAACATCTATAAATTGTTACAATGAGAGAGTAGAGAACTGTTCATATTCGGAACTTCCTTTTCCAGTTTAGCCACACAATTGAAGTGCTTCGTTCCGCCCAAACCGCTGTTGAATTAATTGATTCAATCTTCAGAAGATTAGGATTCTACTAGTTTCCTGGTTAATATTTGTTCTACTTTTAGGATAAAGTTATAAATTACATCAAGTTATGATAGCGCTGCATTTATAAATATTAGCTACAGTACCTTCTCAGAAATGAATCGTCTCGAGAAACGAATTTCCTAGTTGGGAAATATCTATAAAAACATTAAATTTCTTTTTATTTTTGAAATTTATAGCACAAAAAATACCACCAATTACCGGATCAGGAAAATTTCATTAGAAAGAGTTCGAGAGCAAGAACTGAAATGAGCTGTGCATTGAGATTTGGACGTTTCTATTGTTCAGCGTTTTATAACCAGTAATTGATCGATAATATCAAGAAATGGAAACATCCAGCAGTTATCGAAAGTTTAAGTTGGGTAAATTTTGGTCAAAGAGCAATGGCAATGGCGATGCCAACGTTTTTGATCTTGCAAGATATGATTCTGATCTGGTAAAATTCTCGTGTTATTTGCCGGGGACAAAATATTAGCATTATGTTTGTTTATGAAAGCCTGGTTCATTTTTATTTATTCATACTTATTTTTAAATTTTTTTGATCTGGATATTGCTATTCTTTCGATTAAGTTTGTAGATTCATGATTCTATAGTAATTAAAAGAGTTAAAGGCATTTATATAACTTCTGTCTACAAGTTACTTCACTTCTATCTATCTAGCCAAGCTGAAGGGAACATAGAAAGAGAGAATATTGGTTTTTGTTTGTATACAAGGACTGAAGTTTATAGGTGGACAGTAACATTTTTTAGCTTTTATTTTTTTCCCACAATAAAATACCAGACAGCTGGTAGGGTCACTACAATTAATTTGCAGTACTAAATATGTCAAGTTTCGTACCTACCAAGAGTTACAATGCTGGTTTCACTACGGAATACAGGGCATATATGAAGAGAGATGACAATGACAGTTCCTCATCTTCTGCTTCCAAAACTTCTTCCAACAAAAGTGCGACATCGTCCTGTGGTGGTGATGGTAAATGTAGATACCCATCCGATCATTCATATAGTACAACCGTTGGTGTTGCTGTAGGTGTGCCAGTTGCAGTTGTCGTTTTTCTCCTGGCAGCTATCTTGATTATTGTCTACAAAAGAAATAAGAAAGAAGCCGAAGAAGACAATGATCCTGATTTCCAAGGAGATATAGAATATATTCCACATATGGGTCCTAACATGGGAAGCTTCCCTATGAGTTCCTCTCAATCCGGCGATTCCTTTGAATTGAAAGACGATCAATACAGAGATACATATTTTATGCCTCCTCCACAACAAAACCAATACGCTAGAGCAACTTCCTTTGGTGGAGGTGGAATTGATAATTATGGTCACCTAGATCCTTTCCAAGTTCCACATGGTGTGGACTCAAACACTTTAAGAGATTTTGCAAGAAGTGTAGATGGTCCATCTATTGGTGGTTATCACGTTGCATCGTCATCGAAGAATACTAGTCAAATATCACTAACCAATGAACAACCAACTAATGTATTCATGAGCCAAGGTGACATAAACAGCGTTGAACCTGGTAAGTTTGCTCAATCGAGAGATGCATTATTAAGCGGGGAATATGAAGAAGAAAACAATTTCCCTTCAACAAACCATGATCAATCAATGGTTTCAAATATCCGTGATAGTCCTGTAAAAAGTGTCGTTGGCGAAGCTACAAGATTTTATGGCGATGACGAAAGTGGATATGACGTCGAAGAGTCTAAAATTCAAGATACAACCATTGAAAGATCTCAATCATCTCAACACGAATTTGATTTCGAAACTTCTGAGGATAAAATGGAAGGTGAGGATGATGAAGATAACAAAGTATATGCTGTGGATCCAGAAGATGAAAATGTCCAACGTCTAAAAAGTATTTATCAAGTTTATTTGGATAGGAATGAAACTGTCAAACAAAACCAACAACAGAATGTTATGGAACCTAAAAATGATATACTTCCAGATTCAAAGAGTGCTGAAATTATGAAAACAGACGACCATACTGGAGGTCCTGAAGCTAATTTTGATGTAGTTGATAATATAGAATTACGCGACAACTCAGAAATTGAACACAGAAAATCTCAATCAATCAACCATTTAACTACTGGCAATGAAGTAGAGTCAATTGGTCAAGGATCCTCAATGCATCATAGGGCAGTTTCTTCAATATATTCTGAACTTCCTACCCATGCAGCTCGTCAATCAGTTGTAAGAAACGATATTCAAGCTGCAATGAGTAATGAACCATATCCTAGCAACATCCAGTATGGAAATGAACCTCAAAATTATGCACAAAATAACAACAATTTACAATATGTAGACCAGCATCAACAATTACAACAAGAACCAGTTTACAACCACCATCCTCAAGCCGAATATTATAACAATTCTCAACCTCAACTAGGAGTTGCCGAACAGGGCTATTACGTGCAACCAAATCAGGCATACCAAGCATCAATATATTCTCAACAACAACAACAGCAACAACCAAACATGATGTATCAAAATCCACAGGAAATACAATATAAACATCCACAGCATCTGGAGAATATATCAGAATTACCAACACCATCTAGATTGGCACATTCCGAATCTGTCCATTCTTTAACATCATTCAATGGTAGAACCAAACCACAACAATTTCCAAGATTACAAGCTGCAAGATTAAATGGTTCAGCGCTGAATCCAATGGATCATCCAGAAATGTTTTACAAGCAAAATGATGGTCAGTACACAATGTATCAACAAAATGCTCAAGGATTCACTAGTGCAGAAAATATCCAAAATGTTACTCAACCACATCAATTGAGAGCAAGTATAGTAATGACTAATCCAACTTCCCTAAGTTTACCTGCCAGTTATAAACCAGCTGGTTCATTTAGAAATATCAATGCATCTAACTCTAGAAATAACAGTCTGACTGTCCAAAATAATCCATACCAGCAACAGATGGGTAATTCCAGAGTTAGTGGGTTATTAGATTACAGTGATGTGGTACAACCACCAGGCGTCAGTGGCATTATTCCACATAGTAGTTCTCATGATGATCTAAGAAAACAACTTGGTACTTCCAATAATTATCAAATGGATTTATAAAATTGATTAATGTCACTGGAACCAAATTTAATTTAGGGACAATATTTTAAAAGAGATGAAACATTGTAATAGAGCATAGACACAAGTTATCTTATATAGTTATATATAATTGAGTATAACAAAGAAAAATAAATTGCATTAAAGTCTTTATTATATGAATTAACGAAACGTTATATGATGATTAAAATTATATTGTACAGATATTTATATATATATATATGTAAGTAAGAAAATAAGATTACTATGTTATCTTTTTAAAATGCAAAGAGATCAATTGAGATATCACCAGATTCATCTAGAAACTAAACAAATAGTAGTTGAACTTAGCTGGGTAGATGTATGATATTCAAATAAGATTATGCTAAATCGAAATCATCGATTCTGTTTCTGTATTTCAAAACAGTTTGTTTAATCTTGGAAGAGTCTACCCAAGTGACATAATCTTCCATATTTCTAGTGACCAAGAAAGCTGGATCCGTAATCAAATTTGGGCCAACCCTTACATGACCTTGTTCGATATATTTAACTGCATCTTGAATTGTTTCTGCCATTTTCAATCTATGCATAATAACTGGCAGTCTTCTTCTACACACGGCACTTACAGTGACTTTATTTTCTAAATCAGATATTTTTGATTTAGTGGAAAGTATACCCATGGCATATAATTTTTCCAACAGTAGTTGTTCATGTTTTGATCTAAATGGGTCAGTTGGAGGTAATAAAGACAATTTATTAGCAAGACGACGGACATCACCACATATACGATTGTATTTATGATAATCTTCTCTATTCTGGATATGGTAGGTTCTCATAACCTGAGTATCACGATGTCCTTGGTCCTGTTTCCAGTCATAAAAATCGACCTTCTTCAACAATTTTTGTTCATGAAACTTCAATTTCCTTACCATTTTGCAGTTTTATTTTATTTTTTTATTGGTTCTTCTCGATCAAAGTTAATGCTCACAATCTCACAATCTCACAATCTCACTGACGATGTAACTTAATATATATTATGTAAACTGGCTGATGAGTAGCCTATACTTCCAAAAAAACCAGTATACTTTTTAAACCTTTGTCTTGCGATGAGCTAGCTAACTCATCAAGCATATATAATTTTTTGTTTCTTATTCAGTGGGTATAACAAATTTTTCATTTTTTTTCAAATGTGAACCAAAAAAAGAGAAAAAGTAGAGAGTTTCCGTTTTGGGTAAGAGATGCTGTCCGGCACGACAGGGATTGGACCGGACATCAAGGCGCTATCAAGTCAACAATGGGCGGCAAAACATCCACAAAAATTCACAAAAAGAAGTGACTAAACAATATATGCTGATGCCATTCTCCCCTAATTTCCTAATGTAGATCGTCATATAGTGTGGACACAAAAAAAAATAAAATAGAGATGCTGACGTGTTTTTGTGTTTTTGTGTTTTTGTTTTTGTGGAGGTGTGAGTGGCAGAAATTATTTGCAGATCTTAGCACAAGTGTGACAACTTCCAGTTCTTTTAGAAAACGTATATAAAGGACCATCGATTTTTAGAAAGTAATCTGTTTTTTTAATACTTCCTGAGATATGGGATACTGTTGTTCCAATATCTGTACAAAATCTGGCTAAGAGACATTACAACTCTGGTGCTTTTCATCGATACGCCATCGTTAATAGAAATATATTTGTTTTTAGTTGTTTAGTTCTAGTTTTATATACAATTTACTATATTCATGGTGGTTGATGAGGCTACCAGATTATGTCTTTACTTATTCTGTATGGCGACTATATGTATAGATATATGTAGATTTATAGCTGTGCATCTATATAAACGTGCCTTTGTGTTTTACCTAGCCGCAACAGAACATAACATCTGAACTAACACACTGTCACGTGCACAATTTTTTGAAACAAAAACACGTGATGATGTATGAAAAATCATTAGTGACGGAAGTACTTTTTTCCAAGTTTTACTTTACTCTCTTCTTCAGTTCCAATTGTTTGATTAACTACTTAGAAAAGCACTACTTATTAAGATCACTTATAGATTGAGGTTTTAAAGCTATAATATAGAGTTAGTCTACAAAACAGGAAGAACCCCCCATTAAGGATTATATTCATCCACATACAAATAAGCGATGTCATTGGTTTGGAGACGACAATTGTCCTGTGCAAGAATTTTGCAATCACATATAGGCTCAGCTCCTGTATTTTTACCAAAGGATACAAAAGTTGATATTACATCCATGCCTATTCCAAAGACCATAAGAAAGGGTAATAAAGTAATGGTCCTATCTCAAAACATTATTGTAGATGGTCCAAAGGGTAAGATTTCTATGGAAGTTCCAGATTTCGTTGGTATCAAGTCTTCCTCGGATAGTTTGAAGATAAATGTCACTGTCAACAACAACGCAGACCACATACAAAAGGCTATGTGGGGTACTGTAAGATCACACCTTAATAATCACATCACAGGTGTCAACGAAGGCCATTTGGCTACATTGAAATTCGTAGGAACAGGTTACAGAGCTGCTATCGAACAAAATGGTAAATTTGTCAGCTGTAAAGTAGGCGCCTCTATCCCACAAGGTCTACCTGTCCCAGAAGGCATCACTGTATCGTGTCCAACACCAACTTCCCTTGTTTTGGAAGGCTGTAACAAACAACAAGTACTTTTATTCGCCGCTAATTTGAGAAGCTTTCACCCACCCGAACCTTACAAAGGTAAAGGTATCTACGTCAACAATGAAACCATAAAGATTAAAGACAAGAAGATCAAATAGTCCCCACATGTCATTATCATCATCATCATAATAACAATAATAATAATAATCATCATCTCTATTATCCAATTCATTCCATTCCATTCCTGTAATTAGTTATGCCAATTCGAAATACTCTACTCATTATATACGTGCAACCACACTCTTATATACTATCTACAATTTTTATCTCTGTTATATATTTTATTTGAAAAGGCGCATAAGAAAGAATTTACATATTGAAGAAAAGTTCAATAACTTTAATTAAAAAAATCGAAGTTTGATTAATATAGAAACAAGAGATATTGGTAAGCTAATTGCTGGTTTAGTCCTAGAACGGTACACTTTGTTGAATTTCCAAAGAGATCAGGTTCGAAAAACTAAGAACCATTAATAAAAAAAAAATAATTAAATAGGCAATAAAGCACAGATTCCATCTAGAATTATGTTAGGTTTAAGCCCATTGAAGTTCTCCCCAGTGATAGTTCGATGTATTTCAACAAAACCAAGCTTAATTGCTCCTAGTGTGGTCGAAACTATTAAACTAGATCCTCCAATCATCAAACATTCTCCAGAACAAGCTCAAAGTAGAAGATGGTCACCTCTTCGTTGTGGTGTTATTGCTCAAAAGAAGGGTATGATGCCATACTTTGATGAAAATACAGGTGAAAGAACTGCAGCCACTGTTTTACAATTAAATAACGTTGAAGTCTTGATGCATAGAACTTTAAAGGATAACGGTTACTATGCGTGCCAAGTCGGTTTTGGTGATAAGGATCCTTCCCATGTCTCAAGACAAATGTTAGGTCATTTCGCCTCAAAGATTGTTAATCCAAAGGAAACCGTAGCTGAATTTAGAGTCAAAAATGAATCTGGATTATTGCCATTGGGTACTTTGTTGAAACCTTCTTTTTTCAAGCCTGGGCAATTTGTTGATTTGAAATCTACTAGCAAAGGTAAGGGTTTCCAAGGTGTTATGAAACGTTTCCATTTCGCAGGTTTAAGAGCTTCACATGGTACTTCTGTAATGCACAGACATGGTGGTTCTTTTGGTCAAAATCAAGATCCAGGTCGTATCTTGCCTGGGAAGAAAATGCCTGGTCGTATGGGTGGTAAAAACGTTACTATTCAAAACGTCCAGATTTTGAAAGTTGACGATGAAAATAATGTTATCATAGTAAAAGGTTCCGTTGCTGGTCCTAAGGGATCCTATATTAAGTTACAGGATTCAATTAAAAAACCACCAAAGCTAGATGCATAATTGAAAAGTCCGTTTAACACAATCGTGATTACCATAAATCGAACTATCAATCAAATATAAAAGATAACAGAAAATTATTTCAAATTCATATAAATTATAATATCAATCTATTCCTGTACATATTTATTTACTAAATAGATCTTCAATCTAAATTCATTGTTATATATATACCATTCCTCTAGTATTCAATAATAGGTCAACTGAGTAGATTGCCGCCTTTTAAATAAATCAGTCTATGCGTGTTTGGTTAATTAAGTAAGTATACAACATTATGTAATGTAATTAAAAGCGAAAAAAACAAAACCTAGTGAATTATGAATGTGCTCAATCAAGATGAATTTCCTGCTTATCAATCTTCTAATTCAGATGGCTTCAACAAACCACCAATCTTAGAGGCTTTTTCTCTGTCAAGTCTATTTTGTTCTTTTAATTCTCTTTCTTTATCTTCTGCAAATAGATAATCTGTTGCATCACCACCGAATTCCTTAATTTGGACTAAGAAATCTCTTAGAGTACCGTTGAATTGAACAGGATTCTTGTATTGTTTTGTCAATGCAGTTAAAAAGTTTACAACTTGGTCTCTAGTCAAGTGAGGGAATGCATTACTTAATAGATTAGCCAAATACTCATTCAAATAGACTTGGTTAGAAGTACCTGCTGGTGCTGATCCTTCCTTGTACAATGGTACTGATATCTTATTTTCTTCAACCAATGAGATCAATTTCATTAATAATAAAGATTGTTTAGAGAAACCAGACTTATGATCTGAATCAGTCAAAACGTAGAAAGTTTCACTGATGAAAATGAAATAATAGTTCTCGTAAAATGAATTTACAAATGCTGGCGCACTACTCAAATTTTCAATATTCTTAGTTAAATCTAAAGCTATTTGTAAACCGTTGACTTCAACATCTCTATTGTTATGCTTAAAGGCCCAACAAATTGCATCAACAAACAATTTAAATGCTGCTGGGGGTAATTCTAACAAAGCATTGAAACATTTTTCATTGATTGCCTTCAATAACTTGTAAAATTCTACTCTATGTTCAGGGTACTCAGTTAAATCTTTGTTAATCATATTCAATGTACATTCAAATACACTTTGTAAAATCAAAATAACACCTTGTGGAATCATATGTCCAACTTTTTGTACTACTGTAGTCATACAGTTTAGTACTTCAGCATCTCTTGCATCAGGAACATTATTCAAATAATCTTCCAAAACAGCGTTTAATAATGGTTGAATTAATACATTTACGACCTCTTGTAGATTTCTAGCTTTCGAAATGTAAATTTCAATTAACTTCAAAATTTCCTTTTTGATGGTTCTCAAACCACGTACTTTAGGTGTCTTAGTAGCAATTAAACCATCCTTAGCAACTTGGGTTGATATCATTGAAGAAACAGCTCTATACAACTCCAACATATGGTAATAAATATGACCAAGTTGGGGATAATATTCTGCACCTAAAGAAGTACATACAGCAACATTTGTTTTAATAATATTGGCAATAATCTTTACAGTTTCTGAATCTAATAACAAATCTGGATTTTCAGATGACTGCTGTACAATGGCATCCCAAGCCATATTTGGGAGTTGCATTAAATCACCCAATAATCTATTCCTTTCATTAACATTTCTTTCTTCACCAATGATAATACTACATGCCTTATAAAAAGTGTGGACTTGCTGAGGTTGTAAATCAGCAGTAGTAGATTGGATATCTCTAATGATAGTTTGAATAAATGGCTCATTGTCAATATTTTGTGTAACAATAAACTGAGCTTTACATTTTTGAACAATCTTAATAAAAGTATCACATGCCATATCTTGGACACCTTCATGTGTTTCATGCATAAATTCAAACAGCTTTAAAATAACAGTTCTTAAGAAGTTCCAGTGAGCTTTCAAGAAACGTGGATATTGACCAACAACATACATGATATTGGATGCAACAACTGCCTTGTTATCCTTACCTCTTTTCTTTTCAGTTAAGGCCAACAAATCCTTGATAACTGTGACAACGAATCTCTTTTCAGTATCTTCAGACATTGTACCAGAAATGGAACCAATAGCCCAACATAAAGTGTTGATATTATGCCATGACCATTCTGAACCGTCAATTTGTCTTGCTAACTTACTAATCATAATTTCTTCAGTATCTACAACATCCAAATGTGTCAAATAAACTAAAACTTCTCTTTCAGATTTGTATAATTGGATAGTGTCTGATTCTTTTACGAATTCTCTTACAATTTCACCTTCATCATTCTCTACAATTAAAACTTCTTCTGGTCTAACCATATTTTCAATGATGACCCATCTTAACTGAGAACAGATACCGTCATACATATGCTTCTTTAATGGATATCTTCTTAGAAGCTCAGGGTTTGGAGCACCACCTGAAGAAGGACGGGAACCAACTGATAACTGTAACAACGGGTTAAGGTCTTGTGTTTGTAATTTATCAATTTCTTGGTATAAATCAGTGACCAAGTTGTTCCAGTAATCCAAAGTCGTTTTGAATAACTCTCTTTCTTCAATTTTTGACAATTGAATCAAATATTGATGGGCATTTAACAACAATTCTCTTAGAGATTCCTCACTTTCCAACAAAGATCTGCGACGACTTAAATAAGTTGTCAAAAACATTGCAAAATCTTGTAAGAATGATTGATCGGAACCACTAGCGTTCATATATGTAGCCTTTAAATCTGCGGTTACTGGCATCACGTTAACTGCAATTTGTTGTAAAGTATTTTGGAAAAACATTACAGTTTTAGCTTTCAAGGCAGCATTATCATTTGGAATTTCCAATTGAGAAACTTCAGTTAGACATTTCAAAGTTATTGCCCTAGTTTCTGGAGTAGTTAAAAATTTTGTACTTAATAACTCCAATATATCCGTATTATAAATATAACTGTAAGGGATCCAATGTAGATACCTTAGCAAAGACTCCAAAGCTGCTGCTACCAATGAAGTGGAAGAACCTTGTTCCAAGACTTGATAACAAAGCTTAAAGATCTGTTCAAATTCTGTGGACATTGATTTTTTCAAATGTAATGCTTTTGCTTGGGTCATTTGCTCGGCAGAGAAATCGAAAACTTCTTCAGATAACAATTTCAATATAACCATATTATTTTCACAAACGTTAATAGAAGATGCAGATGATCCAATCAATTCTGGAATGAAATTTGGCCAGTTTTGAGGCCATTCTTGTTTTAAAATTTGGACTAAAGTTAAATCAGACTTATTAATTAAATTTTTTTGATTTTGAAATACATTGTCATCTTGACACATTGAAATGATCATACCAACAATGAAATCTCTGATACCAACTCTTTGTTCATTAGGAAGTAATTTCCATTTCGTTGTAATCAACTTATCTAGAATAGTTAGCCCAATAAATTTGGTTTGAGGATTGTTGGAGTACTGTAGAATTTTATCCGCACGTTGCCAAGCATCAGGATGCTCTTGAAACTTAGTCAAAATATCTTGTGATTGCTTCTGTTGTGGACCAGATCCCTTATAAAAAGTTTCCACAACTTGATCCAAAATAGCGATATCCAAATCCTTGGAAAAATCAAGAATAGCTTCCATAGTTGAACTTTATCTATCTATTGCAAACAAAAACTCAATAATAGCACTAATAAAATACAACCAAAAGAAAAAATACACACACACAACTACGAACTCTCCCAAATAATCAATCAATTATCCTTAAACAGTATTATTAAACTTTATTTTATCAACTAGAATAAATTGCAATATTTTCCAGATTTATTAAAGTAAAACTAAAATTTAATCTTTTTCCAAAGGATGAAAGCAATTATTCCTTACAAATGTAGATAAAACCAAACTGCAAATTACCAAATCGTACCAGGATAACCAAATTGATGTCCTATATCTTGCTTGATTAATAAGTTATTACAAATTAATCGATACTTAATCCAAATTATTTCTTTCTGTTTTATATCTTTTTTTCTCTTTCTTTATAAGAAAATGTTGTTTTTTAGCTGCGCTGCAAAATATGATGAAATCTGCAGGGAAACCCTCCACGGGAAAGGCCATGGCCAGGGCAGTAAGTAGATTTAGAAAGAGATAAGACTAATGTTGCAAAGTAGTTTAGTTTCTCAAGTTTGCAAAAGGGTTGGTATACCATTGAAGGTGGAAAAAAAGTAATTTTTTTTTCATTGAATTTAGAGGTTGTAGTCAATGAAAAAATATCCAAATCAACAAATTAACAAGCGCAAGTGGTTTAGTGGTAAAATCCAACGTTGCCATCGTTGGGCCCCCGGTTCGATTCCGGGCTTGCGCAGTTTTCTTTTTCCTTTTATTTTTAATTAATTATTTGTCACTAACGTCAACAAGTACACTATAATACCCGTCTTGGATACTTCAATTACCTTATCGATATCGTCTCTTGTAATGTATCAAATGCTTTCTTACTTATATTTATAAAGTCTTCATATAAAAATTAAATAATATATAAAAGATGATTGTGCTTCAGGTCGTTATATACAGGTGACGAAACTCCATCACAACTACAACATATCCTCGTCTGATGATTGATTGTCACTGTTATTGTCAGAACCGTTCCATCCAGCAGTCAGATTTCTTGTAGAGCTTGGGAAACGTCGTTGTGAAGGACGTTGTGGAGACCATTGGAAATTATCAATACCGAAGTTTAAAGTAGGTGTTGGTAAAATAATTTCATTGCTAACAGAAAAATCATTCAGACTACCGTCAACCTGTGATTCAACTTCAGAAGTGACTGATTGCAAAGACTCCTTGTCTTCATCAATTATCGCTCTTCTACGATACCTCAGGAGATATTTCCATCTTGTGATAATTAGATTGATAGAATCGATAACTTTCTCACCATTCAAATATTTATCCACTTTACCCATAATATATAGGTGTTTGACGTATTCATCGATACTCAGGCATTCTCTTGGATTATAAGTAGTGTGTAATGGAATCAAAATTAACAGCTCTGTAAAATTAATTGAGTTTTGATATGAGTTATTGTAATATACTTCCTTGACAAACCTTTTGTATTTCTCTTTTTTCTTTTGAAATTTCTCCTTATCTATTGTATCCAACAAGTCATTCAATCCTTTCACATCGACTGTTACATCGTACGGATCACTAGGATTAACTTTCATGTAATTTTCAACTATATTCCTAATACTATAGCGGCCTTCCCATAGTTTAAATGATAACGGTCCATCAAATGAGTGCATCAATTTAGGCAAATATTCAAATGCTAATGTACCAGTACCTTCAGAATCATACCTTGACCAGGCTTCTGTGAAATTTCGTATCTCATGTCTGTTAACAGCGGACTTAGAGACACCTCTCCTGTAAACATAACTGAAATTACTAATGATCAATGAAATAAACATATTCAAGAAAATGTACATAGAAAAAATATTCCATGACATCATCAATATATATGCATATGCTTTGGAACCACAATCACTGATACCAGATTCAGCATCAATAAAACAATATGGCTCAGATATAGTCAAATCATTCATAATATAATTCCAACCTTCACCAAAACTACATTTAAACAATACAATCAGAGATTTTATAATCGTTCTGAAGTTAATATTATCTGTAGTATTTGGTCCCAATCTAGTTAAACCAAACACTTGATTTAGTGCGATTGCATAAACAAGAAATAAAATTGCCCAGGTATATGTCAAAGCCAGAATAGTCGGCCAACTTGCCATCGCCGTCTCTAATAAATCTGTTAACATATCATTTTGCGGAATCAAAAATAAGAAGTAGAACAATTGGAAAACTTGTTCAATATTGATAAACCAATAATCTTGACGACCAATGGAAAAACCTTTGGCAGTAAGAAGGAATGATATTGCGATGACTAAAAAACGTAGAGTTCTCCAAGCTTTTCTGAAATAGAGTTTAAAACCATAGGAATATATTGTCAAACATTCATTAAACAAGAAAACCAATGTCGAAAACATAAAATAATTTGTAGCTGGAGTATGAATCAAATCGTTACCTCTATAAGAAATTGCGAGTAAACAAATAACATGAGCATATAGTACTAAATGAATGAAAAGAGAATACCAAAAGTATTTCTGTTCTACAGTTAGGCGATAAAAGAATTTCCTTCTATTATTCATTTCAAATACATTTGGTAATGATCTAGGTGATGCTTGTGATAATAGTTTCTTTGATTCTGTCCATGATTTTTCTTCTGCGGTTAAATATGCACTTCCTACTGTTCTAGCATGATTGTTAACAACAAACGAAACAAATAAGTTTAATATAAAAACCATGCTTAAGAAATTGAATAGAACTAAAAACATCCCATTTATCGGAGTAGCAAATGGGGTTGCTGGTGTCCCAACACCTGTACTATTCATCAAATTTTCTAACAAATCAACCCAGCCTTCTAGAGAAATTATTTCATATAATGATCTGAATGAATTGGAAAAGTTGTCTAAATGTAAAATTGGGTTTGAATAGACTCTTGGAGATAATACGTCCCATTTAAATGCTGTATTAGAATATTCATCATAACACATGGTATAGTTGAGACCACCATCATTACAAACACCTAGTCGTCCACGAAACAAATTCAAGCCCCAGACTGTGAAGGGAAATAATAAGGTCAATGAAACCAATCCAGCTTCAAATATTTTTCCAATACCATCATATACAACAATCACGAACGTTTGCCTAGCAGTATTACTTATAGTGAGACATTTCAGTGCTCTTAGTGCAGTGAAACCTTTGAAAATAATTGCTAAATCATTATCGGCATTTAATAAAGAAAAAACATCTATCCACACAGAGATCAGAACTACACAATCAATCAGATTCCATGGATTTCGAAGATATGCATTAGGTGTGTATGCTAAACCGTCTGCAATAGTCTTCACCAAAAATTCGACACTGAATATAATTAAAAATGCAACTTGGACATATGTCTCCCAACTTCTTACTCCAAGGTGATGATTCTTTCTATAAAGTGGAGTAGCATAGCATGAAACAACAACCAAAAGGATAGTCACGATGCTTAAAAAGAAAACAACAATGTCTCTTTCAATGTGCCTAAAATAAGTTCTTCGATTTTGAACATCAGTATCATCCTCATAAAAGCGCACACCGTCGGTTCTTCTACCTATACTTGGTGGTACTAATCTCTGACATAATTTTCGAAAAATATGGTTTGGTGGAAATATAAAATAACTATAGTTGAAAAACGGATGAGTTCTCAAATATTCAAGTTTTTCTTCTTCATGATCATCAAGTTCCAAAATATAATTTCTATCACTACTATCATTGGATTTAGAATACACCACCTCTGGCTTTTTATAAAAAGGATTATCAAAAAATTGATCCAAATAGGTACCTAATGGCAATTTCCGGAGTTTTAATACAAATTTTGAAAACTGCCATCTTTCATCCTGATCATTGTGAAGATTATCCATAACATCGTCCATATCATTGGCTATATTCATAATAGCAGTACCTCTTATAAGAAATTGTTTGAAATCCCTACCACTCTCCTTTTTATTATAGCCAAATAATTTTCTTCTTATTCTGACCAGAAGAGTGGCATGCGTATACTCTTGAAGCTTTTTTGGATATATATACTTCAGGTAATGACGAATTTGAAGAAATCTTTTCTCCTCTTCCTTCACTCTTAAACTCTGAGATATAATAGCAATAAAAATATTCAAAGCAATGAAGTTGGATAAAATAAACCAAATGATTAAAATTACGGTTGAACAAAACGTTGCAAAAATATTAGGCGAGTTTTCTTGCAGGGAATAAAGAATCTCTGTCCAATTTTCAGTAGAACCTATAATAAATAGTGACAGAAAAGAGTTCGCCAATGTATACATTCCAAATGGTATCGACCCTTCTTCGTCCTTCGATATAACACCTTCAAAAAACACGGAAACAATGACTGAAACAAGGTAGGTAAATAGAAAATAAAATGTGGTCAGGTTCCAGATCATCACACGATTACCCAAAACACGTTTCCACAAATTCCTAGAAAACCTAAAAGATATGACCACTCTATAAAACCTTGCAATATGAAAGCCTGATAACCAGAAATAAGCCTGGCTCAATGGTGTTGTATCTTCTGCCAAACTAATAACAAAAGTTATGATGGCAAGAAATAAATCAACAACATAATCAATCTTCGTTAAAAATATCCACAGATTTGATGAGTATAAAACTAGTCTAAAGGAAGATTCTGCAAATAAAATTATGGAAATGACCTTTTCTGCAATAAAATAGTCATGTAATAGTTTATCAGATGTATTAGCAGTCACCAAGGATCTTAGAATCAAATCAGCTATTATAAGAGTGACAAAAAAGAATTCGACTCTCTTGTAGATTTTCAATGATCTGGTTGCCCAGTAAGGTAGTAAAGTCTTCTTGGCCTTGAATTGAAAATACTTCCAATATCCTTTCATTAATCTAACAGGAATACTTTCCGATGATGACATCTTATATTTTTCTTCTTCAAATTTTTGATTTGCTAATTCAAATGATGTAACTAGAACTGCAATGAATAAATTTAATAGCCATATTGTCAACACAAAAGTTGCTAAGATAAAGAATAAACATGCCGCCATTTCATCAGAATCCATGGTATCATACATCAAATCCGTAAAGGTATTGGAACTTAATATAACGAATACCAATTCCATAGCATTTACAATGTTATCGAAACTGATACGTCCATTATATGGATTATAATTAGAGACACATTTTGAATATTCTGGACATAAGAAACCCTTTGAAGCTGGCCCTTCAGTACCATCGCTGAATACATAATTTTTCTTTGCCTTTGTTCCAATTTCAAGATATCCTCCACAATATTGGCCATCATTTTCAAAGATATCAGTAGAATTATTTGGATTTATCCATACACATTTTCTTCTGAAAGACCCTCGAAAAACTTGAACACCTAAGATACCAAAAAATACCCAAAAATATACTAACATAGAGCCAACACCTATTAACTGAGGTAAACCATATTTAATACCTCTAATAATCGACGAGACACCAGTATCGGTATCCAAAAGTCTTAGTATTCTGAGAAGGGCAAGTGATTTGAATATACGAATTCCATTTTTGTCATCGTATTTATTAATGGACAGAAATACACCAATCCAGAATGAAAGCGATGATACTAAATCAGTTCTGTTCCAAGAAGAACGTGCAAATGCTCTGGGACAGTTAAAAGGTGCATTTTTCAAATCAGATGAATCACTTTCCAATGTATTTGTTCTTGTAAATGATTTATCCGGATTGATATTTGACATTTTCAATTGTACACTTGCTGGAAGAATTTTATAAATATTAACGTCGTATTTTTTCCTCAGCATTCTATAAAGATTGTCCAAATGAAAGAAATCGAAGAGGCTAGTGTACTTTTTGCCATATGCTTTGAACATTTCGGAATCATCCCAGAATCCAAATGCTATAACTTTTGTAAAATCATGAATAGAAAATAAAACTGAAAGAAGAAATGTCACTATATCTACGCCTCCTGAAAAATTGTACAGGAAATCATAGTTCTTTGGCTTGTATGTCCTATAAGTCATAAGAATCGTAAATAAAATCAGCGTCAGGTAGTATATTAAATTATACCACTTATTGACATGCAATTTTGCCAATTTTATCCTGAAGTGATTAGTTGGTGGAATAATACCCATGGAATTACCATACAAACTTATGTTTTCGTAAACATCTTGAGCAAATATCTCATCGAAATTAGGCAGCTCTGCCAGCGGAGCCTCTGCTTCATCAGTGTCAAGATATATTTCCTCTGTTACTGTTTCTTCTCTTTGCAATGTTTCTTCAACTTTTAAACCGCTATCAGCAACATCGAAATGGTCTGCCATTTTAGGAGAACCCTTCGAACTCACAGAAAATAATGGAATTGTTAATGTAGACCCAAGGATACCTTCAATATTAGAGGATTCTCTTCTACTAGAGCTATCATCTCTCGGGGAACCACCTTTCTGTAGCTGAGGAAGCCAAGTGAAACCCTTGTCATCAACCGCACTTTGAAATCCTTTTTGAATGTCTTCAAATTCATCTATATCATCCATATCTATATAAGACAATACTTTTGTCGACCTTGACGCCTGATCTGAGGCACGACTAGAAGATGTAACAGATACTCTTCTAGAGTAGGTATTAGACCTCCTTCTAATTCCTTCATTATCATCACTCTGATAAACTGGAGAAAGATTGACAGATGTCGACGGACTCATCCCCACAGATAAATTATCCATTCGAGGAATCTTTAAAGTCAATGCTGGTCTCTGCAACCTCGGAACCTCCGAATCATCTGGATCTCGAAAGGGACTCTCACCATCATCATCGTCCTCTTCACTACTTATACCATGCCTCATGTGCCCTTCCAGCAACTGGGCTCGGCTGCTCCCCTCCATAACATCATCAATCACAGAAACAGGAGGAATAACATGCAATGATGGAACAACAACATTCCTAGATCGTCTCCGTTTAGCTTCTTCATCTGACCTACCATCTTCACTTCTATGCGATAAATGAGGCTGCAATTCTATAGCCTCATCCCAATTGTCCTTATCCATTCCCCACCACTACACAATTAATTTATAGTATCAACACACACAGACACACAAACAAAACCAAATCTAAATTGATTCCAACCAGCAGCACCAACACACATACCAATCTCTTGCAATAACAAATACCAAAACTAAAATCAAACTGCTTTATTAAAACTTAACCTTCTTGGTTATCCAACTTTAAATATTTCGATATCTATCTTTTTTCATATTATGATGTCATCTCGAAAATATCCAGATATTGAAAAAAAAAAAGTAGTATATAAGTTTCAGCATGGATAATAACCATTGTTCTGTTCATGATTCAATGGATACATGGGCAATTGGGTCTTGGGATTTGGTTGACTTGGTTGATTTATAGTTAGGTTTTTGGTTTCTGTTGTTTATTTCCCCATGTCCTTTTGCTTGTTCTGGCCAGATCATTTAAAAGAGAGACGGTTCAGCGATGATGATGATTTGATCGCTATATGTATTGCTTTGAAGGGCACTGATCGAGTTGTTTTGGATATTTTACGTGAGGGATTGGTTAGGGGTTGTGATATTGAATCTCCGTATTCGATTGTTGGGGTCCGTAAAGGTGGTGATTCAGGATGGAGGCTTATTGATGGGGTCGATTGTGTTGTTGAATTTAAGGCACCACGTTCGACTATGTTGGAATTCTTTTCGCTAGAGCCAATTTCTCTGTCATTGCCTGAGAAGAGAATGGATTCGAAGGTTTCCAATGTCAATTTCATCAAGATTTCAGAGAACAAGAGATATTTCAATGATAATACGAGGTTTAAGAGAACGTTAGGCTTGATAAATTTTTATTATACATATTTAATGGCATTCCATAAGAAGTATCCTAGATTTGCTGAAAGTTCTTTGACATCTGATAAAAACATTTTTGGAATGATGATAGATTTATTGCGATTGAATTTGGTCTACCAATGGGTCGGTAAAGGGTTTTTTTATATTACAGTTTCATTTGCCCTTATAACAAATCCCTTATCGAAGTTTTTAAATTGGAATTTGTTGAATCTAGTAAATAAGTCTGCCACTATACAACAGATAGATTTGAGATGTCAACAATTTTCCTATTTCCCTGTTCAATATTTAAGAATTAATGAAAATGTGTCAATTAGAAAGGCAATGCCTCGTTTTAAAAATTATGCTGAGGCTTCCGAAGGTCTAAGGAAGGACTTGCCATCCAATTACTATCCTGACTATATTAGGTTCTATAACACTGTGTGGTTAATGTTAAATGACATTTCTTTTGGTATGATATTGGGATCGTTTTTGTTACAGTATTCCACACAGATTGCTAATTTTGCACATACATTTATTAACGGTTATCTGTACAGTTTGTTGAAGTTGGTAACTATCTCGTTAGCACATAATCCTTTTGGGATTAAACTGAATGAAGAATTGGCTAGCTTTTTAAGTGAATTATTCCTGTGGATCATCGAATTTTCATATTCTGTTTTTATCAAGAGAGTTTCCGCTGTAGACAATTTGACTAAAATAATATCAGCTGTGGCCAATCTAAGTTGCATATTCGGAGCTACTTTTGCATTATCTTTATTAATCGATTGCTTCTCATTTTTATCTCTTCATATCCGATTCTTTTATTTAATCAGCAGGAAATTATACCACTGGCAATTGAATATTATGAGTAGTCTGTTTAATCTATTCTGTGGGAAAAAATTCAATGTCCTACGTAACAGAGTTGACCATCATAATTTTGAAATTGATCAGTTGCTGTTAGGCACTCTGTTATTCATAATTTTGGTATTTTTATTACCAACTGTATTGGCATTTTATTCTTCTTATACAATATTCCAGTTAGGTATGCTTACATTAGAAATAATATTCGAGTCAACAATATCTTTACTAAATCATTTCCCATTATTCGCCCTCTTATTAAGGATTAAAGATCGAAGACGAATCCCTGGAGGTATTGCCTTAAGATATAACGACTCTGACGATATCTTGAGGCTGAAACTATTGAACAAACCCCTTCCCGTCAGCTTAATGTTTCAACCGTTCGCATTGTTAATGAAACAAATAAAGTATAACTATTGTTCTTCAATAATAGTAAATAAACTAATCAAGGGATTGCCTATAACTGTTGATCGGAATAAATTGTATCAGGTACTTTATTCCTCATTGCCTAGTAAGCCAATTAATATCGAGGACTTATATAATAGTACTCACAAAAAGAACAACTAATTATACTGCATTTAATGACATGATTACATATAACGTCCGTTTAATTGATAAATATATAATTTGCGACAACATATAATGAATAGATAAATGAATAATTACATATATTACGATTGCGAGAGTATTACCTATTCCAAGATAATACGTTGATTAGTGACACTCAGAGAGAGCCACGAACTCACATACTGTCACAGTATTATTCTATTATAGTGAAGTAGAGAAGACATAATTGAGTTGATACAAATGAATTAGTTTAATTAAAAAACTATAAAAAGTAATCTTTTTCTTTGATTGCCTTTAAATCAGACGATAAAACTATTTTAAAAATTTATGTAAAGGTTAAAGTTTGAATTGATTACCAAGAAACAGCTTCAGTGTTTTCTTCAGCCCATTCAGAGGCTTCATTTTGGCCTTCAGCGACTTCTTCCTTAGATTCTTCAGCGTCAGCACCAGTAGAAGTAGTTTCTTCAGCAGCTTGTTGTTCAACTTCTTCTGGGTTTCTGTAGAAGTACAAATCTGGCATGATGGCCCATGGTTGGGTTCTGTCGACCAAAGCACCTCTTAATCTCAAGACTTCTCTGGCCAATAAGTACCAAACTAAACCGATGGAGTGCTTACCTCTGTTGTTACATGGGATAGCGACATCAACGTATTCAGATGGGGAGTCCAAATCGGTCAAAGCGATGACTGGGATGTTAACGTAAGAAGCTTCCTTGATAGCTTGGAAATCAGATCTTGGGTCAGTAACAATAATCAATCTTGGTTCCTTGAAAGAACGGGTGATGTAGTTAGTGAAAGAACCTGGGGTGAATCTACCGGCAATTGGGGTAGCACCAGTGTGAGCAGAGAACTTCAAGACAGCTCTTTGACCGTAGGTTCTGGAAGAGATGGCACAGACATCTTCTGGGTTTGGAATAGCAGCAATGATTCTAGCGGCTAAAACAATCTTTTCCCAAGTCTTACCGACGTTAATAACGTTGACACCATCTGGTCTGGTGTTGAAGACGTATGGTTCTTGGTGTACCTATAGTAAAAAATCAATATTAATCATAAAGATATTAATGTTAGTAAAAAAAATTCATTTAAACTCGAGTTAATAGTAATTTGTAATCAGACACTGTTGCAAGTATAGTGGTTCCACTGTCGCAAACTTAGAACAAGGACAGGGCTTATAGTATTTTCTCTTCAAAATTGGTATGAGCTAGGTCCCTTAAATATCTCTTTCAAAATCCGTCTAATTTCTAATCCACATGAATAATGACATAGTACTCTCTATACTCAATATACACGTTGTCAAACACTAAAATTCAATTGAATCTACTCATTTTATAACCATGTCAAAATCCTCATATATCTGTTCCTCACCTCACATATCCCTTCTCTTGCTTCATATATACCACATGGACCTTCTGTTCTTGTTTGTCCCACTTCAACAGGTTCTCAATCTCAAATCACAGTCTATATCTATATATCTCATTCTTAACATACTTGAACGTTTCTAGCACCTAAATGGGTGTTGGCAGCCAACAACAATTGGGCATCTTCTGGAGTCAAGTCAAAAGTAGCTGGTAAAGACATCTTGCTCTTGGTTATATACGCTGACTTTAAGAATCAAATCCTCTTCAATGATAACCTCTTTTCTTCATATATACTCATATATATGAATTATACCATCAAGTTAACCATCGATATATACTTGTGAAATGATAATATTAGGACTATACCTCTATCAATTCACCCAATACTCTGCGAACCAGTCTATACCATCGAACCTAATCATACTGTACAGATTGGCTTCCAATGTCAGCTCAGCTCAGCTCAGCTATCTCGATTTGATTCAAAGTGAATAATTTTGTCAAAAGAGTTTGGAAAAGTTTCAATCAGCTGAGCGTGTGCGTGCGTGCGTGCTTGCGTGGCTTGAGTTCGGTTCGGTTCGGTTCGGTTTGGCCGGTGATGGTGGTGATGCTAGACAGAAGGTCTCTGTCTAGAGAGGATACGTCAGTTAGAGGGGGGGGGGTTTACTGTCTAGCCAGAACTGGCAAGGTTTGGTATAGACGGCCCGTTGGGGTCGGTGGGACCGAAACAAAGAAAATATGTTACTGCTTTAGGGAGGACACACTTGCGAGCTCACAAAGCGCGCGCATTCGGCCCCCGGTACAACTCCAGTTTTGTTTTTTGCCGAATGGAAGTTGTTGAACTAAGCGATGGCAAAATAAATAAATAAATTTTCAGAATTGAAATCTCCTCGCACACAATCGATAACTGTTTTTAAAATGTACGGATGACATATCAAGATGTACTGGTGGAAACAGTCACAGGCGGCTATTCGATTAGTTTCTTTTTTTTTCGGTAATGTTAGTGACGGTATAAAAGTTGATCCTGTTGCTGTACTCGTTATTATATTTATATAAAAGTTTCCAACCAAGAACACATGAGGTCTAACCAAAGTATAATTTGGAATCAATGGAACATATCAAAAGGTGGACCTTGATTGTAAGAGCTGCCCCACTAAGCAACAATCACATTATTGATATAATTATTTAATATATAAACATACTTTATATATCTACATATCTATATATCTATATATCTATATATCTATATATCTATAGCATGATAGAATAATACTAGCCAGTCACTGCCCATATGATAGACCTTGATTGGTTAACATACATTGTTAGTAAGGGGGAAAAGAATTGTACACTTTATTCACAACTTTTATTCGATTATTATTTTACAGTGCAGTTTTATCGTTGTTATTTATATCTATATTTCTTTTATATAAGCTGATTAGACTTTCATGTGGGAAAGACCTAGTTCATCGTTTTGCTCAGCGGTTCTTTCAAAGTCTTCGATCTTCATGTTTGGATCTGGATCTGGAGCATAGACATTTTGAATATAAGAACCAGCTAATGGATCAGTCATGATCACAGTGAATGTTCTCTTACCTTCCAAAGCTTCGTCCAAGTTTTTGAAAAATGATGTCCAACGTTCTTTGGTTGCTTCATCCATGGAGTCAGAGGTTTGGGTAAAGACACGAGATTCTAATTCATCTCGTACCTGTTTTAGAAGACCCTCTAAAGTAGTGAAACGACCACCAAGGGTACCTTCTTGGATATCTAAATGCAATTCTGGGACAACTAATGAACAACTTTCGGATTTCAAAATATCTCTGGATAAATCTGCAGCATCGTCACAGTATAATGTGATGACACGACCCTTGTCTGGGATAGCACCACCTGTTTTAACTTCATTGGATTTATAACCACATTTATCACAAGTGGTAGACATGATAATGACTTCCTTGAAATGTGGAATATTAACTGGCTTCATATGTGTTTCACATTCTTCACCACATGATGAACAAGGAGCTCTGAAAGTTTGAACTTCATTGTTGAAGTTTTCAATATCGGTAGCATCTGACAAGAATTCGCTGGCGGTAGTACCAACCTTAACTGATTCAGATGGATTTCTTTCACGATTGGACAGTTCTTGCAACTTTTGTTGACGTCTTTGTTCCAATTGATCTCTAGTGATAATACCAACTTGAACGTTTTGTTCATCACTACGAATATATTGTACATGAGACCATTTATGTTGAGGTTCACCTGGCTTGTATTCAATCCAGGAGTTACCGGCTGGATCATCAAGAATAAAAGTTAATGGAACAGTACCTTCTTCACAATTGATAAATTTGCGGACCCTAGCAATAAAGTCTTCAATCTTTTGCCATAGAGCTTCATCAATAGCTTTTCTGGATTCTTGATCAGATGACAAATCATCGATCATTTCAGTCAATAGACCTTCAACAGTGGTTAGTTGACCTCTCTTTGGTGGAATTTCAATATCCAATTCGACAAATTTACAGTTGGCAGATTCTGATTTAATCACTTGACGGTCAAAATCTTCACGGTTTTCAATCTTCAAAGTATATTTAGAACCCTTTTCTTCGATTTGACTGGCTGGCTGGATTTCTGCATTTTTAAAGTTACAATGAGGACATTCAAATGACATAATAACAATCTCCCTAAAATATGGGATAGAGGTTAACAACAAACGTGTTGTACCATTTTCATGACAGTTCATACACAATGATTCAATTTCTTGAACTGGATGACCCATAGCATCCTCAGCACCGGTTAAAGTAACACCATGCTCATCAGTAGACCGAGATCCACTAGCACCAGTCTCAGCACTGATTTCTTCAGCTGCTTCACCAACTGGTTTAAATAAGTTCTCCTGCTTCTCGTTTGTTTCAGACATTATCCAAATAATTTGGTATACGATCCACTAAAGATTATCCAAAGAAAAACCAATAAAAACCAAAAATATACAACATCAATGCTATTTATGACCAAAAGATTACAGCTATACCAACCAACTGCTTAAATATAAAATAATAACATCCTCAAATATTGGCCTCATCGAATAACCTTCATCATCACCAGGTATCACCTTTGTTAAATTTTTCAAAATTTTCGAATTAAAGGCTTTCGAACCCAATGGAACCCAAACCCAGTAAGCTTTCCCGTACTGATTTGATTCTATCGAACATTCGAGATCAATCCGTAAGAACCTAGATATCGCGATGCCAGATAGTGTAATTTATTGTAGTGCAAGTTTGATATATTCTTTATTCGAAATGATGGAAATTAGCACTTGAGGAAGTACGGTGATTCGATGATGGTTGATTTTGATTTTGATTTTGATGTAGATGCTATGGTTTATATTTCGAGTTTACTTGGTGATACGTGATAGCTGGAGTTTGTCATTGAGCAGGGAAGTCTAGAAAGGATAATTGATTCTGGGGCAGTTAGGTGATAAAATTTGCAACCAGAGATATTAAAGTCATCAATTAGCAATATATTCATATCAGATCGAATTGATTGAACCATGCCTAGAGATCCATTGATTGGTATTGTTGGGAAACCATCATCCGGTAAGTCTACTACTTTGAATTCGTTAACTGATGCAGTAGCAGCAGTTGGTGCTTTTCCGTTCACAACAATTGAGCCTAATCGAGCAACTGGTTATCTTCAGGTAGATTGTGCTTGTTCAAGAGTTGGCAAGCAAGATTTGTGTAAACCAAACTATGGTTGGTGTACTAATGGTAAGCGTCATATCCCTATCATGCTTCTGGATGTTGCTGGTTTAGTGCCAGGTGCTCATTCTGGTAGAGGTTTGGGTAACAAGTTCTTGGATGACTTGAGACATGCCGATGCCCTGATTCATGTTGTCGATGTTAGTGGTACTACCGATGCAGAAGGTAAAAATACTAGAGGTTACGATCCTATCAATGATATTGAGTGGCTACAAGATGAAATCAGACTTTGGATTGAAGGTAACTTGAAGAAAAGATGGGGTTCCATTGTTCGTAGACACACCGCCACGAAATCATCGATTGTTGACACATTACAGGGCCAATTTGGTGGTTATGGTTCTCATGCTCCAATGATCCAAAGAGCACTTGACAGAATCAGCAGCCTTCCGCCGTTGGAGGCATGGGATAATGCATGGATCACAGAGGTGGTCAAATCATTCATGATGGAGAAGTTCCCAACAGTTTTGGGTTTGAATAAGATTGATCATCCTGACGCTGATAAAAACGTTTCTAAAATCATGTTAAAATATCCAGACACTAAGGCGGTCCTAACCAGTGCAATCACAGAGGTCTTTTTGAGGAAGTTGAAGAAACAAGGCTTCATCCATTATGAGGAAGGTACAGAGTTTGTGGATACTTATGAAGATGATCCAGATAACTTAAAAGAATTGGATGAGAAATTATTGAACAGAATTGAAAACATTAGAGATTTAGTGCTTTACAGATTTGGCTCAACAGGTGTTGTGCAAGTTCTACAAGCTGCCACAGACATCCTTGGTTTAATACCGGTATACACTGTAAGAAATATTCAAACATATACTGGTGGTAACGGTACCAACGTTTTCAGGGATTGTTTCTTGGTTAAGAAGGGTACAACAGTTGGAAAAGTTAGTAGATTCATTATGGGTACAGAAGTAACAATTGCAGCCATTGAAACTGTTGGAGGTGTAAGAGTCAGTGAAGATAGCATTGTAGAGCCTGGTAAGAATGATATTTTAAGTTTCAAACTAGCTCCGAAAAGCAATGTATGATAGATAAGACATATTTGGGCATTATAATTTAATAGAATACACATAATAATCATAAAAGCAAGATTTACGCATTTCATTAACAATACTAAAGCAATAGTGACAGAATGTTCTTGCCTTGTAGTCATTTTTAATCATTTAAAACTGTAAAAATCGGGGTCTATAATTTTAGTATTTACACATATACAACTTTTAGTATGTAAGTGGAGGAGAATTAAGGGAATAAAATTTTAATTTCTTCATCAGAATATCCAAATATGTACAATACATCTTTCATGGATTTAGTGTTCAATTTGCATGGTGCCTTTTTTTGGACTGTTGGTTTAGCATTCCAGGCGATACCAAAACCAGCAGCAGCCATTGCTAATAAATCATTCCCACCATCGCCTATCATTACACTTGATGCAACGTCAATATCATAATCTTGACATAATTGCAATAAAGTTTCAGCTTTGCACTGACCATCGACAATATCACCTATGGTTTCACCAGTCAGCCTGCCATTGTCATCTAATGCCAAAAGATTAGCTCTTGCATAATCGAACTCCAGTTCACCTTTAATAAACTCAGCAAATTGGATGAACCCACCGCTTAAAACACATAGTTTGGTACCTTGAGTTTTCTTCATAAAAGAACAAAATTCTGGGACACCATTTGTTATCAATAGCTTTGATTTAATTTCATCATATAGACTATCCATTTGTAAACCTTCCAATAGTTTAACTCTCTGTCTTAGCGATTCTTTGAAATCGATTTCATTATTCATAGCCAAGTTCGTGATATCTCTTACCTTATCTTCGACATCAGCATAACTGGCAATCATTTCGATCACCTCTTGGTAAATTAGTGTTGAATCCATATCGAACACTATAAGTTTCTTATCCTGACGATTAGTTCCATCTGTCTGAACAATGACATCTATTCCTTGAGCAGAATCGATAATATCAGCCAACAAAGGCTTCAAATCATCTGTAGATAGCTCGAAGTATACATCATAGGCACGCAAACCCAAACGTCTAGATTTAACAGGTGCCACTTTTAATCTCGATTCGATATCTGAGGTTAAACCTTTAACCTCAGAATCCTTCAACTCATCACCATGGGCGATATAAGTAATTACGTATTCAACCATTTAGCCAATATGGATGTGTGGTTCAACTGATCCTATCCCATTCCAAGAAAACAAACTATCAACATCCTAAATACATTTAAAAGTAATCTATAATTTTAAATTTTAAATAGTTCTTGTATATATAAATATAGACACGATCAAAAAGTTGAGGTGAGACCAGCTCTCTCTTTCTGACTCAACCAAACTCAAATTAGATCTCAGTGAATACCAAAACTATGTATAATAAAAAAAAAAGACAATTATGCAAACAATGGAATCATCATTAAATTAACTTCTCTTTACAGGAGTCAAAGTAATATTATCAGTAATACCATGAGGTTTACTGCTCAAATATTTTTCCTTATACCAATCATCAAAGGTTTTAAAAGATGAATCATGACCGTTACAATCATTCAAAATATGTTCACACTCCTTATACCAAGGATTAAACATCTCATCAGTACCTCTGACCACTGGTACATCTATAACATCACTAGTAAATTTACGTAACTTATTCACATTTGGGAACATAACCCCATAAGCATTATATAAAGGAATACCTCTAATTAAGCATTCGATATCACTACTCATAATTAGAAAATATACAAACACCGGCTTAACCCTCTTGCAACAATGATTTCGAAACCTGTTCAACTAGATTCGATTCAATTCAATTCAATTCGATTCGAAATGAGCTAAAACACCATCGTTTATACCAACAATCACCATCTTAGAACAACGTTTCGAATGAATCAGGTAACCTTGCACCTCATTTCGAAATGGATAACGTCTAAGGAAGGGTTTTAACTAATGACAGGTACATGATGAGTAGAATCTGATTCAACAAGAACAATAACAAGATTAAGAACGAGAACGAGAACGAACAGCTGGTCTGGATTGATTTGAATTAGCAACCATTTGATGATGGAATGGGATGGAATGGGATGGTAAGAGTCAAACCAAATTTATATCATTGGAAGACAAGAAGAATAGAAGTAGAGAAAGTGTCAAGAATTGAGAGATTGCAAAATAAATTGGAAATGTCTGTAACTATTGGGTTTGATATATAAATAAGACTTTACAATTTGTAGTTTGTAATTTGAAGTTGTTCTTGTTGCTGTTGTTTGTTATTTGGATTGGTTAGGGGGACAATCGGATGATTAGTTTTAGTTCTAGTAATAGTTAAGTTATATAACAGTGATATAGATAGGAAGAATTTATACAGATGTTGAATACAACACCTTTGAATATTGATAAATGGTTAGAGGAAAATGGTCATTTGCTGGCACCACCGGTTAACAATTATTGTTTACACAGGGGTGGTTTTACAGTGATGATTATTGGTGGTCCCAATGAAAGAACTGATTACCATATCAATCCAACTCCAGAATGGTTTCATCAACGTAAAGGTAATATGACTTTGAAAGTCGTTGATGAATCGAAAATTGGTTTGGATAGATTTATTGATATCGACATCAAGGAAGGTGATTCTTATTTATTACCTGGAAATGTTCCTCATAATCCTGTCAGGTACGCTGACACTATTGGGATTGTTGTTGAACAAGACCGTCCTGATGGCCAGATGGATGCTTTAAGGTGGTATTGTTCTTCGTGTAAGGAAATTGTTCATCAGATTGACCTCCAGATGGTAGATTTGGGCACTCAAGTTAAAGAGGGTATTGTATCCTTTGAAAACGACATCGATGCCAGAACTTGTAAGCACTGTGGGACTTTGAATTATTCAAAACCACAATGATCAGCCCTTACATAGGTTCACATATTGCAAGTTCTGCACCCCTCTCATATTATATATAAATAAATATAATCTATGCAAATAGTTGTTCTTTTATGTTTTTATTTGGATATTTCTCCTACAGTCTGTATAATTCTGGCTAAAGAACAGTTCCCTTTTCAGCAAAGGTAATATATACTGTTAGATATATAGATGGAAGTAAAGCTTTCTAATGAAATAACAAGTGTTACCATGCAGTTAATAGTCCAGTCAACCCTTTTAATTGAACTATCTTGCCTTCCCTATGTGTATATAGGTGTCAGTAATTAATACATCCTGGCTAATTAATTATTATGTAGGTCGCAGCTAATTTTTGCAGAAAATTTTTTCCACTATATAAGAAACTAGTAACATTGGAACTACGATTATTGATCAATTGTTAGGACAAAAGCTGGTGAAAGTGGTCTAAAACAAGTCGAATTCATTGCCATTATCAATATGACTGAACGTAGTTTTGATTCCTTTGAAGTGGTTGAAAATGGTTTAACTGAAGAGCAAATATTGCAGAACCCTGATTGTTTGATCTCATCGCATGATGAGAACCATCCTGCCAATGTCATTTGTAAACTATGTGAACAATTCTTCCACAACAATTGGTGTACTGGTACTGGTGGTGGTATTTCAATTAAGGATCCTAAAACCAATTACTTGTACATTGCACCATCAGGAGTTCAAAAGGAAAAGATGAAAAGAGAAGACCTATTTGTATTAAACGAAACTGGTGATAAATGTTTGCGTAAACCATCGATGTACAAACCAAGTGCATGCACACCGTTGTTTTTAGCTTGTTATAAACTTCGTAATGCTGGTGCAATCATCCATACTCACTCCCAACATGCGGTTATGTGTTCATTGATATTTAAAGATGTCTTCAGAATCTCTAACATCGAACAGATCAAAGCCATTCCAAGTGGAAAAATCGACCCTGTCACGAATAAACAGATAGCATTATCCTTTTTTGATACTTTAGAGATCCCAATTATAGAAAACATGGCTCATGAAGACCAATTGATCGATAGTTTCCATGACATCTTCAAACGTTGGCCTCACACTCAAGCAATTATTGTACGAAGACATGGTATATTCGTCTGGGGCTCAGACATAAACAAGGCCAAGATATACAACGAGGCAATCGATTACCTAATGGAACTAGCTGTCAAGATGTATCAAATAGGCATTCCTCCAGACTGTGGCATCGGTGAAGAGAAGAGGTACCTTGAAATGCCAATGTAGGTCCCCCACCTCTCCTTCATGACATACAAAAACAAAAAATATAGACATACTATAAATACGGTATACTAAATATATATCAACTACATCCACATCTGGTTACATCTTTCTAATAGTTCTGGCTCTTTACCGTTTTCGACCTGCTAATTATGTAATAGCTTTGATAAATTTAGTAACCTTTTATATATAAACTTAAAGGTATTAAAATTGATAATTGAATATAACAAGAGTTTAACAAGATTGTGATTGAGATTTGGTTGATATAACAACATTAGGTGGTTGAAGTTGTAGATTACAGTGATGACAGTTGATGCTAGTTCTGAGGTTAGTACGGATGGAATGTTATCTTCTCCAGTTGGGAAGACAGGATGTTCAGGTCGTGACAACGTTAGTGAAGCAGATAAACAAATACTAGAATGGGCAGGCAAATTGGAGTTGGAGACTGTTGATCTGAAGGAGAAGGCATCTGAGTTAACTAATGTGTTCAATGAGAGTAATACCAAGTTATTAGAGTTAGTGGCGCGTCTTAATGACCATTTGGGATCGATAGAGGGAGGTGACATGAAGAGAAGTGAAGCTGATGGTTTGTTGATATTTTAAAGATACCCTTATAATCGTAAGAATTAAACGACTTTCAAGATGGATACTGGATTACTAACGTAGATGCAATATTTTCGGTTGCAATTTATTTCAGGTTTTAAAAGTCTAATTGAAAATTTGGGGGCGACTCTAAAGAATGGGTTGAAGGAATCTTTGGAGTCCTCTTCCAAGACCTCCAATGGTGTTATGAACAAAATGATGAAACAGCTTCAAATGGTGACGGATTGTGTCGAGAAGCATGATTCAAATACAGTGACAAAATCTGAACTGACCAAGTTTTTGGGAGACAACAATAAACAGTTGTTGCAAGAATTTGATGCAAGGTTTGATGAGATCATGAAAAGTGTCGACACCACTCAAGATCTAGTAATTAACTGTGGAAAACAATTAGAATCGATTTTTGGAGTCATGGTGTCTGTCTCTACAGAGATCAAGAATCTTAGCGACAGGCAAACTACTTTAGAAGAATTAGTTAAACAGAAAGCAGAGTTCCAAATTACCAGGAAATTTAGCAATGACAGTTGCTTATTAGTAGGGACTACTTTAGAAGAGGATCATACGACTGCCACAAGATGTAAGGCCACTAGGTCCCCTGTCAAGGGTCGACTAAGAACAAGGTTGCAAAAACAAAACAAGACTCAAACAATGGGAAACGATAGCAAAATCATAGCCAAAAAGCAACATCCTAACAGAAGAGATCTCACAATAGCTAGGACTATCATACCGTGGGAAGAAATCGACACATATTACTCTTCTGAGCTCTAATTATAAATCACAAATGTTTACATTCTATACATGGCATCAAATTATATACATATATTTAAAAATAATTCTAAATATAATCCAAGAAAATTTTAAACTAATAACAAATACGTTTGTTGGTAACCTTGCTTTTTTTCTATATTTTTTAATAAGTTCATCATAAATCATCAAATCAAAAGTCAATCGACGCTTCTCATCTTGGTAGATAGAACTTTTCTCTCAGAATCAATCTTTAAAGTCAAAGTGGCTATAGAACCCAAATTCTCTGCGTTTATAAAATCCCTATAATACAACTTGTAAGAGGGAATATACCTATCGACAAACTTCATCACACTCTCATCCGACATCCCATCTCCATGCTTCGCTATCGTATCATGCTCCTGTTGTAGCCTCCACTGGTAAACTCTCTGCTCCACAGAATCTGTATCAAACGCTATTCCCAAAGAATGTATCTCTGGGTTATTCCAAAGAAGATCACAGTACAAGTACAGATTACTATTCACCAGTTTCATATCACCTTCTAGAAGTTGTTTCCTTTCATCGTCAAGAGAGTCGGGCAACACAGGCTCGAACCCTAGAAACCAACCTTCCAAGATGAATATATCCACAGGCAACTCGGTGAAGGCACATTCACTAGCCCGATCACCTTCACCTGAATATTTGGACTTGTCGTACATGGGCAACCGTAACTTCTGGTGATATTTCCCATCACCTCTGATCCGACAATTACAATTTATCGCATCTATAAACTCATACAATAGCTTCATATCGTGAGTCCCCGGGAGCCCACGACCTCGAAGCAGCTGATTCCCAGGAAACTGACCCTCGAGCTTCTTCTGGTCCCCATGAGTCAAGTAAAAGTCGTCAATCGAACAGTATACCACTCTTTTCTGATCCTTAAACTTTTCCTTCAAATATTCATATATCCTTGACCCATTATAAGTCTTCCCAGACCCTTGAGGACCCGAAACAAAAACAAACAAAGGCTGTCTACCCCCCAGACCAAACCAAGAATCCACATGTTCATCTAAAAACAAAATACATTCATCAATAACTTGTCTATGAACCATCATAAAATATTCCTTATATATCTTCACTTCCAAAAACCCGTTCAGCACACTTCAAAGTCAAAACCAGCACAATGAAACAACTCCAAACCAAAATATCACATCAACAGACCCTGTAAACCAACACAAGACCCTCAAAACCTTGCATTTAACAAAACCATCCCATCTTCTAATCTATAACCATCAAAAGTTTCACTCCTAATCCTTTAAATTTTTCAATATTTCGATATTTTCCTTCCTTAACTATGTGAGCCAATTGGGTGGGCCATTTTGTTTTGTTCATGCGGGTCTCCGGAGCTAAGCGTACTAAAGGGCTTATATCCAAAAAGTGATGATGAGCTCAAGATTGACGAGTCATCGCAAATGATCGATGAATTCTGAAAGTTGGAGATCAGGACTGATTCGGAAAGGTATATAAAGGGGTTGAAATGCTGGATTTGATGATTAATTTCATTTAATCTTTTGTTTACTGTTCTGGTTTGGGGTTCTCTTGGAGGTGGAAAGGGGTGAACCGAGAGAGAAAGTTAGAGTGAGAGAACAAGGATACCGCAAGTAATCGAGATTTGGATAGAAGCTCTCTTGTCAACGAAAAAAGATATATAACGAGGGGGGTATAAGAAACAGAGGTTTTTAGTGTTTTTTTGTCTTGGTTCTGGTTCTGGTTCTATAGTTTATTGATTAAGGTGGATATACAAGGGAAATATATATATATATATTATAGGTTTTAATTTTTTACCCATTATGAATAATAGGTTGGCTAATTTAGAGAGGATTTTGGAGCTGACTCCTCTTTCTGCTAGTAGATTTGTCACTAGCTATTTGCCGGCAGCTCCTTTTGGTGGGAAGGGTACTTTTGGTGGTACACTGGTTGCACAAGCGTTGCTAGCAGCCTTGTATACGGTTCCTGAGGATTTCGAACCTACGTCGTTGCATGGCTATTTTGTCAATGCAGGGAATCCATCGGTTATGATCCAGTATCATGTTTCTGATCTAAGGCATGGTCGTAATTTCATCCATAAGCAAGTAAAGGGTTACCAGCACGAAAAAGTGGTCTACACGGCGATGATTCTGTTTTCTGCAAAGAAAACTCACGATTCGTTACATCATTTTAAGAAATTGGATGTCAGTAAGTTACCAAAGGTCAGCAGTTTCTATCGTGCAGATGAGTTATTCGAAGAATCTGTCGGGAAAAAAGTCAAGAATTATCAGAATTTAAATGAGGGCTTTCAGGATCTGACCTATGTAGATAGAAATATCGAAAACTTCAAACATGGTGTCCTGGACTACAGATTCCCAAAGGACCTTTTTTACTCGAATAAAAAATACGATCTTTTAAGGTATTATATCAATTGTAGACAACACGTAACTAAGGTTTACAGAAGGGACAGATATGAAAAGATAACCCCGGCTAATGATCCAAGATACAGTTATGTGGCGTTGGCGTATTTATCGGACTCGTATTTCCTATTTGTTCTGCCATACTTCCACAATTTACCAATCTACTCACATAAGTTCAGTGTCTCTTTAGATCATTCCATTCATTTCCATCAGCAACCAGATGTAAACGATTTCTTACTGTTTGAAATAAGAAACCCTAGATCTAACTTGGACAAGCATCTCATGGAGGGTGAGTACTTTAGTCGTAAAACTGGTGAAATTGTAGCAAGCGTGGTTCAAGAAGGTTATGTTGTGTACGATCGCGAAGAAGAGATAAGGGCAAAGTTCTAACTCATCACCATTTGCTGCATATTGCATTTTGATTCCCTCTCCCACCATTATTAACAACTAACATATATGCGTGTGTTTGCCCCATAATTTTCTGTAAATTATTCGTTTCTCAACTTTTAACAAAGTTGGGGGCAAGGCATTCAGCATTTAACGAAATTCAAGTATTATATATATTCTTTATCTTTGTACATGATCGGCTCTGTGCAATTTATTAATTCGTGTATATTTCAATAAGCAAATGAATAAATAGTAAATATATTCGCATGGACAACTTCAAACAGAAATCAGAACTTTTTTTATTTATTATCTCTATGAATCAGGATATATTACGTACTTTCAAAATTAAACAACAGCAGTCTTGAATGTAAATGAAATTCAGAACATACCGTCAATTTCACCATCTTCATTCACCTCAACATTCATAAAACCACAATGGGTTGGTAAACCTGGAATAGTTTGGATTTCGGCAGCCAATGCATACAAGTAGCCAGCACCAATAGAAGCCCTGACGTCTCTAATTGGGAAAGTAAAACCAGTTGGAACACCTTTCAAGTTGGCATCATGAGATAATGAGTATTGAGTCTTGGCAATACAGACCGGTAAGTCGCCAAAACCTTGTTCTTTATATAAATTGATTTTCCTTTGGGCTTCCTCTGTAAATTCAACATCTTTTGCACCATACATCTTTTGGGCAACCGCTGTGATTTTTTCTTCAACACTTAAACCTTCTGTTTTGTATAAAAATTCAAAATCTTTGTTACTTTCTTCGTTCGTTACCTTGATTATGCCCTTAGCCAAGTCAATGGCACCTTCACCACCTTCTTCCCAATGGTTGGAAACAATGGCATCGGAGGCACCAGCTTTCAAGGACTCTTCTCTTATAACCTGATGTTCAAGATCTGTATCTGATGACATTTTGTTAATAGCAACAACAACTGGCAAATTATATTGCTTGGCGTTGCCAATATGCTTAGCAAGGTTAGCACAACCTTTCCTCAATAGTTCAACATTTTCATTAGAATACTCGGCTGGTAATGGCATACCAGCTTTAACTTCTGGGCCACCGCCATGAACCTTTAATGCTCTTACAGTAGCAACAATGACAACAACATCTGGAATCAAGCCAGAGGCACGACTCTTGATATTCAAAAATCTCTCACCACCCATAGTAAAGTCGAAACCAGCTTCGGTAATGACGTAACCAACATTTTCACGTTTGATGTCTTCTGGTAATTCTGGATCAACACCAGCCAATTTTAAAGCCATCTTGTCTGCTAAAATAGAATTGGCTCCAATCGAAATATTAGCAAATGGACCTGCATGGACAAACACTGGAGTACCTTCTAAAGTTTGCATAATATTTGGCTTGATTGTGTCTTTTAATAAAGCAGTCATAGCACCAGCGCAACCAATATCTTCACAGGTAATTGGTTCGCCAGTTTTTGAAGATGCTATAACGATTTTACCTAAACGTTCTCTCATGTCTGATAAGGAAGTTGATAATGCTAAGATGGCCATACATTCTGAAGCAACAGATATATCAAAACCAGTATTTCTTGTAAAACCACGTTCTGTTGGAGCTTCACCTACTGTTATGCCTCTTAAGAATCTATCATTACAATCAACAACTCTTCTCCAAGTAATAGACTCAGGATCAATATTTAGCTTAGCAAATCTTGAAATTTCTTCGTCAGTTAAATCATCTGGGTTTGTTTTGTCAATACCCAACTTCTTTAATCTTCTCAACATTGTAGGAGTGAATTTTCTAACACCGTTCTTTGAAGGAACCAATCTCTTATAGAAAGCAGCATCCTTTTGAGTGGATTCATGGAACATTCTAGTATCGATAGCAGCAGCTAGTAAGTTATTGGCAATGGAAATTGCATGGATATCACCAGTGACATGTAAGTTAAATTCGTCCATTGGAATGACTTGAGAGTAGCCACCGCCGGCAGCACCACCTTTAATACCAAAGGTTGGACCCATGGAAGGCTGACGAACATTAGCAAAAGTTGTTTTCTTTAAATGGGCACCCAAAGCTTGAGCTAAGCCTACGGTAGTGGTTGACTTACCTTCACCTAAAGGAGTTGGTGTAATACCAGTCACTAAAATATATTTACCATGTTCTCTATCCTTCAAACGGTCCAACAATTTCAAATTCACCTTTGCCTTAGTAGCTCCATATGGTTCTAGTTCAGATGGCAAAATACCAGCCTCTAAGGCAATTCGTGAGATATCTTTTGGTTTCTGTACTCTTGAAATTTCGAAGTCAGAAGGAACTGGCTTCAATTTTTTTAGTGGAAGTGGCTTAAATTCACATAGCTTACCACCAGTTTCCAATTCTCTTTTGGCTGCTATTAAGGTATTTTCCATTAACATGGCAACAGTCATTGGACCAACACCACCTGGAACAGGAGTAATTAACTTAACGTATTTAATTGCTTCATTAAATTCAACATCACCAACATATCTGTAACCAGATTTCTTGGTAGCATCATCTACAAAATTAGTGCCAACATCGATGACGACTGGGTTTCTCTTGTTTTCTTTTAGCCATTCACCTTTTACAAATTCTGGTTTACCAATAGCTACAACTATGATATCAGCATCCTTCAAATAAGATGGGATATCTAGGGTTCTAGAATGCAAAATCGTGACTGTAGAGTCCAATGATTTCAAAAGTGCTGCCACTGGTGAACCTACAATATCAGATCTACCAATTACTACAGATTTGGAACCTGCAATAGTGACATTAGATCTCTTCAACAACTCGACGATACCCTTTGGAGTACATGGAAGGAAGTAAGGATGACCATTTTTCTTATTTAATTCACCAATATTGACAGGACCAAACCCATCGATATCTTTTTTAGCCATGACAGCAGATGTGACCTTGTCTTCGTCGATATGAGATGGTAGTGGTAATTGTACAATGATACCATGAATGGTAGGGTCCTCATTCAACATATCAACCCTAGATAGCAATTCTTGTTCTGAAGTTGCCTCAGGTAAATGGATATAGGATGCAAGGATACCAGCAGCTTCAGCAGCTTTCAATTTCATACGCACATAAGTTGATGAATCTTTTCTATCACTAACTTGAACAATTGCTAGATGTGGTTTAAAAGCAGGGTTCTTAGCCTTCAATGCAGCAACCTCATCAGCAATTTCACCACGAATGGTTAGGGCAATGTTCTTACCGTCTATAATCTCACCAGTCATCCCAACTAATATGTATTCCTGGAAAAGAGGGGGTGGGAGTAAAAGGGTCTGGTTCTAGCTATGACCTTTTATATAATTGTCTTGAAGCAGCTATTCGACAACAAGTGCAACTACCACTAATGGACGTAGTAATAACTTCAAAATTCTATACTGATGATCACTGTCCATTTAAATCATCAAAAGAACTTTATCAGGATTATGTTTTGAAAGAGAATAGATCTTTTTATACATCAAATTATTCACTGTTGAACTGAATCTATATTTGCTCCATTATTTCTTTAGCCATTGTTGAGATACGAAACGGTGAGTAAGATAAAAACCAGAGTCAAACGATACCCAACTTTAAGCCAATCGGTGAAATTAGAAGAATCATATCACATGTTAATCCCACTAGAATAACTGGCCATTTGATTCATTAACAATGCCCTAATCAATTTCTAAAACTCTTTCCATTGAAGTCATTGCAATATCATATACATTTTAAGACTATACAGAATTATATTATTATATATATTTTGGTTAAGCCTACCTTGACACAACTTTCACCATCACCATGACCAGAGATCAGGTTTGTAATCCTCAGTGACAGTGGAATCAGAACCGTATATATCTTGCCAATAGTTGAAACCACCTCTTAATATAGATATTTGATAATGTTGTAGTTGTTCGTCGTCTAACCAACGCAAAAGTTTCATTGCAGCAGATGGACCTCTCTGTTGGGATTGGGCACAATGGAACACTACGTTCATAACATCGTTAGCTCCTCTACTCTTCTCCAGCTGGTCCACTAATTGATTCATGTATTCTTCATCATGAGACAGTCTCTTGTATGGATAATTCCAACAATTTATAATATGACCACCTATATAATCAGAACCACGAACATCAATAACTTGAAATAGGTCTTTGTGAAGACTAGAGTGTCCCTGTTTGATCCAGTTAAACAGTTCCTCTGCACTCAGGTACTTTATACTAGAGATTGATCTTGACATCATCGATTGGCTTCTTATCTGCACTTTCTTACCAATGTGATGAATAAGGTTTCTTTTAATGAAAGTTCAAGTCTAGGAAAGTTTGGTTTTTTTTACTGACAAGATAGCTCCCCAATGAAACTTTACCAATCTTGATCAGATCTGTTATAGTGTTCAACTTGATGGTATCCCCAATTCCGAACTTATTTAACAAGATAGTTGCTATTCGTCAAGAAGCTATATAAATATATATGGGGGAGATATCTTAAACAATTTTTCAACGTCTCATCTTCAATTGACCCTATCTCGATCAACTTTCATCCAAACAAGACAATATCGACACCAAAACATCCGCAATTCCTTGTACTTCAAGATCAACCTAATAAGATATGCTCTTCTTTATGTAGTTATCCTTCTAAATCAGCTTCTTTTATATATCTTACCTTTTTAAAATTGTTCAGATCAAAATTTTTCCCTGAACCGGCAACCAAGAATGAGCCATTAAGAGATGTTGAAACTTTTTTCATTTCGAAACTTTAATGCGAACCATGATGATGAGCAATTGTCAAGTTTAATGAGTCTTGAAGGGTAGCTAATTGTTATAATTACTTTATAAATCAAGTTTACATTGTATTTAAATTGTTTTCCATACTTGTCTTTCTGTTAAATTGGTTAAGTATTGAAAGAAAGGGATACTGGTTCCATATATATATTTCGAAGTTAAGTAATATATATAGAGTGAATACGAGGGAATTCGAGATAGTTTTAGTTGAAATCAAGGATCATGACTATTGCAAGCAAGGCATTGAGTGCTAGACACTTTTCAGTCACTAGAAATGTTAGTAAGAAGTTGAATAAGTACTCTTATATCGTTACAGAACCTAAGGACCAAGGTGCATCACAAGCGATGCTTTATGCAACTGGGTTCAAGAAAGAAGATTTTAGTAAAGGTCAAGTTGGTGTAGGATCATGTTGGTGGTCTGGTAATCCATGTAATATGCATTTATTGGATCTTAATGATAGATGTTCACGTTCTGTGGAGAAGGCTGGCTTGAAAGCTATGCAATTTAATACCATTGGTGTTTCCGATGGTATTTCAATGGGTACTAAAGGTATGAGATACTCTTTACAGAGTAGAGAAATCATTGCTGATTCTTTTGAAACTATAATGATGGCTCAACATTACGATGCCAATATTGCTATCCCTTCATGTGATAAAAACATGCCGGGTGTCATGATGGCCATGGGAAGACATAACAGACCTTCTATCATGGTTTATGGTGGTACTATTTTACCTGGCCATCCAACCTGTGGTTCTTCAAAAATTCCAGAAAACATTGATATAGTATCTGCTTTCCAATCTTATGGTCAATATATATCTAAACAATTCAGCGAACAAGAGAGAGAAGATGTGGTTGAACATGCTTGTCCTGGTCCAGGTTCTTGTGGTGGTATGTATACTGCTAACACTATGGGTTCTGTCGCAGAAGTGCTAGGTTTGACTTTGCCAAACTCTTCTGCCTTCCCAGCAGTTTCTCAAGAAAAGATGAATGAATGTGATTCCATTGGTGAAGCTATTAAGAAGACAATGGAATTAGGTATCACTCCTCGTGATATCATGACTAAGCAAGCTTTTGAAAATGCAATCACCTATGTTATCGCAACCGGTGGTTCCACCAATGCTGTTTTGCACTTGGTTGCCATTGCTCATTCTGCTGGTGTCAAGATTACTCCTGATGATTTCCAAAGAATCAGTGATAAGACCCCATTATTGGGTGATTTTAAACCATCGGGTAAATACGTTATGGCTGATTTAATCAAAGTAGGAGGTACCCAATCTGTTATCAAATTCTTGTACGAAAACGGTTTCTTGCATGGTGATGCCATTACTGTTACTGGTGATACATTAGCCGAACGTGCTGCCAAAACTTCTGGATTACCAGAAGGCCAAGATATAATCAGACCTGTTTCACAACCTATTAAACCAAATGGCCATCTACAAATATTGTATGGCTCATTGGCTCCAGGTGGTGCTGTCGGTAAAATCACTGGTAAAGAAGGTACTTTCTTTAAAGGTAGGGCTCGTGTTTTTGAAGAAGAAGAAGCTTTCATTCATGCATTGGAAAGAGGTGAAATTAAGAAAGGTGAAAAAACCGTTGTTGTCATCAGATATGAAGGTCCAAAAGGTGGTCCAGGTATGCCAGAAATGTTGAAACCATCCTCTGCGCTAATGGGTTACGGTTTAGGTAAAGATGTTGCCTTGTTAACTGATGGTAGATTTTCTGGTGGTTCCCATGGATTCTTAATCGGTCACATTGTTCCAGAAGCTGCCGAAGGTGGTCCAATTGGTTTAGTTAAAGATGGAGACGAAATTGTTATTGATACAAATAACAACAAGATAGATTTATTAGTATCCGAACAAGAAATAGCCCAACGTAAATCAGAGTGGGTTAAACCAGCTCCACGTTACACCAGAGGTACTCTATCCAAGTACAGTAAATTGGTATCTAACGCTTCTAACGGTTGTGTATTAGACGCTGACAATTGAGGTTAAAAACAATTTGATATAGGCATACAGCCACATAATCACCCTATATTTTTCTCAATGATGTAAAGTTATTCCTTATAATGTCTTTTGGCTAAGATGAATATTGAATATTCTAGCCTTCAATATATTCCAGAAACGAGGATTCTTCTCCTAACGTCTCTAAACAACTTTTACCTATTTATTTTCTGCATATAAATCTCTTTATTTATATTTATATTTACTTATTTATAGTCCATTGAATGGATAATGAAACGATAACTAAACCGAAACATTAGACATTACAATTACTGTCATCTTCTGTTCTAGTTAGGCTCTTAATTATGTTGATGCCAATTTTCTATTGCGCGATGGATTTCTTAACAGCTGAAAAATTTTAACTATGGATATTAAAATGTATATAGATAAAAGAGAGATGAAGCCATCTCATCACTTGTGGTTAAATGGGGAAGGGATCGGTTTAGATTGATAAGGACGGTAACTCTGTGTTTCATGATGACTTCTGTTTCTCCAGTTGCTACTTTTATAGGTGCTAACAAACAGACTCAAGTTTGTGATTATAATAAAGAACGTCAAATCGTCGCATTTGGTGCAGGAAACACAATTGCTCTTTGGAATCCATTGGACGTTAGTTACAAAGGTGTGTGTGCTACTTTAAAAGGTCATGAATCTGAGGTTACTTGTGTGAACTTTATTCCAGGTTCTGATTATTTGGTCTCTGCGTCTGAGGACTTCTATATCAAAATTTGGAAATTCGCTAGTGATAGCATTAACATGGAATGTGTTCAAACTATTAAGCATAATACCAAGACAATTGTTACATTAGCAGTTTTACCTGGCTTATTTGCAGTTGGTTGTGCTGATGGTTTGATATCTCTGTGGATTGCAGGCGGCGACGAAGAACATTTTGTATTGGGTCACGAATTCAATGTTCAAAAAGGTTTCTATCCTTTATGTTTAGCATTATCAAACATCAAAGATGATAAATATATTTTGGCAGTTGGTGGTACTTCTGTTAATATCTTTGTTTATTCTTTTATTTACAATGGATCCGATATTAACAGTTGTGAAAATGTATCTAAATTAGAAGGACACGAAGATTGGGTAAAATCATTGGCTTTCCGTCATCAAGAGACTCCTGGGGATTACTATTTAGCATCAGGATCCCAAGATCGTTATATTAGAGTATGGAGAATCAGAACCAATGATCTAATTGATAATTCTGATGAAGATGAGACTAAATTAAGTTTATTAAGCAACAAACAGTACAAATTCGAAATCGCAAATGACTTAAAAGTTGCTATTAACTTTGAAGCTTTAATCATGGGGCATGATGATTGGGTTTCTTCAGTAAAATGGCATGAATCTCGTTTTGAATTGTTGGCATCAACAGCTGACACAGCTATCATGGTTTGGGAGCCAGATGAAACTTCAGGTATTTGGGTCTGTGCGTCAAGACTTGGTGAAATCTCATCAAAGGGTGCTTCTACTGCAACTGGTTCCACAGGTGGTTTCTGGTCCTGTTTATGGTTCCAAGCTGAAGGAAAAGATTATATTCTAACCAATGGTAAAACTGGTTCTTGGAGAGTTTGGAATACTAGCGACAGAACTTTCTGGGAAGCTCAATTGGGTATCACAGGTACCACCGAAGAGGTAACTGACATTGCCTGGTCACCAAAGGGTGATTATCTATTATCTACTTCTTTGGATCAAACAGTAAGGCTTTTCTCAGCGTGGAGATATAACAGTGATGGTACTGAAAGGGATCAAATTAGTTGGCATGAGTTTTCTAGGCCTCAAATCCACGGTTATGATATGATTTGTATCGAACCAATATCTGAAACAAGATTTGTTAGTGGTGGTGATGAAAAAATTTTAAGAGCATTTGATTTACCAAGAGGTGTATCTGACATTTTAACAAAGTTTGCCGGTGTGACATTTGAATCAAACTCAGTAGTTCTTGAATCCGCATCTGTACCAGCTCTGGGTTTGTCTAACAAGGCTGCTACTGAAGATATTGAAGATGTGGAAGATCCAAATGAAAGAGAAACAAATGAGAATAAAAATATATCATATGAATTAGTTGCTGCTTTAACAACTCCACCCTTAGAAGATCAATTACAAAGGCACTTGCTATGGCCAGAAATTGAAAAATTATATGGTCATGGTTATGAAATCACCTGTGTTGGTGTTTCACCAGATCGTAAGCTAATAGCATCTGCATGTAGGTCAAACACAGCTACACATGCTGTTATTCGTATTTTCAGCATAGATACTTGGTTAGAACTAAAGCCACCTTTAGCTTTCCATAATTTAACAATAACTAGGTTGGAATTCTCTCATGACAGCAAATATTTACTGAGTGTCTGTAGAGATAGACAATGGGCCGTTTGGGAAAGAAATTTCGAAGATAACTCTTTTACATTAAAATATAAAAACGAAAAACCACATAGCAGAATTATTTGGGATTGTGTTTGGTTACCAGAAGAATATGGCAATGGTTTCCTAACAGCTTCGAGAGATAAGACAGTTAAACTTTGGAAGTATGGTAATGACAATTATGAATTAGAAACGTCTATTAAATTAACTGCAGCTGTTACTTCGATTTCTGTTATGCAAAAATTATTGAATAATAATTTAATCATTGCTATCGGTTTAGAAGATGGGTCAATACACATTTATAAGTATTCTAAGGATTCCTTTGAGCAAGTTATTGAACTGGATAATGCCATTACTCCAGCCGGAAGAATTTCTAGATTAAGATGGTCTAATTTAGAGAATTCTGGTTCATTCTTGTTAGGTGTCGGTAGTAGCGATACTTCAACTCGTATCTATTCCGTTCAACTATCTGACATATGATAAAAAGAGTCCCTGTAATATTTTCATTTAAATTATATAAATCTATTAGTATATACCTTTGATTCATAAGGTCAATTACATAAGCATGCTTCATTAACATTAGATTTGGAAATCCCAGGTCGGTAACCATTTCATCTTCTCATAACTTATATCTCTGCGTATCATACCTTGACATAAAGGAGCAAACAGGATATAAGTATAAATACAACCTGCAAACAATACCAGGTAACCAAGGTGTCTGGTAATTGGGTGAACCTTGTTAAGTGTGTAATCGACAGTGAATGCAAAAACAAGAATGGCAAAGTACAATGCAGGTAAATAATGATGAACATAAGTAACTCTACCCATTATTACGAAAGGTAAGAAATGGGTCAACCAAGCAATGAATGGGAATACTGCTTGAATGGCAAATGACCAAAGTTGATCTTCCGTTATATTTATTTGTTGTCTTCTCCATTGATATGAGAGTTTGGCCAGAATCAATAACATGACTATCAATGATAGGGATGATAACCAAGTATTGAAAGGCGATCCCATCAAGTAATATCTGTAGGTATTAAATGCCCAGTTGCACATACGCAAACCTACATGTAAAGTTGGCCATTCCCAAGCATCAGATGCCAGGTTATCATATTTATCGCCATCAGGTACTAAAGCATTGTTTGAAGCTGCCATTGCAAAATTTATCAGAATAAAATCTGTCCAAAATTTGGATTTTGGTGGGATATAATCATCTTCTACCTCAAGCATATCATTTGTATGATCTTCAACATTCCACCATGTTGATTTGTCTCTTGTACTCCAAGAGTACTTACAGACAACTTCAGATTGTTTGAAACCCCATGCTGGGTACGAAAATCCAGTTGAAGTTAGGTAACACCCAAGAACTTTATGTTTCAATCTAAAAAATGTAGAAACAGGATGAACAGAATCATTATCTTCATCGTGGAAATCAGGATTGCTTGACTTTAGTTGGTCAACAATTTCAATAACCCAATTATCCTTTTGGTCACCACGATGGTCACTACCATAACCTGAGACTTCCCAGTTTCCACGAGATACATGGGAAGGAACCTCATGGGAATGTAAGTTTTTACCAGTATTCTTGTGTAATAGTCTCACCTCGTCACCGTCTCTTATTGGGATCAAATCTTCATTAACAGTTTGGTTATTGGAATCGAACTGAATTCCAGATTCCCTTGTAAACTTGAATATCCAACCATTATTAGAATCTGAATAACCATAGCCTGTAATTTGATTTTGTTTGGAACCATCTGGATATTTTTGAACATGAGAATGTAGTAAATTTGGACTCAACCCATTTGAACGAATGGATACTTCTGAACCGTACATTACTTGACGAGGGCTATTGGATATTTGGGTGCCTTCTAAATTGATTTGAAATAATGTATTTGTAGAAGCATCGCCTGTACCTGATTTGTACAATAGAATGAAATGGATCTTGAAGCAATACAAATAAACCATAAATGGGATTACAATAAGGTTGATAATTCTTATGATCCAATGTTTGTAGTATAATTTTCTAGATAGTTTCATATTACAATACAAAGTCCATAATTCCACGACGGTGTACAGACCAACAATAACAGTAATAAAGAGGCCTACCCACTTAACAGAACAAACGCAACCGATGGAAAACCCAGTGATCAACATCCACCAGGACCATTTCCTTGTAAATGGTACTTTTCTTAGAGTATATAATTTTGCCATACAGGCAAAAGTAGTCATGGTAAAGAACAAAAGCATTGAATCTAGCAAAATGAATTTAGCTAAGACGATGTAAGACAATTCTAAAGCCACCATTAAAGAAACCAAGTAAACGGTATAAATATTGAAACCCATCCACTTGGCTGTATAGTAGGCTACAGGTGTACATAGGGCGCCGAAACTTGCATTGAATTGTCTCATCATCTTAAAATTGACATTATCAGGATACTTTGTGTTTGATTCGAAATCAAAATCCCCATCAAACCCGGCAATCCATTCACTTAATGCAATCAACATTTTCCCCAAAGGTGGATGGACATCATGATAAAATTCATGATTGATATAATAAGAACCAAATTTTCCAAAATGAGCCTCATCCCAAACAACTGTATTGTTTCTGTCAATTTCATAGAACCTTACAGCAAACGACAATACAGTCAGTAATAGAGGTCCAATCACTTGTTCTAAAGTGAACCAAATAGATTTCTTGTTAGATTGCAAACTTTTTTTAAAATCAATTTCATCGTTATCAATTTTCGAAACGTCTAATGAATTATCATCAGGATGGTTTCTTTTACGCAATTGAGTATCTGCAACTTCAAAACCAGAACCAATTGAACCCATTTCGAACAGTAGACAACCCTAAACCCTTTCCCATCAACAACAAGACCAAATTAACAAAGCCATACCAAAATCTTCAACACCATCATCTTCTTCTTATAATAGCAATTGATCAATAATTCCTTGTATGGGTAAAGAGTTAGTTAGTACCTTTCCCAGTTTCGAAGTTTCGAATGCAAAATTCCTTAACAGGATATAAACTGAGCTACTTCGCATCGCTAGCAAAAACTAAAAACTAAAACTAAAAACTAAAACTAAAAACTAAAACTAAAACTTAAACTAAAATTAAAAGAGAGGCCAACTCTCCAAACCAACGACGATACAAGACAAGAAAAGCATAATGAATATTTCGATCGATCTTGAATCGAGATTGAATAAGGACAACCTGATTCATCATATCTTGATTGTAAATTAATTTGCATAACTTGGGTAAATGCAATGATTCAATTAAAATCATACATCTCTCGACCGGAAAGAGCCAACTCATATCATAATAAATAAAACTCTTCAAACGTCATTAGACACATGCACGCATACACGTAAGGAGTAACTAATAAATCAATTGGAAAAAACAAAAAATAGAAGGATGATGAAAAGACGTCTTATACAATACAGTTATAATTTCTAAAGGGCTGCCCTTCCGATGATTATCAACTGATATTATCAGACCATAATTAACTCAATTGTCAATAACCGAACCCATCGTAACCATGGTGATGATTCCTTTCTATCAATTTCTTTCGAAATGCGTTGATTAAATCTTCAACCCATAGCTTAATATAATGCATTTCAGCTTATTTGAATACATTGATATTTTGATCTCGGCCGAATTTGTACTTGTAGCCATTGACGTTGTGGGCTTTAAGTTGGTTTCAGGCATGAGATTGATTGATCAGACGTTAAGGTTTATAACGTCAGTGAAGTGTTGGATTCTATATGTGACAAAGGGTTCACATTCAGGGATATCTACTCTATGAATTGATTATAATTTCATTTATTTGCATATGTGTTTATGATCGATATTGCAATATTATTTTGCTTTTAAGGGATTATATTGTTTGATTGGATTCTAAAGGTTTCTCTAAATTATGCAGGTTTGAGATTTTACAATCATATAAATACCAGGTCAATTTCAAATTAAAACTGCTGGAAAATGTTTTTTGATCCTCTTATGTGTATATGTTAATTAATATTCAACCTTTACTTGAAATCATAACAGTAACATCAACTAGTCACATCACTGTGAATATTATATATATAAATATAAATATAAACATATATTTGTTCTATATTAGTTCTCCATTATCAAGTACCAAAAAAACATGTCTGCTACTACTACTACTACTCAACAAGCTCAATTGCAATTGAGCTCTGGTGCTATTAACCATGCTTTGTCAGAAGTTGTCAAGACCGATGATTGGTCTGATTTTAAATTCACACCAATTAGAGAATCTACTGTTTCAAGAGCTATGACTTCTCGTTATTTCCAAGACTTGGACAAGTATGCTGTCTCTGATGTTGTCATCGTTGGTGCTGGTTCTTCTGGTTTGTCTGCTGCCTATGTCATTGCTAAGAACAGACCAGATTTGAAAATTGCTATCTTGGAAGCTAATGTCGCTCCAGGTGGTGGTGCTTGGTTAGGTGGTCAATTGTTCAGTGCTATGATCATGAGAAAGCCAGCTCATTTATTCTTGGAAGAAGTCGGTGTTCCATTCGAAGATGAAGGTGACTACGTCGTTGTTAAGCATGCTGCTTTGTTCACTTCAACTGTCTTATCCAAGGTTTTGGAATTTCCAAATGTTAAATTATTTAACGCTACTGCCGTAGAAGATTTGGTCACTAGACCAGCTGGCGATGGTACTGAGGCCGTCACCGTTGCTGGTGTCGTTACTAACTGGACTTTGGTCACCATGGCTCATGACTTACAAAGTTGTATGGATCCAAACGTCATTGAACTATCTGGTTACAAGAACGATGGTACCCGTGATGCTAGCAAGAAGCACGGTGTCATCTTGTCCACTACTGGTCATGACGGTCCATTTGGTGCTTTCTCTGCTAAGAGAATTGTTTCTATTGACAAGAACAACAAATTGGCTGGTATGAAAGGTTTAGATATGAACAACGCTGAAGCTGGTGTTGTTAAGAATTCTGGTTCTTATGCTGGTGTCCAATCTATGTACTTCGCCGGTATGGAAGTTGCTGAACTATCTGGTTGTAACAGAATGGGTCCAACTTTTGGTGCTATGGCTGTTTCCGGTATTAAGGCAGCTGAAGAAATTTTGAAGCATTTCGCTGAATAAATGTAAGTGCAAGCTACATTACATTTATTTAGAAAAATAGAGCAAATCAATAATTTCATGGGTCAGTCCCTTGCTATATAACCACATGCCATATATATTTACCCAAATATGTTTCTATTTATATATCTTTAATGACATTTTACATTCTACATTAAGATTCATTTTTAACTATAAGGGCCAAATTTCAGAGTTTTTAACGAATTTCGTTAAATGTTCATGGTTTAAATTCTATAGACTTATATACGACTAATTAATTAATTTCAAAAATTACTTATTTATCTTGTGACATATAACAAATTGAGAATTATTTTAATTAATAATTACAGAATTTAAACTTACGAATCGGAGCGGCTTCCTTATACCTAATGCAATTTAATAGAGTTTCCTTGTAACGACTGTCCTGGTATTTCTCATATATCAAGGCTAAATACCACCATACCTCAGGAGAGTTATATGCTTCTATTGATTTTGTCAATGAATATTCTAATAGAAATTTTAGTCTAGCGTATGCTGCTGACTTATCTTTGTTATTAGCAAATACCTCAATTTCCTTCTTGGTAGTCTCTTTGGAATTTTTAGTTAACATATAGTAATTCTCTACTAGTTGGTCGCTTTCATCACCTTCTTCTTCAGGGAATAGAATTTCTGCAAACCCTATCATTGCAGCAGGATTGCAGTCATCATAGAATAGTACAGTCTCGAATTCTTTCAATGCCTTTTTTAATTCCCCTTTTCCTAATAATAGATAACCATTTGATAAATTACAATTCAAATTTTTAAATGCAGAAGTAACATTCAAGGCTTCGGTAATGGCTTCTTTTGCGTCATCGAAATGTTCATCATCCAATCTAACATACATATCGGCTGCAAACAACCAGATATATTGTAATAAGTACTCCTTTGTATCGGAATATTCAGGGCCGATCCTATCATATTTTGTCTCTCCTTCAGGAAATAATTGTGCATATAATTGAAAAACTTCTGGTAGCAACTCTAGAGCTTCTAATGTTCCAAAAATTTCTTCTATAATACCTAGTTGGGTTAATTTCATTTGTATAAATTGCCATCTTTCAATTGTCGATAGTTTTTTCTCTTCATAAGCTTCTTTCATGGCTTCAAGGACTGAGCAAACAATTTTGAATGATACTTCCTTATCTTCATGTATAGAAGATTCACATAAAGCGAGTAAGTGCCATGCTTTGTAAAATTCTGGATACTTTTCTAAAACGACAGATTTAAGAAAATCTACTGCGGATTCGATCTGTCTTCCTTGTGCAAGTGTATATGCATATTTAAATTGTAATTCTGATCTTACACTTGGCTTATCTTCTCTGGCCATGCAAATAGCATTTGCCAGGAATGTTGATAACGCACAATAAAGTTGAGAATTTAAATCATTATTCCTGAACTCGTATAATATTTCCCATCCTTTTCTGATAATGTCAGATACCGTATTTGGGGATTTCACTCTATTCAATAGTTTTGACCAATCTAAACAATCTGATTCTGTAATATATGTGATTAAGTTTTGCGAGTAAAATTCTTTTAATAATTCTTCTAAACAAGATAGGGTATTTTGGAAATTGAAGACATTCTCGATATCAGATGATTCATTTTTAGTAAGTTGCAATATAAATGCATATGCATCAATGACTGAAATGAGGTTATCATACTTGGCTGACTTAGGGTCATCATCAGAGTCTGTTTCTTTCACGCGCTTGCTATATTTGACAAAGTTTACAAAATTTAGTATTGACTCAATTTTACAATTGTCTGAACTTCCAAAGATACCAAAATATAACATACCAGATTTTGCAACATTTGCACTTTGGAAAGTGCTCCCAATTGAAGAAACGATAAACGATTTCCAATTTTTAGATATGGTAATTTTCTTGTTTTGTTTTTGAATATCTCTAAAATAATTCTTTAAGAAGAAATGGAAATGGTCCAATTCTGTATTGTTTGTTTGGTTTGCCATAGGAAACTTTGATTTTTTCAGTATTTTGTCACCCATAGCAAAGACGTATTCATCGAATCCCGGAGTACTTGAACCATACATTTGTAAAACAAAATATGCAAGTACGACGTTTGAAACACCATCATTGTTCTCGATTTGAGAAGTGAATTCTTTAAAATCTTGTGGTTTACTTTTTCCTTGTTCAATTAAAATATCTGATAGATATTGGTAAGTTAATCCACATGATTGAGAAGGTAATTTATTGCCTAAAATTTTTAGTGCATCCAATAGACATGAACTTTTATTGGCTGGTGCAATTAGATTTCTGTAGTATAAATTTTCCAGATTCAAATAGGTAGCAAAATCATTGTAAGTTGGCTCATTGACAGTGAGTAGATTTCCATTATCGAAATAACTTTGTGCATCTTTTTCTTCACCTAACGAGTAGTAGATGATTCCTACTGAATTGTTTAATATTTTCTTGAAGAGGTTATTCAGAACTTCATTCCCACTTCTTTGACTTAATAAATCAGTAGCTTCTTCAAGTAAAACTTTAGCTGTTGACGGAGAAATTTGGCTTGAATCATCGCCATTTAAATGGAAATGAATACGAAAATGCAATGACAAAATAGAATTGACTAGCTGATCACTAGTGTAGAATACACCAGAACCTACTAATCTAGCCTGGAAAGCACTTAGAATCGATGGCATTTATTAAATACAAATTGTCGACCTTGAATTTACAGCACTTGTGTATGTAGCGATTGTCTAATAAATTAATCAGCAAATATTATTGTAATAGCGTCGTAATTCTATTTGAAGAACTTAAGAAACTTCAGAAACACAAACTTTGTTTGTTCAATGGCAGTACTAGTAGCGTCAAATAGATATTACAGTTCCCAATAGCTCTGGTTTATTGGTTCAATTGATCTCTTTAAAGTTGTCTTTTAACCTAATCATTTGGATTTTATATCTCATTCGTGTTCGAATGGACCTGTACGGCAGGAAAAAAAATGAGAATAAAAGGAAGTGGGTCATGTGAATAGCACGTGTATTGGATATCCATAAAATTGATATGATTATTATAAGAAACCAACCAAAGTGTCAGATAAGTACAATTGAACTATATATGATTTGAATATACCATTCTAAAGTTCATAAGCATGACATATTTTATGTTGGTGAAGGGGTGGTTCTATTACTAGAGTGGTTCAAGAGAAATATTTGAGTACGGCTGCAATACGATATGATATGATACTTAAGAAATATATTTATGCACTATAGATATTATAATTGTTATTAATTAATATGTTACCGTAATAATTATTTTATTATTACAGTTATCGTTAGTTTTATTTGTTGTTGTTGTTGTTGTTGTTGTTTGAATTGGCTTCATCAGTTGGTTTCTTCTTTTTCTTTTGTGAATCGATGATTTCCAACTTGACATTCTTCAAACCTTTTTCTTCCAATAAAGAGTGGATGTATTTTTCGACTTCCTCCAAGACGTCACCTTGAATGACAATTTCATCCTTTTTTTCAGCATTCTTAGAAACAGAACAACCGGTAGCGAATTTGGATGCAAAAGTCTTGGCTAATTTTTTCATATCAATTTCAAAAACTTCCAAACCAGATATAGCAACAATAAACTTTCTCTTAGTTCTAGCTTCTCTTTTGATCACTACTTTAGAAGACAATTTCTTGGCCAATTCTCTTTGTTCCCTGTTTTCCTGTTTAGCTTGTAGCCTCAATAGATCTTTTTCTAATTTTTCTTCTCTTGCTTCACCAATACTACTAGAACCCAATTTGTTAGCTGCGTTAGCAACTTCTTCGTCGATTTCATTACCATACAACTTGGCATACAATTCAGTGTCGTTTTCAGACAACCATACCTTACATCTTTTCAATTTACCTGAAAATTCACAATATTCAGGTGGATATGAACAAATACCACAGTAAACAACTTCTTGTAACATCTTTAAACAAACGAAAAAGGGATAAAATATAACTTAGAAGTAAAGTAGTTTGATAATCCTGACGTTATCACTCGAATTGAGACAACTAATACTTGAAATCAATCGAATATTTAATGATCAATACGTCTCATCTGGTTCTTAAAACTGTCAATTCGTTCTTGTTCGAATTATTTTTTTTTTTGGTTCGAACTGGTTTTCGATACCATGTTATTCTATTTTGGTAGCGCCGGTGTATCACGTGTACGTCATTGTAGCAGATAGGTTCTCGTTTGGTTTGGGTAGGGTAACAGGTTGTGTTCTCCACTAAATCTCCCCCGTATGCCTTATCTTGTCTGGCCTTCTATATGATGTATCTTTACAGAAAAGCAGAGAGGAATTACAGAGAACAATGATATATAATATAGCTGGGTAGATAGATAGATAGATAAATTCCTTCTCCAGCACATATCTTTATTATATTGCATGGAATGGTCCTGACGTCTCTCCAAATTACTATCACACAGTATCGTTTTTAGTTTTTTGTCCCGGACAAATCCGACCTGTCCAGATCAAATCACAGACAAAAAATAATAGATACAGGCAGATTTTATCCAGATTCAGCACTAACTACCGTATCTGATATCCGAATCTCCACATTAGGAAGTTCGTTCTATAGAAATTTGTCCTATGACTTTTTTCACCTTCGTTTCTTTTCTATAAATGTCTTGGTCTTTTTTTTCCATTTCGAATCGAAATGCCTTTAACTACCACGTATCCCAATTCGAATACGTAAAGGCCCTCTTCGATTCTCTCACAGTGATGACGATAGATAATTATACATCTTATTCATCAAGTCAATTCGATGAATGGAATAGACTACATGTCTCTTTCTTTCTCAACGTTGCTATATAAACGCATTTATATCTTTACAGGTTTAATATAACTTGACAGGACTTTATCTCTTGATCAAAATGCATTCATTCTCTTAGTTTGGAGTCAGTAAGAACCTAATCTAGCTGAAAAGATTCATCGAAACGAGCTTCTTTGCCAAGAGATTATTAAGGTTTTAGCGTTAAAGATTTCAAGGTTATAAAACTAGAAATTGAATTTTGCATTATCCAGTAGATTATATTTGTAGATTCTCTGGTATTTTATTGATTGACGTATATCTGTTTAAATCTAACCATTACTTCTCATATACATATATTTTATCATGTCAAGCTTAAAAGTGTCTCAGCAAGATAAGAAATGGGTTAACTCTGGCAGTGTAGCTATATTAGCTTACTGTGCTTCTTCTATATTAATGACAATCACCAATAAAGTGGTCATGTCTGATAGAACATTCAATATGAACTTCCTATTGTTATTTATTCAATCTCTGGTCTGTGTTATTACATTATTAGTATTGAAAGTTCTTGGATCTGTTAATTTCCGTTCTTTTAATAAGACAGACGCTAGAAATTGGTTCCCAATATCTATCTGTTTAGTCCTTATGATATTCACTTCCTCCAAATCTTTACAATATTTGTCTGTTCCTGTGTATACTATTTTCAAGAATTTGACTATTATTGTAATTGCTTATGGTGAAGTCTTATTCTTTGGTAGTTCAGTAGGAAACATGGAATTAGGTTCATTTGCATTAATGATTGTTTCTTCCTTGATTGCTGCACATGGTGATTATCTACACTCTGTTGAAAGATTGAAAAAAATGTTGGGACCAAATGTTAGTTTCAGTTTCATTGTCAATATCGGTTACTTCTGGATCGCTGCTAATTGTTTTGCATCAGCTTTATTTGTCTTGTTAATGAGAAAAAGAATCCAAGTCACTAACTTCAAAGATTTTGACACTATGTTCTATAATAATGTTTTGTCTTTACCATTATTATTACTAGGTTCATATCTGTTCGAAGATTGGTCACAAGAAAACTTGTTACCACATGTAGACATTGATAATTTATCCACTATGATCATTTCAGGTTTAGCTTCTGTTGCAATCTCCTATTGTTCAGGTTGGTGTGTCCGTGTTACTTCATCAACTACCTATTCCATGGTAGGTGCTTTGAACAAGTTACCAATTGCACTAACAGGTTTTTTGTTTAATGACGCTGCAAGAAACTTGTCCTCAGCAGCATCCATCTTGTTGGGTTTTGCTTCTGGTATCATCTATGCTGTCGCCAAGCAAAAGAAGTTGCAAAACTCTGAGAAGATTTGAATGTTATAATGTTATCTTCATAGAATTGGACATAGAGATCATGATTTATATATATATATGTATATATAATAGTATTTTTGGTAGCAAGAAATTTAAATATGAGAAGTCCAGGAGACTTTCTTAAAGCTAACTATACCTTTTTTACTTGAAAGTGTTTTAACATTGAGAATGTGTTTTTTTAATAAATGCCTATGACTATAAATTAGTTACACAACATACTTACGTATATGCAAAATGCTGGATGGATCTGTTGATAAACATAATCCATTAATGCTAAAAATGATTCACTTAAAGTGAAGATAGTGCGTGAAGGTTAAAATAAATCTGGAATTGAACTATCTAGTTCAGTAACCTTCTTGACTACAATAGCTCCCTTTGGAGTTGGGCCTAAAATTTCATCTTCTTGGTCTTCTACAACTTGGATAACACGCATGCCCAATTCTAAACCGACAGAAACGTTTGAACCACTGTCATCAATGAAATAACCATTACTGTAAGAACCTAACCCACTTTGCAATCTAGCTTTTTCAAAAGCTCTTGGATCAGGTTTACAGATAAAATTATCTGGAGATTGATTATAATCACAATAGGTTATACCATCGAATAAATCGGCAATACCTAAGATTCTAATACAACGTAAAGCATGGTTCTTATAAGCATTTGTGAATAACCAAAGCTTATCGAATTTACCGCTGCTCTTTAATTTTTCTAAAACATCTCTTAGCTTTAAATCAGGTTTTAGTACCCTTTGTAAAGGCAATGAGTCGTCAACCATACTATTGTACTCCAATGCATTGACACCATTATGCAAAGCCAAACCTTTGATCAATAAACCGTACTCTCTATAGTAGGTTTTATTGATGTATTGGGCTTGATCAGGATCTAAACCTAGATAATTTTCCAAATAGTTGAGGATAGCTCTTACCATAAGATCTTGAATACGGGTTGACTGTGCATATAAAGTGTTATCGATATCAAAGAAGAACACTTTTAGATTTGGATCAGGTTTAGGTAATTTAACAGGGTCGACATCGAAGGTAACTTGAGACCCTTTATAGTTCAAAGAATCCAAATGAGCTTCGTTCAATTCCAATTGCTTATGGACTAGATGTTTGAAGTTTAAATTGTAATCAGATTTATGGATACCTTGCATATTGTAAAGGTTTAATTTATAATTAATGTTAGGATGAATGTGAGTATGAGAGTTAATTTGAGTATGAATAAATTTACGGAATGTTAACCGTGGTATATATTTCATTTACCGTTATCCAACTAAAGTTAGTATACAAGGGAAGGCATGAACTTTAGAATAATTTATGTTATTGCAAACAAGACCCTATTTATATTAATTAATAATACTTGACCAAGTTGCGTCATTTTGGAAATGAGATTTATACAAGCCCCAAGCCAAAGCATTAGTAAACAATTAAAATGTATAGGACAAATTGAAGGGGTATATACATGCATGGCAATCCAATATATAATAGCAATACAGCATATATATCTGCAAGGAAAGCATGCTGACATATATTAAACAATAAGAACTATCACAAATTAGCCTCCAAAACCTAAAACCAAGCCCATTCATTTAATGACATTACAATAAGAGTGCGAGCAATAAGAAATATCGAGATATATACAATAAGGAGAGAATAAATCCGGTGAATTCGTCATGATAACCTCAAACCAGTCATCCAACAGATACAAGTCAACTACGAATCGATTCGAACCGAAACTGAACTAGCCTAGCAAGGAGGGATATAGTTGAAGAAGTTACAGGGCAAGCAAATAGGTTCTTCTCATATGTGGATAGAGAGCAGAGTTATAATCGTGATGCTACTAGCAATTGCTTGATTAAATAATTGCATGCATGCTTGATTGCTTGCTTGCTTGATTGATTGATTGATTGATTGCTCTACAACTACAACTACAAGTCTCTATTCCTTTATGCAACCGATGAACAAGAGTTATTAATGGGATCACTAATGAGTTGTTCCCCAGGTGGGAAGGGGGTTGATCGGGAGAGATTGTGTTAACCTTGTGGATATTATTAATCGGATTGTAGTGGTGGTACTTGTAGTTGTTGTAATTGTTGTTTGTAGTGCTTGGTTAGTTAATGTTAAGGATGGGGAGTGCAGTAAGCAACAAGACAGGTAGGTAATCGGTTCAAATTAGCTCAGTTTGGTGAGGGAAGGGGGAGAGACCGTGGTAGGGAGTGCAGATTGGTGGGATTGGTGGGAGGAGGGGGAGGGGCACGGAGAGAGTACCGGAACAATTATGCTACCTTCAGGAATCGAACTGATGTTCTATGTTGCAGTGCAGTAGTCATTGCTGATTTCTGGTGAGGAAACTGAAATCAGGTCGAAAGGTATTTCTGGATTGATTGATGATAGACGTGAATGCTGTCGCTACATTATCAGCATTATAATATGCGATTGGTACGGCATGATATGACGTAGTTTTGGTCAGGTTTTGAAGAGGAAACAGAACTTTGGGATATCGAGATGGATGTGGAACTCTCTCTCTGGGTGCTATGGGAGGAATACGTCGTCGGGTAGACGTGGGCAACCTTGGCGAAACCTTTTAAGGAAGAATCAATCGGTATGCTCGGATGAAAGTTGGATTGGTTCACAGCATATGTAGTTTACTCTACCTTGGGAAGGTATAGGTCGGAGTTGTGTGTCGGTGAAGGTCTGCCTGTCTGTCCATACATATTGCTGTTACCCTCCTCATCACTCTGGACGAACAGCTCATCGTCTCTTCGAAAAGAAAAAAAACTCATCGCCATACCAAAAATTGAAAAATTTCAAAGACCAGCTAACCATTGGAAGAGATAAAGAAAGAACAGAACAGTTATTATTTTAAGATGAGTATTAAAGTTTTAAATTTTACCTTTGTATATCGGATCTTTATTTAAAAAGGAACCCAAGGATCCTATAGAATCGTATATTTTTATTATACTTAACAAGATGCCACCAGTTTCCGCTTCAAAAGCTAAAAGAGATGCCAAAAAGGCTGAAAGAGATGCCAAGAAAAGTGCTGAAGGTAAGACTGTCAGAAAGCTAGGAAGAAGAAAGGAAAAGTCTCCTGAAGAAGATGAATCTGAACTTGCAGCTAAGGAAATTGCCAAATTAAAGTTGCAACAGGATAAAGATGGTCTTTCTGATCGTGTCACTACCGGTGTTTTGGACTCTTTGGAAACTTCAAGAGATATTAAATTATCTGCTGTTTCTTTGTTATTCCACGGTAAAGTTTTGATCCAAGATTCTAATTTAGAATTGAATTATGGTAGACGTTACGGTTTATTAGGTGAAAACGGTTGTGGTAAGTCTACTTTCTTGAAAGCTTTGGCCACTAGAGAATACCCAATCCCGGAAAACATCGATATTTACTTATTGGATGAACCTGCTGAACCAACTGAGATGTCAGCTTTGGAATACGTCGTCACTGAAGCTCAAAATGAATTGAAGCGTTTGGAAGACTTGGTTGAAAAAATTATCATCGATATTGGCCCAGAATCTGAATTGTTGGAACCAATATATGAAAAGATGGATTCCATGGACCCAGATACTTTTGAAAGTAGAGCTGCAGTTATCTTGATCGGTTTGGGTTTCAACGCAAAGACCATCTTGAAGAAGACCAAAGATATGTCTGGTGGTTGGAAAATGCGTGTCGCTTTGGCAAAGGCTTTATTCGTTAAACCAACTTTGTTGTTATTAGATGATCCTACTGCGCACTTGGATTTGGAAGCTTGTGTTTGGTTAGAAGAATATTTGAAGAGATTCGACAGAACTTTGGTTTTGGTTTCCCACTCTCAAGATTTCTTGAACGGTGTTTGTTCAAACATGATCGATATGAGATTACAAAAGTTAACTGCCTACGGTGGTAACTACGATTCTTACGTCAAGACCCGTAGTGAATTGGAAACCAACCAAATGAAACAATACAGTAAGCAACAAGAAGAAATCGCTCATATTAAAAAGTTTATTGCTTCCGCTGGTACTTATGCCAACTTGGTTAAGCAAGCTAAATCTAGACAAAAGATTTTGGATAAGATGGAAGCCGATGGTTTGATCCAAGCTGTCGTTCCAGACAGAGTCTTCTCTTTCAGATTCCCTCCTGTTGAAAGATTACCACCTCCAGTTTTGTCCTTCGATGATATCTCTTTTGCCTACGATGGTAACAAAGAAAACAACTTATACCAAAACTTGAACTTTGGTGTTGATATGGACTCCAGAATCGCTTTAGTCGGTCCAAATGGTGTTGGTAAGTCTACTTTATTGAAGATTATGACTGGTGAATTACAAGCTCAAGCCGGTCGTGTCTCCAGACATACTCACGTTAAATTAGGTGTTTACTCCCAACATTCCCAAGATCAATTAGATTTAACTAAATCTGCTTTGGAATTCGTTCGTGATAAGTACCCTCAAATCTCTCAAGATTTCCAATACTGGAGAGGTCAATTAGGTCGTTACGGTTTAACTGGTGAAGGTCAAACTGTTCAAATGGGTACATTGTCTGAAGGTCAACGTTCCCGTGTCGTTTTCGCATTATTAGCTTTAGAACAACCAAATGTCTTACTACTGGATGAACCTACCAATGGTTTGGATATTCCAACTATTGATTCTTTGGCTGAAGCTATTGACGAATTCAACGGTGGTGTTGTTGTTGTTTCACACGATTTCAGATTATTAGACAAGATTGCAAAGGATATTTTCGTCGTTGAAGACAAGACTGCTACTAGATGGGATGGTTCTATTTTGGATTACAAGAACAAATTGGCCAAGAAGGTTGTTTTGTGATTCATTTAATTACATATTTTATATTATTTCATTATTTCTGTACACTTTAGTTATAAATTTTAATCAATTTAATTGTCATTTATATTAGTTGAATAGTATATCTATTTAAGGTATATAGATTTTTTATAGATCTATCGTGAAATAATACATTCAGTGAACCAGCTTCCCAAAAGGAAGGTCATTTCAGTTGAATCAAAATAATAGAGTATTGGCATTCGACATAAATTGAATTAAAAATGTCTGTAAAAAAAGGCAAAAAAAAAAAAAAAATGATTGGAAATGCAAAAAAAACCAAATATTCATACCGATAAAATCAATTGAATATATATGATGAAATTACAATGTGTAAGCTAATTTCAAAAAAATGCACTGGTATAAAAAAATTTGAAATTAGTACCATCTTTAACCTTGAAATAAATGAGAGTTTTAATAAAAAAATAAATATAAAATAAAGCTTGACAAAAAAATCTTGTAATTTGCTAATTGTCTTTAAGTAAAACTTGGCTTAGGCAAGTTTTGTAGCTTTGGGATATTTGTGGTAAAAGATGCACCAGCAAAGGAATTGGAACTACCTGAGCTTGAAGTTCCAGATCTTCTTGAATTATTCTTTCTTCTAGAATTATTATTGTTCATAATATTTGATTCGATTTGAGAGGACATATCCCTCTTTGGTGATACACTAGATTGGGCAACAGGTTGAAGTTTCAAATTTTCCTTTTGTTGTTGCTGCTGCTGCTGCTGCTGCTGCTGCTGCTGTTGTTGTTGTTGTTGTTGTTGATATTGGTGATGTTGCTGTTGCAGCTGTTGTTGTTGTTGATGATGATGTTGAAATTGGTGAGGATGTGGTTGTTGTTGAACTGGAAATTGATTAGGAACTAGCATTGGGTTGTGAGGCATTGGTTGGTTCATTTGTGGATGAGAAGCCATCATTGGTGCTGCCAAGGTATAATTTCCATACGGCTGTGGTGGCATTGGTCCTTGATGATACATCATTGGTGGTTGGTTTGGCATACCATGTGGATTCATAGGCAAACCAACGTTGAACATCAAAGGAGATGTGTTTACGCCTTGATACATAGGATTTATTGGCATAGGACCTGGAGAAGGCTGGGATAGGGATAAATGATCCATACGAGGAGTAGTAATTGGGGAAGCGCCTTGAAGAGTCCCCATTAAAGGTATATTTTGCTTTATAGGTTGATTCACCTGGACTTTTGACTCTTTTGTTGTAGTAACATTTGTCAATAGCAAATCTTTCAAATTTTTGGTCAAAATTTCAGATTCCTTTAAATTATCTATTTGGATATTTTTAGGAGATTTCCTGGAAGATTCATTTTTAATAGGAGAATTCTTCTTTTTTGTAAAAGAAGAATTACCAAAATCAGGTTTTTGACCATTTGGAAGTATTTGTTGAGTCGGGACAGGTTGATCAACTCTTTCTTGTCGAACTTTATTCTTACGTTGTGTATCTATTTCTTTCTTGTCTAGACGTTTATTGGTCTTATTCTTGTTGGGCACAGTTAGTCGCCTTGAACTATTGAAGTACATGGTGTCTGTAGACATTTTATGTGTTTTTTAACCTACTTTATTTCTTTTTGGGGCTGTAATGGTGGGAAAAGGAATAATTCAATCCAGAACTTTATACTAGTTTCCTAAATCAATAAAAATAGATCTAACAATGAATAAAATGGAATATCGAAATAAAAAATAAAAGCAAATGAAAAGGGGAAGAGAAACCCAGTACAAATATGCGGTAAGGTACAGTTCAGTCTTCTTGATCTTTCTTTAATAACGATAACAACAAATTCCAGTGATAACAGACCTCTGTGAAAAACAGGAATAACTACTATGGTTGGAATAAGTTCCTTTTTGTTGTTGTTTTACTTTATTTCTTGTAATCTCAAATTCAAATGAGAGTTTTATTTCAATTTCAAACTTCCCAAAAATAAATAGTTATAAAATAAGCATATAAATATCTATTTAGAGAGATTCAAAAACTCAAATGCAGGTATATGTGAGTCCAAACACGAAAGTTACGATGCTGATGAGGCAATCCAAAGAATATACAAACAAATAGAGATCAAATTCATAAACAATTCTTGTATCAAATGGTTTCATTTAACAATTTTTCACTTGTTCTTATAAAGGCACACTCTCTTCTCTCTCTTGTCAACGGGATGCCAAATTTTCGAAAATTTCAAGGAGAAACACGACACACCTAGGCTGGAAGAAGAAACGATTATGTGATCACGTGTGAATGTCGGGTAACTACGGTGATTATTTGTATCACGTGATTGGAATGACATAGTAGGAAGTGTAACTGCGACAGGGACTGTAACTACAACTGTAGCTACAACTGCAATTGCAATTGCAGTTCCTATCCAAGAGTGTCTCTTTTATTTCCAGAGAAGCATTACAAAATATTCGATTATTGGTATAGATCAATTACACATTCTATCAAACAAGCAAAATGAACATGGCCGTGTACTCTAAGGATCAGAAGTAAAAATGCTATGCATAGGAGCTGCTTACCAGTCAGGAGATTTCATTTTGCTAGAACCTCTTGCGACAGTTTCATCCCAATATCAAACATCATCATTCATGGGGCAGTTTGCAGATATTAAACTGGGTCACGTTTAAAGAGATGCGGTGAGGTTAGGTGATATGATATGAAGGGCTTATATCAAACTGTCGAGGAAACCTTCATCTTCATTGAGGGCATTGGGTAGTATAGAAGGTAACTTTTCCTTTGAAGGTTGTTGTAATTTCTTCCCGGTGTCTCTAGCGTTAAAATTGGGTTCTTGGGGTTCGATTTCTACAGATTTGTCCTTGCCAATTGTCGAACTTGGACTATTTGAATTCACTGTTGTTTTCTTCAACAATGAATTTAGTTGGTCGATATCCATTGATCTCAAGTCTTTGCTTGTTAACTGCTCTTTTTTCAACATATCTTCAGATCCTGGTTCCCCATAGACAGATTTATCAGAACGCTCTTGAAGAATTTTCTTCAAGGTCTTGGTTGCTTGATTAGTTATAACGTCATCATTCATACCATCATATGCTAGATATACATCTTCGTTATATCGATCTGAATTGCTTGGTAATGGTACTTCTTCCTTTTCTTTTAATTCCTCAGCAGCTTTGTCTTCTTCAGCTTTTTTCACTGCCTTGTATTTACGATCACTAGGTGTGGAATGTTTATTCTTTAACTTTTGTTTATCCTGGAACTTCTTCCTATTGTCCTTCTTCAAACTGTAGGCGTCCATACTGCTCTTGGTCTCTTATATTTTGACTGTTTCCTTCATTATTTATCTCAAGAACTCTAGTAACACTTTAGTATTAAATAAACTCCAATGACTTTAAAATTTACATTTAACTACAAAATCGTTAAATTAACGTTCTTGTAACAACGAAATCTGTCAGTAATTGGAAGCAACCAGTAACAAAATAATAATATAATGAGTAGTGAGTAATGAGTATAAAATATCAATTGTGAATGGTAATTATATCTATAGTCTATATAAATATTTAATTAAAAATGACCTGATGCAATATCGTTACATGTATTCTAAATTTAGGTTTATTATCAATTTTTGTTTTATTATCTTAATAATATGGAGGTGGTTGTTCATCTACACTCCAACTATTGTCATGAGATGTCTTATGATTCAAACCTACAAAGCTGAACCTTCTGTTAGGTTCGATGAATGAATTTAAGGTGGGAATTGGACTGATTTCTCTTTTAGTCGGTAACATCTCTGACGCTATCCTAAACCTATTGTTGCTGTCTTGGGTTTCTCTCGAAGAGTTAAAGGAAGCATGGATGTTATGCAGGTCTTGGATTTTGGTGAAATATTTCATTGAATCCAAAACTTTGCTGTCTTGTCTTAATGTTATCAAATTGCCGTCTTTCTTATTCATTGAACTCTGTGCCAACGGAGTTATTGGCATAATCGAGCTTGTAAATGACGATGATCTGTTTGTATTTTTGGAATTCGAGCTGCCCGCAGTAGAACCCAATGAACTTGTCGTGAGAGATGTAATAGTGTTAACTGATGAGGTTGCATTATGAGATGAAGATACAGGTGTAATTTCCGAATCTGCATTTAGATTAGAACTAGTTTCTGTAGCTTTATTTACAATAGACTTCTTAGCTCGCTTAATCCTAATCTTTCTTCTTCTTGGACGAATAACATCATTATTAGTACTGATTCCTCTTTCATAAATTTTAGTTTGTATTGACAAAATTGCCTTTAAATCAATATCATTTTCTTCAAGCGCTTCCTCTGGGAGAAGATTCTTGTTCTGCAAATTATGAATGTGGGGTACATGTTTGTCTCCATCGTCACTACCTCCACCATAATTCGAAAGACAGGGCATTCTTGAAGTGAAATTACGGAAATTTTGTCTATCCAAGCAACCTGGTATTGTTGAAAAGTACTTTGGCATTGTGGAGTGCAACGACAAAGTTTGTCTTGACGAAGTTAGTGTTGATAATTTCAGCATATTAACAGGAGATAGATCTTGTAAGTCCAGATCTTCGACGGTCAACCTATGCAATCTAATCAATCTAGATCCTTCTTCCTGAGAATGATCGGTTGTAGTTTGCGAACTCGAGCCATCATGAGTAAACCACGATCTTGACATATTAAATAGCGCGCTAGGTAAGACGTCTTTGAATACCAATTGCATCGACTTCCTTAGCCTTTTTGCAATATGGGGTTGTAATAGCTTTATGGAGCAGTCGAATTGGAAGTCCAACGACACATCGTTGAACGATATACCAACACCGCTGTTTTTAACAAACACGTTTGTGATTGCCTCTAATTGAATTTGACTAAAAGTCATTGTAATTGGGATAGTGAACGTATCATTTGCAATCATCAAAGGTGTAGTAAAATCGGGAGAAATATTCGTATAGAGAAGCAATGAATTAGCTTCAATTTCTGTTTGTATTTGAAGCAATGCATCTCTACAAGATATTTTACAGATACCTTTGGCCAAGGCTCTTGGTTGACCAGACACATCCAAATCCAAGATTTCTAAATTCGGTATCGTTGGAAAGTTAACTTCACAAACTTTAACGTCACTCTTTAAAATATCCAATTTTGAATCTCTAGCTTTTATGGAAGATGAATTATCAAAATTATTCGAGCATGATGTCGATCCACGATTGTTGGCGTAACTCAGATGATCATCAATCTTAATATCCATAGATTTTCTAGAATTTAGCATTTTTGTCAATTTTTCCCTAAGAGTTTCATTAAAAGAATTGTCTAAAAATGACTCTTCGTTGAATTTGAACGACATTTTATAATAAAGTAATATTGAGTAAAAAAAATCAGACACACACACGCACACAACTCTTAATATATGAAATCTAGTTTCTTCTCAACTCCCTCTCACCCCAAATTAACGGACTCTACTATATTATATCTAGGACTAAAACCTTTTTCTATCTATTTCAAAACACACAGAATGAAGTATTCTATCGTATATTGCCAGATGAAACCTGATTTCAGCGAAAACAATAAATTAAATGATATAAGAACCACTAATAGCAGACTTAATGACCTTGATCCATTAGTCTTAACCGTTATAACCCATGAAATACTGATGAATTTACCATAAACTAATCCAATGGGCTTGTAGTTCTTTTTAATTACTGATGGGGCTTCTCGTCTCTCTTCCTCTTCCAAATTTCGATATTGAGAATACGAAATCCGGGTAACAGGACGTCATAAATAATGGACTATGATTGGTTTGAATGGGATGACTGACAAGAGCTCGATGAGTTTGGTTCATTAGAAGTGCTTAAATGGCGTCTCAAGTGCCTGATTACCATCTATTTGTAATATATATATGGCAAAAACCTTGTTCCTTCTAATTGCAAGAAATATCAAGATACGTTGACCCTTTTGTTTCATAAGGTACCGTTTCGTTGACATATAATTGAATTATACCATGAGCTGGATGATATGAATAAAAAATATGCATTTCTTGTTCGTATATATTATTAAATATTATTTATAATGCTAATAATTTTTTGTTGGGATGTTTTGAGATTCTTGGAATTAATTGCTTTATCATCTGTTGAGCCTGATACGAATCGGTGATATAATTAATACAGTTTTTGAGGCTAGCTCGTGACCTAATTGAGGTCGACTCTAGCTTTGGGGAGAGATATTGTCGATGTTTCTTCTTTGGATGGAAGGCCGGCAAAAATTGTAGTGTATTGTTGTGATCTAATATAAACTTGTTCATCATCGGTTTTTCGAATTCAGCTACCACCGGCTTCTCTGTACCATCTGACACTTCTGTCCAAACAGACACAACATAATCCTTCATTTGTCTCACTACCCATTCCACCTCTGACTGCCTTGTTGATGTATCTGACACCCATCACTGGTGGATTCTTTAACGAATCACCGTTCTCATCCACCATTAAGATATCTTCTTCGATTTCGATATCACCCGCCGATAAGTTGATGGTGGATACACGTTCTTTCGATTTGACGTCCCAAACTCTGACTTTACTATCATAGCCACAAGTTGCCAGATACTCACCTGTGGAATTGAACGATAGATCGAATACCCAGCCATTATGAGCGTATGACCCGATGCTTGTCTGTGTACTGTGTGTTGGAACGGTTAAGCCACCAATACGTTCACCGTAGTCAGTCTCATATAATGTGACACAACCATAGGAGCCAGAATCATTAGCAACAGCCAAAAGAGATCCCATTGGTGAGAATTTTAATGCTCGTACTGTGTTGCTGTTCTGATCTGTACCTTGAATACCAAAACCTTCAAAATTATATATTGGTCTTAATGTACTCAATTGAGCAACTTGAACGGAACCATTAGAAAAACCTGTTGCAATCAGTCCCTTACCTGAGAAGTCAACACAAGTAGCAAAAATAGGATTAGAAGGTTGAATCTCACCTTGAAGTACTAAATGTGGACTTAGCACTAAATTTTCCAATTGCTCATCATCTTCTTGTTTTGGAACTTTTTCAATCTCACCTCCACTGGATTCACCTCTTCTTTTGGCATTTTTCTCTTCATCAGTTTTTTTCTGTTTCATAGCTTTCTCTTCATCCAATTCTTCAGTAAAAGGATGGAATCTCCAAACTAAAGTGTTACCTTTCACATCAGTGGCAGCGAATCTATGACAAACAACCTGATCTTCACTTTTGAACCATTTCACAGCCCAATACGACCTCTTCTTCTCAGCTGCATTTAGGAGGTCCAGTTTCTCATACTTACCACTCTTGACATCAACTGAATAGAAAAATATCTCACCAGAGAAGGAAACACAAGCTATAAGACAGATTTCATTACCACCTTTCTCCACAGTATGCAAAGTTTCACAATGATGAACACCTGTCTTGTGGACAAAAACCTCAATAACAGTGTCCTTGGCAGATTCATCGTCAAGCAACTTGTTCTTCCATAGCTTGATACTACCATCACCAGAACAAGTTACAGTAAATGGATTAACCACTGAAACTCCAAATATATCTGCATCGTGTGCCTTACCAACATTAACTGTAGAAATAAAAATCTTTGACATCTCTAGACCAAACAAATATCACAGAATTCAAATATACCAAACTAATATATACTCAATTCAACTTCTAAGACCCTTGAAACCTACCACAATCAACATCTATAACCAACCTTTGTAAGTATAACGTTAGTTATTTGTTGTTGTTGATGGTTCATTTCAATGGTTTCTTATAAAGTGAAAAATTAGGCTAAAAAAAAATATGTCGTTTATTAGAGACCTAAAGGTTTTTTAATAAGAAGATGAAGAAGGTTTTGTTTAAAAGTTGCTTGTTTGAGGTTGATAGAGTAGGTTTGGGTAATTGTGGTTACTGGGATAGGATTCAGTAGATTTCTAGCTTGCTATTCGAATTTTTTTTGGAAGGTTTACGGTTAGTGTGAAGGGATTTATCCATGAGAAGCAACATGGTTAAGGTTGAGGTCAATATTGAAGATGTTAAGATTGTTAATTCAAAGTATGCTAGTTATGGGATTTTGATTATTCTCAAGAGTGTTGACGGGTCTATTCAGTATTATGATAAGAAGGTTTATAGACGGTATTCTGAATTTTTTAAATTGAAGAAAAACCTAGAGAGAGAGTTTGGTGTTGAGATACCTTACGAGTTTCCTGATAGGCTATTTGTGATATGGGTAGGGAGCAATATTGATCCTGATGTGATTGAATCCAGGAGAAAGAAGCTATCTAAGTTTCTGTATGATCTTTTGAATGATTCCTTTGATAGCAAGTGGAAGAATTCAGATTATGTCAGTGAGTTTTTAGATTTACGCAACGATTGGGACAGTTACTATACTAGTAATGGCAGCAATGTTGAACAAAAACTTACTGGGAAGAACAATAGTGTGGCAGCTGCCGTGGAATCTTTGGATTTAAAAGACTCCATGAACTGGGAAATATTTTATAGAAATTGTAAAGATGAATTGCAAATGTGTAAGAGAAATAAAAATAAAGGGATCAATATAACTAAGGATTTGATGCAATTGAGATTAAAACTTATAGAATTAGAAAACCCACTAGATACCTATGACAGAAGTACTGTTGACGTGGATAAAAATAAAAATTTGTTAAAGTTATTGAAAGACGAAGTTAATGAATTGTCAATAACTGCGCCATCATCAATATCGGAACTTCGAAATACTAGTGGTAACGGTAGCAATAGTAATAATAATAGCGAGGATTCATTAAGAAAATCGTTATTCCCACAAACTACAAAACCTTATAAAAAACCATCGGTTGGAAGAAGGAAACTTGGTGAAACTGAAGAAACAATAAAGATGAATAACCAACAATTACTACAAAAACACAAAGATGTGATGCTGGGACAGGATGAAGAACTACATCAATTGAAGCAAGTAGTACAAAGGCAAAGAAATATTTCAATAGAGTTAAATGAAGAATTAAGTTACCAAAATGAACTATTAGACCTGATGGATAATGACATCAGTGGAACCGGTCATAAATTACGTAGAGCAAACAATCAAGTAAGACAAATCAATAACGATTCATGAAAAATTGAACTCAATGTATTTTAAATCAAACAAAAATTATTAAGCATACCATACACATACACATACACTCAAACATTTACATATATATATGTATATGTGTGACCAGATTATAACATCAGGTTTAGATGAAAGGCATTAGTGGCATCATTTCACCGTTTCTATTTATTATGCGGGATGATGAAAATTGGCAAAATTTGAAAAATTTATAGCTGAAAAATTTTTAAAGAGCAGTTAGTTTTAACAGTTTAAAGGTTTAAGATATATGTTGTTTATGGTTATTAATACTTGGTTTGAGCTGTGGAATTGAGATTAGGATACTGTTGTGAGTCTAAAGTTTTATTTGATATGTTTACTGCACCTTCCGATCCTGTTAACGTTAGGAAAGAATTGAAAGTAACCCAGTTGTGTGAATTATGTCATAGTAGGAAGGCTATTATAAGAAGACCTAAAAATTTACAAAAAATATGTAAATTATGTTTTTTCCATGTGTTTGAGACTGAGATTCACGAGACTATTGTTTCTAATGATTTGTTTTACCGTGGTGAGAGAGTAGCTGTTGGTGCATCAGGTGGTAAAGATTCTACAGTTTTAGCTTATGTTTTAAAATTATTAAATGAAAGGCATGATTATGGTATTGAGATTGTACTTTTGAGTATTGATGAAGGTATTGTTGGATATCGTGACGATTCTTTAGCTACTGTCAAGAGAAATCAACAGCAATATCAACTACCATTAGAGATATTTTCGTACCAGGATTTGTATGATTGGACCATGGATGATATAGTTGAAACTGCAGGTATACGGAATAGCTGTACCTATTGTGGTGTATTACGTAGACAGGCTCTGGATAGGGGAGCTGCAAAACTTGAGATCAAACATGTTGTCACTGGCCATAATGCAGATGATATGGCCGAAACTGTATTAATGAATATATTACGTGGTGATGTAGCACGTTTAGAGAAGAGTACAAGCATTATGACAAGTAGCACAGGATCCCCGATTAAGAGATCCAAACCTTTTAAGTATTGCTATCAAAAGGAGATTGTATTATATGCGCATTATAAGAAACTGGATTATTTTTCGACTGAATGTACTTATGCCCCAGAAGCTTTCAGGGGAACCGCAAGAGAACTAATGAAAAATTTCGAAGCGATCAGACCTAGTTGTATAATTGACATTATAGCTAGTGGTGAATCCTTTGTATTGAAGCAAAAGATGGGTAAGCAGAATAAGAAAAAAATCATTACGTATAATGATGGTAACAGATGTGAAAGATGTGGATATCTGTCTAGTAACAAGATATGCAAAGCGTGTATGTTATTAGAAGGATTAGAGAAAAGTCGAGCCCAGATCAAAATACAAGTACAGGTGCCGGGGGAACCTCAACAAGAAGGGCCAGCGAAGGTGTTGAGAACGTTAGAGAGGTTAACTTTTTAATATTAGGTTATAGATATGTAAGGAAGTAATTTTAATAACATAAAGTAAAATATAGTGCATCAAACCTAATTTAAACTAATCAACTTATTAATTGGCTGTTGAATTAGAACAACCGAGGTATATAGAATTGTTTACCGCTGACGAGTCACTAAGTGAGAACGGCAGAGGAACGGAAAAGAAAAAGAAACGAGAATTTATCCGAACACAATGACTATAACAGTGAAAATTTTTGAAAAGGCAGCCATAATGAAGTTAATCCGAACAGTCAACAATGTAAAAAAAAAAGAGTAAAATATCCGAAAAAGAGAGGGAGAAAGAAAGGTAGTAAGGCTACAAGGTAAGAGTGGACATATAAGATGTGACAAAACTCAAAGATACGGAAACGGAAAAATAGCAATATATGAGGCTAACAAAGATACGAAGATAGGATAGGTATTGAAAAGTGTATACGTTTAAACAAAGAAGGCGTTGATAGCATAATGCAGAGAATAGGATGACGTCTTTGATCAGAGAAGTATAAAAATTGAGAGATTAGTTTGTTAAGTTCAAAATTACAAAACCAAGAGACAAGCAAGAGGGACAAACAGAGGGACAACTGGCAGATAAAGAATGTTGACAAAGGCACTGTTTTTTATTAAAGCACCAGTTAATTAATGAAGTTGTGGCGATTGGATTGAATGGGATATGATACAGTTGATGGGAAGAGAAGAAAGGAAGGGGCGGCAGCGACGGGAAGGGTATGAAAAATATATATGAGGATTCATTAGGATAAGGTAATAGATTTGTGGTTGTTGAATGAACATACAATAGGAGCAGTGAGTAATAAAGTAGACGGATGTTGTATCAAGAGGGACAAACCTATCTATAGTATGAAGTGTTTTCTTATTGTTAATATTGTTATTTTTTTCTTCACATGGAATAGTTCCAATTACCAAAAAGGGAAACAAATCCAAAGATATACAGATGTACCAAGAAATACCAGTCAGATACCAGTCAGATATAAGCGGATAAAAAAGGAAACACAAATCAATAAAACAACACAAAAAATAATTTATCCGAAACAAGTTAGAAATAGATGGACGCCTCGCCGGATAAATGTATATACAGCGTTATTCTGCTCTGAAAAATAGTTTTTCCATTACATGTTAAAAACTAATCATACACAGTCGCTAGCTGCAGAGCCTGTGTTTACACAAAGTATTATTACGCACTGCGCAGATTTGTCACTAAGTTTTTCCGCATCCACAAAAACACAAAAAAAAACACAAAACAACACAAAAATTATTTCCCAAAAACTCAGAAACAAAGACAACCTGCCCTACAAAGCCATGGCAATCAATCCAATCAATTACACACAAAAATGACAACCCAAAACAAAAAAGAATAACTTCCATTAATCCGTGAGACAAAATCAAGAAAAAAGAAAAGGAAATGTGTAAAGTAGTCCATTTCTCCACCACTTCCACTTAAAATTATCTACCCTACCATTTACCAAGCAATTAATCCGCACACGGAAATTCCAATATTCTGATGCTAGACCACACCTTTCTACACAAACACAAACACATGCAACTCTCTCTTGATCTCTGTCTTCTCCCCCCACCACCACAATCACACACTCATCCCCCCTATACTTGCTTCCCCTCCACTCAAATCTCTCCCTGTACCACAACCACCACATCTAACTTTCTACCCCCCCCCCCTCCTCTCTATTTTCCTTCGAACCAAGCAAAAGCACAACTGTCCCGGCCGAACGCGGTAACCTCGTCCCATTCTATCCTACCATCCCATCCCAGCCCATCCCATCGCACCGGGAAACCATCCGCTGCACCATACCATCGCTAAGCTTAAAAGCAACAATCCTTACTTACCCAAGAATCTAAGACAACCATCAGTTTGGTGGACTCAACTACCTACTCCGTCCCTCTTTCAATTCACCTACTCGTCACATCTTTACAAGAAGAAGCATTGCGTTGCATTGCAGACCTCCCTCTTCGAATTTGCATCCTTCAATTGGCTTCTCATAACTATTCTATTCAATACAAATCATGAGAACTCAAATGTTAGCCCTGACTTGATTTAATGTAATTTAGTTCACTTTTATTTTGAAACACATACATTCATACATACATACATACAACCTCTACTCTGTTTGGCCTAACCTAATGTCCCAAAATCCTTTATTAATGTTTAAATCCCGGACCTTCTTGATACTGGTTTCTCTTGGCTAATTTGACCTTTTTCCCTTACACTGACAACCAACCCAATTGCTTTATATCGACAATGTAAAGTAATGCAATCTAATTGCGAATTGATGGGAGATGATCTCATAGCAAACCACTTTTTTTTTGTTGGATCTATCCATGCCTCTCTTTAAATTAGGTAAACTAAAACTAAGCTAAGCTTTAGTCTATCTACACTATACTATACTATACGTCTCTTTTTAAAACTATGGTTTGGTGTTAAAACTGTACCAACCTCAGTTTAACCAAGTATTCACTGGGATGCTATTCCCCCAATTGCGTTTAGTAGTTAGGATAGTACGTAATTTCCCATTTCGGTCTTCTTCGAATGTCCATGTTTCGTTGTACTCCTTTCGTAACTGGGAAGTGATTTCACTTTTGTCATTACAATCAATAAGATTTCATTACCAGCAGCATTAGTTGATATTACTCTGGTTATTCTCACAAGATGTCTTCGAACATAAGCTCACTGTTCTTTCTCTATTCTTGGGATTAATGGGATGCGCTGCTAATACTTTATCAATTCTTACTAGAAGTTCATATATAAGTATATTAGAAATCCTACTAATATGTGGCACTATCTTTCTCTAAGTAAAGAACTAAGCTATACGTTTTTTTGGGTCCTTTACATTACATGTATTTTGACCTATTGGTTATTTTAAACTATACGAATATATATATATATATATATATATAATGTGTCTATATGTGTATATCTTGTTACATTCCCTTTCTTAATCATTCACTGTTCTCTTTTGACGTCTCAATTCTCTCTTCTCTTCAATATTTTTTTTTGTGTGTGTCTGAATTCATTTAATGCCAATATATAAATTTTGTTGAATTTGTATATAAAATATAATACATCCATGCATATATATGATCCATGCATATATGATTTAAGTTTATCATAGGACCGCTGTGTTTATTATTATTCTGACTCGCATCCCTTCCTCTTTCAAAAACAATAACCAAGTTTTATTTAACTTATTTATTAATTTTATTATTATTATCATACCCTTTCAAAATGGCAAGAACAACTATTAGATCGAAATTGCCAAAAGACAATTTTGAAAGACCTTACCTTTGTGAAGTTTGTAATAGAGGTTTCTATAGACTAGAACACAAGAAAAGACATTTAAAAATACACACTGGTGAAAAGCCATATAAATGTTTATATTTGAATTGTAGTAAAAAATTTAGTAGAAGTGATGAACTTAATAGACATTCAAAAGTTCATCACTCTAGGGCAAATGGCTCGATTAAGAGGAAAAAATCAATTTCTCCTTCGAATCCATTATTATCATCGCAACAATCAATGTTTTCTGCTAACCAATATATTACATCAATTCCACTAACTCCTGTTGCATCATATCAAGATCTAAGATCACCACAATTACTAACATTCCAATTACAATCCCAATCACAACTAACCCCAAACCATCTTCCCTCTTTGGCACAATCGAATTCGAATTCAAATAATCAAATTGCGTCAATGTCAAGTCAAACTTCACTATCCATTGCTACAGCTTTAACAAGTTTAAAAAAACATAATAAATCACAACCAATTTTCACTATATCTGATGATGAACAAGATTCCCATTCTAATTTAGGCATGAATAAAAATAATAGCTTTTTGCCTTCATTTAATTCAATGCTTCAACAAATCGAAATCTATAACAGTTCACGTTGATGAATCTCAAAAATAATTGCAAGAAATTCTATTCTATTCTAAAATTAAAATTTAAAATTTAAAAGCAAGATTAAAATTAAAATCAGAAAAGTTTCTAAACTTATAATTCACTTTTGTTTCATTATATGCTCATTTCTTATCACATCACTGCAAAAATTTAGGCAATTCTCATAAAAAAATCATTACGTTACATTTCAATTCATTTCAATTCATTCAAATATATACTCTTCATTAGTTATATCTAACTAAACAATCCATTTCCTTTTGTATAAATAAATATTTACTTTAATAATGCATCAAATACAGTCTTAATAATGAAATCTATTACTTTTTTCCAAAATCTTGACCTTTGAAAATGTCATTTCGAATCGATATCGAGGTCAAAATTAAAGTCAAAACCGAATCGAAATTGAGATTCATAAGACATTGCGGCGACATTCAGAAGAAGCCAAAAGTGTCAAAAAGGAGCGGTGCTATAATTGAAACATTTTTTTTTCGTTGAAAAATATTGAGGTTTAAGAAGTTTGCAACAAACTTCATGATGGTGATGACTTCATAATTGTAATTTTATTGGATTGTTAAACGTTGTCACTGGATTCATAGTAATGTTCAATTAAGTAAGTAAACTATCCCCATAATTCCATATTTGCAGACTTATACAGAGACATAGATAATCTACTACCCCCCAAACCCCCCTTTGCCATTTCCATTTCCATTTCCATTTCCCTATCCTCCAATAAACATAAGAAACGACACACCCCACAAGGTAAAAAGGTAATAGATTATTTAATTCATTCTTGTTGGATGCATGTTTTTTGATCAACCACTAACGTTTATGCTAATTCAGATTACAGCAACGTTTTGGGAATAGAGTCGATTTTTTTTTTAATGATTTCATATGTATCCTATCTCTCTCTAGATGTTACTGTTCCAAGGCCAACAATTCGTCATACTACCCAATTCTGAAGGTTCATACTTGGGCTACCTAACAAGACTAATTGAAAAAAATGGTGGACATTTAATTTCTTCTGTTGAAGATGAAACTGGATCTGGACTGGCGACTATCGATAGTTCAACCATCGTTTTATTGAACAGTTCCTTTGTCGATGAAAATTTCAATTTAATCCAAGAGAACTTTTTACTAAGGGAGTTAAGACCATTTAATATATCTCTTTGGAATTTCATTAAGGAAAATAATTTAAAATGCATTGATATTAAAGATATTAGCATATTTATTAAAAATAAGAAATTCGATTTAAATTTAGTACAATTGGTAAATATTGAAGGTCATTCAGTATTTAAGCTAAATGATGGTGTCACTACTGTACAAACTATTAAATCCGAAGGAACTAATAATAGTAGTGATGAGAAAATTTTAGAATCAAAATCAGAATCAGAATCAGAATCAGAATCAGAATCAGAATCAGAATCAGAATCAGAATCAGAATCAGAATCAGAATCAGAATCAGAATCAGAATCAGAATCAGAATCAGAATCAGAATCAGAATCAGAATCAGAGACTGATATTGAAATTGATGTGAATAGGAAAACTAAAGGTAACAATGACAGAATTGTTAATCCTCTTGCAAAATTAGCTCGGAAATATAAAGTTGAAGGAGATACTTTTAGAGCAAGAAGTTATAATCTAGCAATTTTATCAATTGACAAATATACTTTACCGATTACATCAGGAATTCAAGCACAAAAGGAAATACCAAACATCGGTCCAAGTATAGCAAAAAAGATTCAACGTATTTTAGATACTGGAACATTACCAGGATTGGAGCAGGCAAGTGAACAATTCGACTCTTTACAATATTTTTCAACTTGTCATGGAGTTGGTTCTGAAACTGCCAAGAGATGGAATTCATTAAAGTTAGACTCTTTTAAAGATGTCTTGGAAAAATTTCCAAATGAATTTGCCGTCGAATGGCCAATATTATTTGGTTGGTCTTATTATGAAGACTGGCAAAAGAAGATTCCAAGATCAGTTTGTGCAAAATATTTACAAATTGTTGAAGATGAACTCTTCCTGTTAGACCCCGATTTCAAAGTAGAATTACAAGGAAGTTTCAATCGTGGCTTGCCAGAATGTGGTGACCTAGATTTATTGTTTTATAAGCCTGGTTGCGACGATCTAAATGTTCTATGTAGAACTATTGAAGAAATTGCCATTAGATTATACAAAAAAAGTTTTGTAAAATGTTTTTTACAATTAACTGAACAAATTGAAAAGGTATTTGGAAATCAGGTAAGAGAGCGACTAGCAAAAATTCGGTTGACTGAAAATAAACCTAAGAAATTCAATTTAGCACCGAGGATTAAGAAAGCCTTACTGGGTGTTCAATTACAGGAACCAATATCAATCGAACCTCATAATGAGATTGTGGAATTGAAAGATAACGACAAATTCATGTCATTAAGCAATGAAGATACCAGTAAATATGATTATTGTAGAAGAATGGATTTCTTTATTTGTAAATGGTCAGAATTGGGTTCTAGTCGAATTCACTTCACAGGTTCAAGTGAATACAATAGATGGATGAGGTTGAAAGCCATTGAAAAGGGTATGAAAATGACACAGCACGGACTATTCAAGGACGATCGATTATTAGAGAGTTTCAATGAGAAAAAGATATTTGAATTATTAGATATCGAATATGTTGAACCTCAGTTACGAAATCAAGTTAACAAAAGACAGAAAAAGTAAACAATCAAGTAAAACTATATATCATTCTTGCGGATAGACAGATGAAAATAGCATAAATATATTTATACAAATAACACAGATATTAACGCCGTTGTATTAAAACAGATAAATTCATGTGAAGGTATTTTAAACGAAACGTTTTTCATTAAAATCGTTATTTATAAAATGTATAAGTCGTATTTAAAAATATATAAATCAGAGTAATAATAATCCCCTAGATATACATTTATTTGTCGGACAAGAAAGCAACACCTGGCAAGGTCTTACCTTCCAACAATTCCAAAGAAGCACCACCACCGGTAGAGACGTGAGAGATCTTTTCAGTGACACCGTACTTCTTAGCAACAGTAGCGGTATCACCACCACCAATGATGACAGTGTTACCGGATTCAGAGGACTTGACAACTTCGTCCAACATAGCCTTGGTACCGTTAGCGAATTTTTCGAATTCGAAAACACCTGGTGGACCGTTCCAGACAATAGTCTTAGCCTTTGCAATGGTAGCAGCAAACAACTTTCTAGATTCTGGACCGTTGTCCAACCCTTGCCAGCCAGCTGGGATACCTTCCTTGTCAGAAACAATCTTGGTGTTAGCATCTGGGGAGAAAGCGTCACCAATGACAAAGTCAACTGGTAAGACAACTTCGACATTCTTAGCCTTAGCCTTTTCCATCAACTTTGGAACAATTTCAGCACCAGCCTTGTCGTAGATGGAGTCACCGATTTCAGCGTTTTCCAAAACCTTCTTGAAGGTGAAAGCCATACCACCACCAATGATGATAGAGTCGACCTTGTCCAACAAGTTGTCAATCAATTGAATCTTGTCAGCAACCTTAGCACCACCCAAGATAGCCAAGAATGGTCTGGTTGGGTTTTCCAAAGCCTTACCGAAGTAAGCCAATTCCTTGGCCAACAAGAAACCAGCAGCTCTTTGTGGTAAGTCGAAACCGACAATAGAAGAGTGAGCTCTGTGGGCAGTACCGAAGGCATCGTTAATGTAAACGTCAGCCAAAGAGCACAATTCCTTTCTGAACTTTTCAACAGCTTCTGGAGCAGCCTTGGTCTTAACACCATCGACCTTCTTGGAACCTTCTTCTTCGATGTGGAATCTCAAGTTTTCCAATAAGATGACAGAGCCTGGAGCGGAAGCTTCACAGGCCTTGTTGACGTCAGCACCGACACAGTCGTTCAAGAAAGTGACTGGCTTACCCAACAATTTTTCTAATTCAGCAGCAACTGGCTTCAAAGAGTACTTTTCGACTCTTTCACCGTTTGGTCTACCTAAATGAGAGGCTAAGACAACGTATCTAGCTTGTTGTTCCAAAGCGTATTTGATGGTTGGCAAAGCAGCAACGATTCTTTGGTTAGAGGTAATGGTGGTACCGTCTAATGGGACGTTGAAGTCAACTCTGATGAAGACACGTTTGTCTTTCAATTGTAAGTCAGAAACAGTTAATTTTTGGGACAAAGACATTTTTTGTTTTGGAGCAATATGCTTGGTGTATTTAGAAAGGCCAAGAAAAAAAATTTTGTTAAAACAAGTAATGAATATTGGAAATTAAAATATATTTTATCAGAAACCACAGACAAGATCAACAATTGGATTGAAAGGATAAATTTGCTACTCTTTATATATGAGAAGAAGGGAACCAAATATTTTTTTTTTTCTTCAATTGAATGAATAATGAAGGTTCCCAAAAAATGCATCAACCATAAGAAGATAAAAAAAAATAAAGAAGTAAACTCTACAAACAAGATGTCGTTTTAGGTTTTGGGTATGTTTTAAACATTTGCAGACGAATACAATGAGTAAACCAAAACTTATTCGGCAACGACGATAAATTGGAATATAACTACTACCACTAATACTGCAAATATATTTTACTCTCCTATTCTTACGTTTGACCTACCACTAATCAAAAATAAAGAAATGCAATTGAAAAATTAAATATAATTAGTAGCAGCACAATTGCACTACCATTATTATTTAATAAAACTATACACACAACACATACTAAAATAAATTTAAATTATAACTCAATAGAGGTTTAATTGTTGCACAGGTCTATTGAGCCCAGTGAGAAAGAGAGAGAGAGTGTGTGTGTGTGTGCCAACAAGTTACCAATAATGATAATATTTCTCGTGAAAAAGAAAGTGTATTCGAATAAAATCTTCTTGTAAAAAAGTATAATGATACTCGAAAATAAAAGTAGCTTGTATTGGTAGAATCAATTGATTTCTAGAAGCTTTCTTAACTTGTCTTATTTCTCTTAAATAAAAAATAACGTAACGTAATCCCACAATAGAAAAAAATTACAAAGGTTGTCAGCTAAACAGTTGTCTGACGACAACGACAATTGTGAAAAAGGTGTAAACGAGATAATGACTGTAGCAGTAGTAGAGTAGATAGATGTTGCATGAAATAATACCTTATGAAGACAGATGGGTAAGACTGGATATTATTATTTTAGTATTGGCACTTTATCTCTTGAGATCAGAAGAGTCCTTGTTATCTATTTCATTCATATTTTTTCAAAAATGAAAAATTTCACTCACCTCACTCTCACTCTCACGCTGTCTCTCTTATTCAAGTTGGTCATGGGTATAATGTTGAACCTCGTTGGATTGAAGGAAAGGCAGAAAGATGTTGACCGAACTAGTTTGCTAGGTTGTTGATTAGATAGATGGCAGCATTTCTAAGGTTGTGCGTCGTTGTAATTTTTCATATTTGGGGAGGGAGCAATAAGACGAGTTGCAGAAGCAGCAACAGCGATAGCAATAGCAGGGATAAGAATATTTTATTATTCTTAAGGTAATTGCTGTATTTTCCACTGTCAATTGATTGAGAATCACAAGAGGAAGCCAATTGATTCAGTGTAGTTACTGAATGGGAATAGTGGGAAGAAATCGATTACGTTTTTGTTTGTTTCTGTTGCTTCGCTCGTTTTGTGGGAAAACCGTTCGAGCCTTCGTTGGGTGATTAGTGGAAGCTGGAAATTAGTGGAAGTCCGATTGGTTCAGTTTTCGAAAACTGAAAACTTTCTTTTTTTTTTATTTTTCCGTCTTTTTGGGGAAACCAAAAAGAAACGGGAATTAGTGGAAGCCGAATTTGGAACTGTCCGAAACGAAATAAAAAACAAATTTGAAATGTCCGGTTAACCATAGTACTGTCCGAATATGTATATCACGTGTCAATCATCTGTGTTACCCGCAACAAATATCAGGTCACAGCAATCTGTTTGAGGTGAAGGAGCGGGCAAGGAAAAGGGAAAAGGGAAAAGGGAAAAGGGAAAAGGGAAAATATTATCACCAAATGGTTGATTATAGTTACAGGACGGGAACCTTTAGAGGTTAGCTCTAGTAAGTTTAGACCTTTTCAATCAAAATATGGATGGATAGTTTGATTGACTAACTGATTGATTGATTGATCGACTGTACTTGGCAAGTTTCAGTCTGAATGTATTGAATCACATTGAATTTTAGTTTGAGTTTAGTCAAACGTCAAGGAACCTGACCAGACAACTGAGCAATGATTCATTCATTCATTGCCTAGTGATTAAAAACTTGTTTGATGATGAGAATAGATACTTAACTTGATATTCTTAATTTAAAGTACTCACTGCTTGTTTTACTATCTGTGTATAAACTTTGGTATATGATAAACGTTAATCTAGTTGAATCTAAGAACTTTACCGATATTTGAGTGCCAATTCCCTACCAATTTTAAAAATTAAACCAACAATAAGGGATAATTGATTAGAAAGAATTTGACTATATTCTCCTCTATTATATTAGATTACTTTAACAATGGTGATGAAACCATTTCCGTTTTATAATGGTTTGCATTTATTATCTTTAATTATTATTATTACCAAAATTGTGTTAGTTCAATCGTCTTCCCAGGAAACCTTTGACTATAAGAATAATGATTTGTTGAATTTTAATGTTAATAAGAACAATAACGAAACATGCCCTCCATGTTTTAATTGTATGCTACCAATCTTTGAATGTAAACAATATTCAAATTGTAATTCATATACTGGTCAATGTGACTGTATAGATGGGTTTGGTGGTGATGACTGTGCTCTACCACTATGTGGTTCATTACAACCACCAATTGACAATGACAAGGGTAATTCTGCTAATAATCTCAACAGACCTTTGCGTAACGAAACTTTAGGTAAGTGCACTTGTGATGATGGTTGGGGTGGCATTAACTGTAACGTTTGCGAACAAGATAACGTTTGTGATATTTTTATGCCTGATAAATCCATTAAAGGTACTTGTAATAAAAATGGTATCATTGTTAAAAAAATCAACCAATATTGTGACGTTACTAATGAAAAGATTTTATCAATTTTGAAAGGATCAATTCCACAGGTTACATTTGCTTGTAATAAATTGGATAAAAATTGTAATTTCCAATTTTGGGTTGATCAAATTGAAAGTTTCTACTGTGGTTTAGATAATTGTACTTTTAATTATGATTTGGAAAAAAATACTACACATTACGAATGTGAAGATATTAAGTGTAAATGTATTCCAGGTACCTTCCTTTGTGGTAAAAATGGATCAATTGATATTTCGGAATTTTTATCTGAAACTATTAGAGGTCCTGGTGATTTTGCCTGTGAATTGGGTGAAAATAATTGTAAATTTTCTGAACCTGCTATGAATGACTTGATCCTAACTGTTTTTGGTGACCCTTATATCACGCTTAAATGTGATTCAGGTGAATGTATGCATTATTCAGAAATTCCAGGTTACGTTTTACCTCCTGACCGCTCAAGATTTGGTTGGAGATCCAACATAGTTTTAGGTATTACCTTTTTGGTCTTGGTAACTTTGGTTGGAATTTCTGTTCTAAATATTAGCAAAAATTCACCTTTATTTCAAAATAGTTCAATTAGATTACCAATTTCAGGTGATGATACTGGAAATGGAGTTTCACAAGAAAGTTTCCTAAAAACTGATTCATCTGCAACTCTATCCTTTGAAAATGTCTCCTATTACATTAATAACGAAGAAAACGAATTCGAACCAAGAAAGATTATACACAAAGTTTCAGGGTTAGTAAAACCTGGTGAAATATTGGCTATCATGGGTGGTTCAGGTGCAGGTAAGACAACTCTATTAGATATTCTAGCAAAGAAAAGAAAAACTGGTAGAGTTTCAGGTACATTGAAAATCAATGGTATTGATATACCAAGAAATAAATACACAAAATTAATTGGTTTCGTAGATCAAGATGATTATCTTTTGCCAACTCTAACTGTCTATGAGACTGTGCTAAATAGTGCATTATTACGTTTACCAAGATCAATGTCATTTGCTGCTAAAAGAGCTCGTGTTTTCCAAGTTTTAGATGAATTGAGGATTTTAGATATTAAAGATAGAATTATTGGTAATGATTATGAAAGGGGAATTAGTGGCGGTGAAAAAAGGCGTGTTTCCATCGCTTGTGAATTAGTTACTTCTCCACTGATTTTGTTTTTGGATGAACCAACCTCTGGTTTGGATTCCAATAATGCAAATAATGTAGTTGAATGTCTTTTGAGGTTGAGCAAAGATTATAAGAGAACTTTAATCTTTTCTATACATCAGCCTAGATCGAACATTTTCCACTTATTTGATAAATTGGTCTTATTAAGTAATGGTGATATGATTTATTCTGGCGACGCTATAAAAGTTAATGATTTCTTAAGAAACAGCGGCTATGAATGTCCAGAAGGTTATAATATTGCTGATTATCTGATAGATATAACATTTGACTTGGCCCCAAATTTAAAGACCAATAACGCTAAATCTCGGATCCATGACGCAGAAAATATTTTATTACAGGGAAATGACTCAGCACAAAAGAATATGACGAGATCTGTAACCCAGGGTGAATGGGAACATTTTGCGACACATAGAGATGAGATGAGAAACTTACTTCAAGAGAGCTCGGCGCCAGAGAATGAAACTGTTAATTCAATGAATTCTAAGTTATTATGCAAAAAGTTCAGGGATGGGCAGTTCTTTGATCAGCTAGTCTCTGAAATTGATCAAAGTGATACTGAAGCGTCAACAAATTCTACATCATTGGCAGTTCCTTCGGTTAAGAAGGCAGCATCATTCGGTCAACAATTGTCTATTTTATGTTCCAGATCCTTTAAGAATGTGTATAGAGATCCAAAGTTATTATTGGAAAATTATGGTTTAACCGTTCTTTTGGCGTTGTTCTTGGGGGCATTGTACTATAACATTACAAATGATATTAGTGGTTTCCAAAATCGTATGGGTTTATTCTTTTTTATTTTAACGTACTTTGGGTTCATTACTTTTACAGGTTTAAGTTCATTTTCTTTTGAAAGAATAATATTTATCAAGGAAAGATCGAATAATTATTACTCTCCTTTAGCATATTATTTAAGTAAAATTATTAGTGACTTGATACCTTTAAGAGTTATTCCTCCAGTTTTGTTAGCACTTGTTATTTATCCAATGGCGGGTTTAAATTTGAGGGAAAGTGGTTTTCTCAAATTCATTATTATTTTGATTCTATTTAACTTCGGGATATCATTAGAGATATTAACAATTGGTATTACATTTAAAGATTTGAATAATTCGATAATATTAAGTGTGTTGGTATTGCTTGGCTCCTTATTATTTAGTGGTCTTTTCATTAATACCCAAGATATTACCAATGTTGCATTCAAATATTTAAAGAATATTTCGATTTTCTACTATGCATATGAGGCTCTACTGATCAATGAAGTAAAAACTCTGATTCTTCGTGAAAAAAAATATGGACTTAACATTGAAGTACCGGGAGCAACTATATTAAGTACATTTGGTTTCAAGGTTCAAAACTTATTTTTCGATATTAAGATATTAGCCTTGTTTAATGTAGTATTTTTGATTTTGGGTTATTTATCATTGAAACATTTAGTAGTTGAGCAAAAGTAATTGCAATATAGGGATTGTTATAATGACAACCTTGCAAGCCAAATCAATGAAATGATAATATTCCGATATCGAGATTTAAAATGCATTTTGTGTAAATTTTTCATATAAATAGTAATAAATTCTATCATTCCAACTACATTTAAATAAATGTACTGGATCCTGATGTTTAATTGTAACAATAATTCTTCGTTTTATTTTAAAAAAATAGTAAAACATTAATTATAGTTTAACAGGATATACATTTTGTGTATATCAGGTCACCCTCTTAAAAATTATTTTCCTTTAATCAAGGCTTAGTTCCTTGTTTCCGTTCTTTCGACCCTAGTTTGAATGGATTGTGATATTGTAGAACTAGTTTATTCGTTTCACCGATTAATACTTCTAAGCAAACTATAAGATAGTAATTTCTCCTCATCTGCTTCCCCAGTAGATGAATAGTTCCCTAGGTCAAACAATCATCTTAACTTAAACCTTAACTTTCGAAACTGTTAAACTACATGACGTCATATCTGGCAAAGGTAAGACGTTTAAAATAGGGAAAGCTGCCTAGTTAGATCCGAGGCGTCACAAATGTTAAAAATTGGTTCTCTTTACGAGGAAGAGATATAAAAGAACAGAGTGTTTAAGGTAGTTCGAAATGATGGATAAGAACAGAACAGTACAGGTTGCTATTCTTTTATGTTTAAGTTGAGACGATACTATTTATATTTATTTAGTGAGATTAGTGACAAGTTTAAATAATATGAGTTGGGAAGGTTTTAAGAAAGCTATCAATAGAGCAGGAAATACGGTAATAATCAAGGATGTCGATAAGACTGTTGATAGGGAGTAT